TCCAAATCTATAGCAGCAATAGGGACAACAATAGATGTAATATCCATAATTGCCTTTAAATTATTAGTAAAATTAAGAAAAACAAAAATAATAAGAAAGAAGAAAATATGGCTTTGAGGCATGAATAATATTATCTTAAAGGTAATTATGCCTATAAGATACTACAAAGCCTTAAAACTCTCTAAATAAGAAGTAGTGAAATTGGTCAGGCATAAATATTTATTTATAATAAATAAACAGTCACCAATCAAGCCAATTCAAAAAGTCATGACATTTTATATAATCATGTTTTATTATTTAAATAAACTTTATTTAGACAATCATATTTTTTTATTTAGATATATTTATTCGTACCATCATATTTTTTACTATTCAAATATATTTATTCAGAATCAGTAATATTTCAAAATAAATAAATAAATAAATAATAATAATAATAAGATTTAAAAAATTAAATCTATTTACCAAACAAACCCAATTGCTTTAAATGCTCATCTTTGACTTTTAAAATTGTCTAATCCACTAGAAAAACTCTTAATAAGCTCAAATGACTTAACCCATTCCAACACTTAGCTCAATTATTTAAATAATATAAGTTATTTCTTTTAAACCATATATAAATAATCTTTTTATTCAATGTGGAATTCATAACATTCTAAACTATCAACAAAAAATCCTTCAAATGGTTTTTTTTTTTTTTAAAAAACAAAAGAGATCACTAATGGTAGATAGGAGAAAGAGTTGAAAGTATTGAAATTTAAATTTCAAATCTACTAGATGCGACCTTTTAAGAATAGTTGTATGAACAAATTGACTTAAGCCCCGTGTTTAAGAGTTTCTTTGTTAGAAAAAGTCTAAAGCATATTGCTTTGTAATTTCCAGCTGAGGAACCACTATTGTTCTTAAAAAAGATATTGAATAGATTAGTTGACATATTTTTACACCTTCTAAAGCCATTTTCTCATTAATGATTCATCAAGACTCTTCCAAAATATTATTGTTTGGCATGATCATTTAGCTTATAGTAACATGTAGCATTGATGATCTCCTTTTCGTGTTTCTCTATAGGCAAAAAAGGTCTTATTTCCCAAACTCTCTCGAATTTCATTGTCGAGGACATGAAATCTAGTCCCTCTTCGGTCCGAGTACTCGTTCCTTATTGAAGCAAATCAGGTATCAGAAGGCTTGACTTCAAATTGTGCGAGGTTGTTGCCAGGGATTCAAATTGCGATCGCGGACATGTTTTCGGTCAGATTGCATTTATCGCGATTACGGATACAATGGATATCATCGCGGTCATTACGGTTATCGTGGTCGTGAATTTTTTTTAAATTTGCATAACTTGTTATAAAACATAGTAATTATAATTATAATAATAATAAAAAATTTCATGATTTTTAAAGTAATTAATGACACATTATCTTATTTTATTTATATAAAAAAAATTATTTATAATTTTTTGCTATTATAGTAAAATATTCACATTTAAATAGTTAACAACATACAAATATTAAAACAATAAAATCATTAATAAAATCCCAATAAAAATAGAAGTCAAAAATCAAATTAATATATTAATCAATTAATATTTTATTTTTTTCATCTAAATTATGATGTAATACCTTTCAAATTTACATTAAATTTTTCTTAAATTTTTTAATCAAAATTAATTCTCAAAATTTTTTAATTTTAACTAATTATTTTTTCCCACAATTTTACCCTTAAATTTATAAAAAATATTTTTTTTTGTTTGGTCAAGCATTGACCGGTGCCCACCAAAAGTCTCGACTACAACCCAAATATTTCTTTCAAAATTCCCCTGCATCCTTTCCACTCAAACGTCTTTTATTTTTTTCTCTAACTTTTGTAGTCTTCCTTTCTGTCATTCTCGCAAATCGTCCACTAACCATGGCAGCCAACCAACCTCCAAGATTTCACCTTCATTTAACTTTCCACCCAATGATTCATCTGATTTCTTCTTGGATCCAACCAGCACGGTACAACACCCATGCCTACAGAGTGCTCATAGATGGGTTTTTGAAGTTTTAAAGTTTAAAGCAAAATCTTTCAAAGTCTAAGTTTTTCTAAGCCCTATACAACATAAATTTGCAGACGCTTAAACAGATAATTTTTTTATTATTACTTAATTTTAATAAATTTTTTTTATTTTTGATTGAGCTTATTTTTTTACCAAGTCTTTATAAATTTAGGAATTTTTTTTTTTTTTTTTGTGTTTGAGGCTTTACTTGATTAAAGTTTGAAATTTTAATGATTGCTGATGAAAAAAAAATTTTCATAAAAAAAAAAACAAAAAATAACATCAATTACATCTCGTTATTACCGTTATTAATAGCTACAACGTTTTTTTACGATTACAATGAACCGTTAAAAATGTGAATGTTTTTCACATTCAATATCGATTGAAATAGTTACAACGATGGGTACCGATTCCGCTAAATAACGGCCGCTGTACCGTTATTGCGGCGCCATTTGAATCCTTGGAACTTGTTGCCATGAATCTGCCTCTTGCTTTTGGGCTGTGCAGAAAGACGCAACTGTTCTGTATTCTACTGTACAAAGCACTATTGTAATTAAATTACACAGCCAAAATAAGCAGTTTGCGATCATCTTTTTTCTTTTTACAGTGAGAACACACAAAAGTTAAAGGTAGAGATAGAGAGAGAACCCTCCTCTTTTCCGTGTAAATTGTCTGGATTTGGACTCATTTCTAATTTTTATGCACCCAATAATTGGAGATTTAATCAAACAAACAAACAACAAAAACCAGGCCCTAATCCCATCAGCACATTGCCAAAAGTATATGCTCAAAGTTCAATGAACAGCCAAATTGTTGACCCCAGCTGCCTGCCTGGTTGTTACATTTTTAAACAAAATTTGTTTCTGATAATGATTATTGAAACGTGTTGGGAACCCTAAATTTCGGTCTAAAGAAAGCAAGTGGGAAGCTAGTCAGGCCGTGATCATGCTGTTTGTTGTGACTTGTGACCTAAGCCATTGCCTTGTAAAAAGTGATAAGCCTACTGTTTTTCGTCCCATTCTTTTCAATGTTAAAAACAAACGATATTCGAATGGCATAAAAATAATGCAAAAAATTTAGTGGGCGAGATTATATCAGAATTTTATAATGAAAGCCACATTGATTATGCTTCAACACAATAACTTGCGTGGCTTTGTTTTTCTTGTCTGTTTTTCTAGTATATAACTTTGTTGCTTTCTCTTCAAATGTTTCCTTGCTTGCTTAGATTCCGTCGCCTTTCATTTGGTCGGAAACTAAATACATTATATAATTAAAAAGAAAAAAAAAAGAAAAGGAAAAGCAAAAGAAAAGAAAATAATAGTAACTTCAAAAAGTGCTATAATTTCTTGTTCTTGACGACGTTGCTTACTAAGCATTAGACAAGCATATATGAAGCATTTTTTTTTTTTTTACTATGGATTTTATGAAGGATTGCTTTTAATTCACTATATTTAAGATTAGTTAGCATACTGTTATATTTATAGTAATATTTCGAAATTTTACTAACAGCGTCCTGAAAACACTTTTATAATTATTATATTAAATAATACATTTATCAATGCATGTGAAACTCATTAATTAACTAACCATTATTGCATTAAATACAAAAAATTACTAAAGTAATAATTATTTAATCTTAAAAGTGTCGTTAGAACATTTCTTCGCAAAGCTCATTTTTTTATATTAAATACAGTAATTAATAATTAATTTAATGATTGCATTTAGTTAAAAATTACTCAATAATATTTTTGTGGCCCTTTTCAGTAAAATCTTTTTTTTTATGGTAAAAATCATATTATAAAACAAACCTAATATTAAGATAAGTGAAAATTTACAAAAATTATGATTCTCTCTCAAATTGTGACTCGAATGTCCCAAGTTCATATGTTTATCATATGTCCCTTTTAAAAACTTTTTGTCAAAATTTAAGTAATGATAAATCCTTTTCAAACTTTATTTTATTCTCTCCTATAAGATTTATGAACATCCAAATAGGTAGAACTCTTATCAACTTGACAATCATAACAATAGCCTTTAAAATCAAATCTTCACCATAAATGGAATAATTTTGAAGTAGCTCATTCATTTTCTTTAATGAAAAATAAGTGATAGTAAGGGATTAATTTTCATTAGACTTTTAAACTTCACCTACTAAATCTTTACTTGATATACCAATTAAATTATTGAGTAAATAAAAAATTATTATTATTAGAATTAAGGGTGAGAAAAAATTAAAAATATTAAAAATTGATTTGATTTGATTTAAAATTATTTTTTATTCAGATATTAAATATATAAAATAAATTTAGATCGAAAAGTAAAAAATTCAAAAAAATCGAATCATATATAATTATATATTTTTATTAATTCTTATGTAATTTTTTAAATTTTTATAAAATAAAAATAATTATTTTATATTCAAATTTATTTAAATATATTAAAAATTATATTAAAATAATATTTAAAAATAAAAAATTTAAATATAAAAATTTATCAATCAAATCCATAAATTTTAATTCAAATAGTATTACGTAAAAATTTAATTCAATTTTGTATTAAATTTTAAAAATTTATAATTTTATGGATTATTTATACGTCCATTGTCTCAATCATTAAAAAAAAATTAATAGGAAATAAATTTACGGTTATAAAAACTCAATCTATCTTTTCATTGGTCGGTGAAGATTAATTTATCCCGACTAGATGGCGTAAAAGTAGTTCCTTTGTAGTTCGCTCTGACAAAACGACATCGTGCTTATACCATCGCACGAAAACCCGACTCCAGTAAGCGATAAAAATCCGTTTGATGTAAGCGGTCGGCCGCAAACATTCCGTATCCGGATAAGTACGTCAGAGGCACGTGTATGGTAACACGTGGTCGATGTTGGTTGGTCTTTCTTTTTTCACTTCACCTCCCAAATAATTTAAAGAAGTTAAAAAAAAAAAAACAAAAGAGAAGAGAAAAAAACAAAAAAATTTTTCTCAACGGAATGATAAAAAACTATTTGATTTCATCTCATAGAGAGAGAAAAGATGAGAGAAACGAGGAGGGAAAGAGAGATGCAGAGAGAGAGAACTGCTGCCGATTTTTGGACTGTACGATTTATTTGATAAAGAGAGAGTGTTTCGGAGGAGTCTCCTGATTTCCTGCAGTTCGTTGCGATCTCGCTGGACGGTGACCGGAATTGGATTGATCTTTTTTTCTTTTTGCGTGTGCGAATTGCTCTTTTGTGAACGAAGATGGTGAACTCTATGGTGGAGAGAGCTACGAGCGACTTGCTGATCGGGCCTGATTGGGCTAGGAATATCGAGATCTGCGACATGCTTAATCACAACCCTGGGTATGCGTCGCACTGGATTCCAATCTCTCCTCTCTTTTTGGGAAGTTGTTGTTATTGCTCTTATGATTCTACTGATAATTGCTTTTCAATTTGACTATAAAGAATGAATATGAAGATTGTGAATCTAGTGTTCTTTCTTGTTTCGGTATTCGATTTGCTTTTACCTTAAAAAAATATCGTTCTCTCTTATTCTGATACTAATTGTAGATTTAAGAGAAATTAAATAATAAGTTTTCCTTTGTAGTACGTAAATTTAAAGAGAGAGATTTGGTTTAAGAAGTTTGCCAGGATTGATCAGTTTGCTTTGTTTGCTTTGTTCAATGTGTAATTTAATTCATCCATGTATTTGATAATAAAGCTCTTAAATATGGCGTTTTTTGATCGATAGAAGATTTAATTTCATGTAGAAAATAGACTGGTTATAGGGAGCTCAGCTTCTTTTCTCAAAGTTGAAAGGTTACTACGTGATAGATGATTTTAATGCCTGTGACCTTATCATCATAATGTTTAAATTTTCATTTCTCAAATATGAACTAGATTTTAGCTACTTCTACATGATCAGCTTAGTGGTAACTAAGTTTTAAACTAGTGTTTTTGTTGATTACTTTTGGTCCTTTTTTCTGATTGCTTTTTAGTTAATGTGAGTTCTTGTGAATGCAGAAAAGGTCCAAAGGTTTAGTTTCCTCATTTTCTGGTTAATATTGGCTTCTTCTTTTTTTTTTCAAATTTCTCACTCCAGAGGAGGGAAGCTGGAAGTTGGCTGGATTTATATGTATTTTAAGTTAGAATTATCTTTACTTTTCTAAATCTAATATTAATATGATGGTTATTTACCAGGCAAGCAAAAGATGTTGTGAAAGGCATAAAAAAGAAGCTTGGAAGTAAAAATCCTAAAGTTCAACTTCTTGCTCTAACTGTAAGCTCCTGAGAACTTTTACATTGATTTTTCTAATCCCTGGATACGTTTATCACTTCTGCTGTCTATTTTATCCCCTTTTTCTTACATAGAACTAACCATGTTTAAATTTTGATCTACTTCCTACGTTCTAGCTACTAGAAACTATTGTAAAAAATTGCGGGGACATTGTCCATATGCATGTTGCGGAGAGAGATATTCTTCACGAGATGGTCAAAATAGTCAAGAAAAGGGTAGGAAGCAATTTCAACTCCCATTTTATATTTATTTTCTTCTAGCAAAACTTGTTCTGAGTTTTTGTATTGCTGAACTGTAGCCCGATTTTTATGTCAAAGAGAAGATATTAACTCTGATTGACACTTGGCAAGAAGCTTTTGGAGGAGCAAGGGCAAGATATCCACAATATTATGTTGCATACCAAGAGTTGTTGGTATGTCTGCAGATGCCTCTCATCTCAAACTGTATGAGACATGCTGCATTTCTTTGGATTGTTTCCTCATATGCTATCCTTTGTTCATGACTTTCTCATTGTATACAAAACATGCTTTTATGCAAGTAGTACTTTTACATAATGTGGCCTTTTCCCTCTTTTTTCTCTGAGCGTAACCTGTTTATTGTCTCAGCGTGCCGGGGCAGTATTTCCCCCAAGATCTGAGAGTTCTGCACCTGTACTTACTCCTCCTCAAACACAACCTTTGTCTTCTTATCCCCAAAATATTCGCAATTCTGATCGGCACGAGATGGCTGAGTCTTCTGCGGTGCCTGAGTTCCCAACCCTCAGGTATTTTTGTTGTTCTTCAGTTGTTTGGGTACTAAAAGCATGGTAGTTTTTTTTGTCTGCCACTGTTCCTATTCAGTTCTGTGATGGCCTATGCTTTTTAAATTTTTTTTAAACTTCCTTTAATGAATGACGTTGTTGTTGAAATTATGCTGCAGTAATCTGGTTAATTAAAAGTCTGCTTCTCATAATAAATTCTTATTATCATTATCTAATAAATAAATTACAAACTTATTGCGATAAGTTTTTTCAATGTGGGTTTTGCATTGAAGTTCAATCGGTTAAAAAGGATAGTATTCCATTTTATTTGGTGCATATGGCTAATTTAATATTTTCCTATGTTTAAAATAGGAAAATTTGTCAAACAAACTTTTTATTCACTCGTTAATATACTTTTTAGAGAGATCAAAGTATTTGTTGGTGAAAATTTCCATACTTGTTTTAATTTCTCAGTGTTGGTCATCAGTGCTCCCTGTCCTTAGCTGGTAGACATAGCTATGGGTTGTCACACCAATGATTACTCTTTTCTCCTAGAAATAGAGCAGTTGAGACTTTCCACAAATTATAACTCTTACAATATTTGAAAAATGTGGACTACTTGTTCTGTCATATTATTGACAGTGACATTACATTGCTAATTAACTGTTTCCTACTTAGTATTTTATTGTCAATGACACATCTAGTCTTTTAACTGGAGTTTCATTTATTAGTTTGACAGAAATTCAGAATGCGCGGGGTAATATGGATGTCCTTTCAGAAATGCTAAATGCATTAGACCCTGGAAACAAGGAGGTATATGTTCACAATTTGAAATGTAGAGAAAAGCAAGATATTGTGTTTACTTGCTAAAACTATTCTGTATTCCCGCAAGGGTATGGTAATGTAGTTTCCAAGTGATAAGTCATTAATTGGATTTAAAGTGACTACTGAAGTCTGTATAACTTACATTTGTGTAATAATTTGGTTGGCTGTGCTCAAATTGATCAGATTGTGAACCAGTTTTTCAGTGTAAACTTTATGTTTTTCCAGCTCTTATAATGAAAAACTTCTAAAAGTTAATGAAGTTTCACGCTGCTAAATCCTCTACTAATCTTATAAGCATGTTGTGTGTGTGTGTGTGTGTGTGTGTTTTTTTTTTCTTTTTAAGTTCAATTTCTATTTGGATATTTAGTGATCTTTCCTTCTACAATTTCAGGGACTTGGGCAGGAGGTGATTGTTGACCTAGTGGAGCAGTGCCGTACCTACAAACAAAGAGTTGTACACCTCGTTAATTCAACATCGTAAGAATATAATCAACCTTGATGTTGTCATCTGTTTTGATGGTGCTGACATTCTTTTCTGTGTGGTTTTTTTATGCATTGTGTGTCTCTTACTTGGCCCTTAAGGTGATTGAAATCCTAAGGAGTGTTGAGATCAAAGGACTTCCTTATTTTATTCAAGTACATTTTTCTCAGCGCTATGGTGACTAGATGCTGGAGCACTCTGTGAAGAATTTGATTTGTTTTCTTTTCAATTTGTTTTCCTTAAACCTCTCTATGATACCTCAACGAGTATCTTTGTGTGCATTTCATATGATATTGTCACTTATTCTGGCATTTTATGGTGTATGAGCTGCGTTGGTAACTAGTTTCTAACCTCTGTGGAATGGTAGAAGGAATTGTGTGAAATATTTTTACATTTAAAACACATATCACCTTTGATTCTCTATATCTTGTAGGGATGAGTCACTTCTATGTCAAGGTTTAGCATTGAATGATGATTTGCAGCGTGTACTAGCAAAGCATGAAGCAATAGCTTCAGGGAGTTCTTCTCAAGCAGACAAACCTAAGCCTGAACCTGCAAGAGAACTTGTGAATGTCAATGGCCCCCTAGTTGATACTGGGGATAGCAGCAAGCAGTCTGATGGGAGGTAATTAGGCTTCTTTGAACTGTATTACTATATGCATGGATCTGGTGATTAAAAATTATTGTGGTTTGGTATTACTACTGAAATGATAGAATATGCTAAGAATAATAAATCTGTTTTGTGTGCTGCATTACCCTTATGTCCTAAGCATTACTGGTGCTAATTATGCTCGTCCTCGGTATCCTGGAGCTTGTTTACAAGTTTCTTTCACCTATTTGATTTATTTGTTTTGTTTAGTAGAATTTAGTTGGTGTGTTTTTCGAAATAAGTTACCTTATTGCAGGTGCTTGATTATGTTGAGTGGCTGATTAGTAGTGCATTTCTCTCTGTGAGGAGTGGCTGATTTGCTTATCAGATTTTAGGTTGCTAGGATTGAAATTGAAATTCATTTAATTCTGCATTATCTGAAATGCTGGATCAGATGTTTATGATAGCTTGAGCTTTATCTGACAGGATTTCTTCGCAGATCCTCCACTAGCACTGGTGCAAGTTCTCAACCATTTAATCAGTTATTGCTTCCTACTCCTCCAGCAACAAAGGGTTCAACTCCTCCAGCAGCAGTCAATCCCAAAATGGACCTGCTTAGTGGTGATGACTACAATTCACCGAAGGCTGATAATTTACTGGCCCTTGTTCCTTTGGGAGAACCACAACAAACAACTCCTGCATCACAGCAGAATGCGCTTGTTCTCTTTGATATGTTCTCTGATAGTAACAACACCTCTGATTCTGTTAACACCCAGTTTTCGGGTTTAGATGGACAAACCAATCCTCGGACTCCTCAAATTCAGCAGCTGCAGCAGAATTTTCATGCGAATGGAACTGCACCAAACATGGGATCACCTCGATATCAGCAGTCCTATCCTCAAGGCACTGGTCCAGCCTGGAATGGTCAGCTGGTTCGGCAGCAGCCCCCCTCACCTGTTTATGGTTCGTTTCTGTTTATTATAGGCTTTTATGCATAAGTAGAGTATTTTACTTTTGGCGCAGATGCTTCTTTGTTTTTAGGGACAGACACGTAGTCATAGCATGCCACATTTCACTCTAGGAAATCAATAATATACATCCTCATGATCTTTGTCTCTCACCAAATTCATGTAGTGACATTCCAGGCTTCTTTGGCAAGCTGATTGTTATATTCTTTCTACTGCTACATTAAAATTTATGAACCTTATTTTTTCATGTTGAGAAGGTGCCCAGAGCAGTGGCTCACTACCACCACCACCCTGGGAGGCACAGTCAGTGGACTCCAGCCCTGTTGTAGCTGCTCAGTATCCCAAGTCAATGGTTACTCAAGTTGTCATAACACATGCCCAACCTCAAGGACCTCAACATATGGGAAGTGATCAAGTGATGGGTATGTACATTCAGCCAATCACAACCGGTCATTTGTCAGCAATTAATAACCAGGCTGTTCAGGGAAACCAGTTTACTGGTTTTCATCCCCAACCAATCCTGGGAGCACAGTATATGGGCATGCTTCCACAGCAAATGCCAGCTGGCCAGATGGCTTATATGTACACTCAACAAATGTATGGCAACCAAATGGGAGCATATGGCTATGGTCAGCAACAGTATCTTGATCAGCAAATGTATGGGCTATCCATCAGAGATGACAATAGCCTGAGAAACTCTTCCTACCAGGTTTCCACTTCATCTTATGTTCCGCCCAAAAAGCCTTCAAAACCAGAGGATAAGCTGTTTGGAGACCTTGTTGACATGGCAAAAATTAAATCAACAAAAACCACTCCTGGAAGAGCGGGTAGCATGTGAACATGGAATTTGTTTTTTTTTTTTTTGCATATTTTTATTTTACATTTTTTTTGGTGTCTAAATTGTTTCCTTTTTCTCATTTCTTTCTTTCCTTAAATATTTTTCAAAATTTTATTTTATATATATTTATATGCATACACACACACTTCACCAGTCACTTGACTCAGATTTTATGTTGCATGTTTGGCATTGGAATCATGTACAGTCCCTATAGAGAAAATTGAAAGATCAACTCTTTTGGGTTTTGGTTGATTTTTTGAGATTTGGTTTTCATTTTTTTGCTCAAGACATACGGGAATCTTATTTCTGTTTGTAATAGAATGAATATGTCGAATTTCTTTGCAAGTTTTAAGGCTGTTATGCCTACATTTTCTGGTAGGCATTTTGAATTGTAAGGCTGTTGTAATACTTTACTTTTTGGATTTTGCTACTGGCTTATTGAATTAGAAGGTGGTGTAGAATCCTATTTAATGGCAGTGGAACAGATTATGGAATTTTGTTTTTGGACTACTCCTTGTTGAAGTCTTGTTCACAGTTTGCCTTACAGAGAACTCCCTATCTATTGTTTTTATACATCGTATGGGCATTATGATGAGTTTGTCCCCCCTTACGCTTATGACCTTTTTTTTTCTGAAGGAAATAATTTCATTCATTCATTAATCGAAATTAAAAGCAGTAGTTGTAGGCTTGTAGCATTACAAAGAAAATCTGGAGCATCCTCTACCCATTACGGTTCCCCATACTTTGCTAGCTTGTGTGCTGCTGCATTCCCATTCCGGCTTATTTGCAAACTGAACGGTTAGAGAAACGTTTAGCTTATGTTCTTGCCTGTTCCATGATTGGTCTTATGGGTGAATGCTCTGGTTCCCATGACTTTAATTTCTTTAGAACTCCCAAGGCATCTCCCTCTATTATGATAAGCTGAAATCCCATTTCAAATGCAAAATCTAGAGCCCTAACTGCAGCATTTGCCTCCACTAATACAAACGGGCCAATCACCCTTTCCATACTAGCAACACTAGCCCCCATGATATCACCTTCTGAATTTCGAATAATCAGGCCTATTCCACCCTTGTTCACCTTTCGATCCAAGGCTCCATCGAAATATACCATATAGAGACCATTGATAGGTTGATTCCACGTTTGTTGCGTCATACTTTTGTTCTCTGTTCAAAGAGAGCTGAGCTCGATTATGATATGTTATGTACTGCCTTACGAAGTTTGCTGCAATGATTGATGTTCTCTTTAGAATTTACGATCAGAAACCATCTTAAACACTTACGTGAATTCAATACGAGCAACTACAATTTATTTTCCTATTTTCAGATTGTGATTTTTTTTGCCAAAAATTTTCCAGGAACAGGTGTTAATAAAATATGCAACTCAAACCGGAAACTGCATTGGTGAGCTTTGGAAGTCTTTAGCATGAATATTTTTATGTATGAAAGCATGCATAAGCACAACAATTCTCCCATTACTTATGCAATGCATATGCAAGCAATCTTGTTTGACCAAAAACCATGGATTTCTATTCCTCAAATTACATGGGTTAAAAACAGTTTGTTCTAATAGAAAAATGGGCTCGTCAGATTGGGAAGGGGGTGGCAGATTGCTTAAACCAAGTAAGTCAGCGAGACAAGTGAGTCATTCTTCCATCCTTCGCTTTTTCTCCTACACATTCTTGGAATTACTTCAGTGTGAGGCCTTATCAGTAACTGGGCTTAGCCGACCGAAAGCAATTTACTACATCATAGATACTAATAAGGAGACGTGCAGAAGTAGAACAAAATATAAACCTTAACAAGAATCTTGCTTTCAATTAATTTTTGGAGTAATGAACCATATTCAGAAACTGATAAAATTTGGCTCAATCCAAGGGATCAAAGTTTCTTAATGCTAATTCATGTCTATCTGGCTTCTCATTGAGCAACAGCCCCAGCATTCATTGTATCATAAAAAACAATGAGAAAATTATTAACCCTTACAGATTTTGAGCTAAGAATGAAACTACACTCCATTTTGACCAAAATTAACAACCACAAAAAGGGGGTGTTGTTATAAAGGCATGGAGATACCTGCAACAATGAAGACAACGTGAATTAGAACAAGTGATACGTTCTTGTAACCGATCATTATGCTCAAGTGCCAAACATTCAGAAAGAAAGAACAACATAAACGATATATTCATCATCTTTAACATCATTTGATCAATTTGGCATCACTATATAAACTGTTTTACTTTATCAAGCATATATATGCTTCAGGCTTCTTGAGAAAATGAATGTACCAAGGGCTACAAACATATGCAATAAACTATGCTCTATGCATAACATTTTACATTCGAATGTATTGAGAAAACCTTTTTTCCGTGTAAATGTAAAACATACAATTCAACACCAGTAGATGAAGCAAATGCATAACTGCAGATGCATCACAGCCAATTTGGCTACCATCCATGAAGAGCTTTTCTAAAGATCAACATGTTGCTTTAATCAGCCCATTTTTTTGTATTAATAAGCTTTGGATATGGCAATGTTAAAACAAAGAACATTGGATACCACAAACATAAAAATCATTCAATGAGTTTATTAAGAGAGAAACCTTGAGGAATCAAACCCCAACTCTGAGATTCTATGGCAAGAAATGATCTAAGGCGAGCCGAAGCAACTGCACTGTGTAATGGCATCATTGAGATTAAGCAGCTCAGCTCCACTGGTAATCTAAAATCCCAAGCAAATAAGGGAAAAAGAAGCACTGCTATATTACTTAAACCGACAAATTCAGCACAAAAAAATGTCATAACTTTGTAAATTGCATCCATTTCAACTCCCTTTAATCATTTCTATCAGAAATCAAACAATAAAAGGAAAGAGAATAGTAAATTTTATAACTTTAGAGACCAAAACTTGTAAAAAAAGCTCACCTTGGAATCCCAGAAATGCGCTTCACTGAAGAAGAAACCTGAGGCTGAGAGCTCGAATTCAATGGAGAAATAGTGGGTAACACTGATTTCTTGCTTTTAAGCTTGGGAGGAAAAGCCTTTAATCGAACCGATGATAATCTCGAGAGAATCGTCGAACCAGCCATTGAAACTTTTTTTTTTCCCTTTTGGATCCTTTTAAGTTGCTCTTACAGAGGGTTTAAGCTCTTCTATATTCTAGGGTTCATGCCACATTGACCATGTTTGGTTACGTATCTTAGATCATCCTACTAGAGTCTTATCTTATTCGAGTCGGGTCAAGCGTCAAACACCGTAGGCAGTTTCTGACCGTTGATTTAAAAATAAAAATAGATCATTACACACAGAATCAAAACTCTCTTTTATTCTTTTCTCAAAAAAAACTCCTCTTTTCTATTCTCATCGTCCAAATCAAACCCGACTGGAAGAAGCTTCCTTTTCTCTCTTCTCAGGTAACCTCACCGATTCAGGTTCAATAAGCTCACTTTTCCTTTTTTTTTTTTTCTTTTTTTTCTTAATTATCAATTTAATTAATTTCTTTAATCCCTATCTTATTTGATCTGATTCCTAACAAACCATCGATAATTAATTATTTCCGCAAATCCTTATGGCTCTGATTTCCAATAATACACTCTTAATTTTTTGGTGTAAAATTGTTAACAAATTTACCTTTTTCTTTCAATTTCGCAGATATCTGTCACTCTGATATATAAATAAATAATTTTTTTTGAAGTATTTTTCAATTTCCGGCGAGCAACAAAAAATGCAGGTTAGTTGAAATTTACATAGATTGCTGAATTTTCTTGGTTTAATTATGTATTTTGTTGTGTATTTAATCAATTAAATGGTGATTACTTAAGAATTTTATCTTTTTTTTTGTCAAAAGCAATTCTTTCCTTGATTAATATAGTTGAAATCTTTTGATATGAAGGCATCAAGAGCAAGGTTGTTCAAGGAATACAAAGAGGTTCAGAGAGAAAAGGCTGCCGATCCCGATATTCAACTAGTTTGCGATGATTCTAACATATTTAAGTGGACTGCTCTTATCAAGGTTGGTTCAAAGTAGAAGAAAATATGGTTGATATTGTTATTGTGTTTTATTTTTTCTGAATTATATGATCTTTTAATATAGGGACCATCTGAGACTCCTTATGAAGGTGGAGTGTTCCAGCTTGCTTTTGCTGTTCCTGAGCAGTACCCTTTGCAACCTCCTCAAGTTCGGTTCTTGACAAAAATATTTCATCCCAATGTGCATTTCAAGGTATGAATTCTTTGGCTTGATAACCTTGTTTGTTCTGCTTCAATTGTAACATGATAAAATGGAAGAAAATATGTGTCAATGGTTAAGATAGCATCATAATATCTGATTAAAATTTGATGATTTTCTGTTCCTTCTTTGGTGAATTGGGATACTTGGTGTTTTTAAACTTGGCAGCCATGACTGCCTAGACAAAAGATCTTGATGGAGAAACGGTAATTATTCACCATAATACCTTTTAGTTTCTGCTTAATACTGCATATATGAATGAATTTCATTTAATCCGCCCGATGTAGTAGTCAAGGTTGTCAGCTCATCTGGCTCGGTGAAAGAGGGTTAGGATTGATTTGTCAGAAACCTTTCCACCAAATAATTGTATGAGGCTAAGGAAAATTCCACTTTCATTTAGTAAACTTTATCTTCTCCAAGTTGATGCAAAACCTTGTTATCCATCTATGGACTTCATTTTAATTAACAGAAATCTAGGGAGGAGAAATTGGATTATAATGCCAGAGCTTGAGAATAAAAATCAGTAACAGTACAATCTTCTATATAAATGAATATTCTGCTCTAGAACTTGTTTTAATGGTGGAAAAAGGCAGAGCTTGGTCATTCATTCTGTTGCCATATATATTGTAGGAATCCGACTTCTGATAAGTCTAGAGATTATTAATAAGTGAAATGTCATAATTCCAAGATGCTCTATTCAGAATTTAGTCTTTATTTATTATTAATCTGTCATACAGACAGGAGAGATTTGCCTTGATATATTGAAGAATGCATGGAGCCCTGCTTGGACTCTTCAGTCTGTTTGTAGGGCTATAATAGCTTTGATGGCTCATCCAGAACCTGATAGCCCACTTAATTGTGATTCTGGTAAGGTGGTCTATTTAATGTTTTTCTTTTCTGCTTTTAACATTATGAATTTACTGAGGGGAATGGTAAAAGATTATCTTAAATATAATCTTGATTACACATATTCTCCTTTTACTACTTTTAAGTGGATTTGCATGTATATTGTTATGTGAGAAAGTCCATGGATCTCGAAGGATGCACTTCTTTCTTACAGGGAATGATGTCAAAAATGTCTTTTTGGCCAAATAGTATGGCCTTGGTGAACTTGAGTAATGAAAAGTGAAATTGATATCTTATTGTTCCTGAGAAAAGGTAAATAAGCATTGAAGAAGTCACCAGTTTTGCCACGTCTCTGCAGTATCTTTTTTTTTTCTGCCCTCATTGCTGTCCCGATTTTTATTTTTCTTGCTTTCTTGCAAGTAGATTAGATGTTGAACTGGAATTGTTAGTGTTTTCTTCGGGCTTTGATATATTGGCACCAGTATTGGCTTATATTATGGTATTTTGAGCTATTTTTGTTTTTGATTTTATCCTTAACAGACACCCTTCCTACTTGTGGACAGGCAATCTTTTAAGGTCTGGTGATATCAGAGGATACCAGTCTATGGCAAGAATGTATACCAGACTTGCTGCCATGCCCAAAAAAGGATAAACTTATGGTGCTATAAACCTGTCTTAAACCTTAAGAGCGGATTGTTATTGCTGTTCACTATTGTGCTTTTCAAACATTGTGATAGAAATTCAAGAATATTTCCAGCTTTTCTGATCCAAAATATAGATTTTAGCTATAGCTTCTCATTGAAGTTTATTTCTGAGGCAATCAAACATTCATCTCTATCTCTGTGTTACCAGCATGCAGTACCCTGGACAATTTAGTTGTGTCTAAATGAGATTGTTATAATTGCAATTCCAGCTATCTTGCCCACTGTGTTTTGCCTTGACTCGATTGAGAAAAAGGGATAAGACAAGAAATGGGGAAATTTTCTGGATTGAGGGATGGGCCAATTTTAAATTTCTGGCTTTTCCATAGATTTGTCTTACTCGGGAGAATTCGAAGATGAATGTTGAATATTTATCGCTTTCCCCCAATCACAAGAAAAAAAAAAAAAAAGAATATCAATGCTAATTACTCAACCAAGCCCCACAATTAGGCCCCCCACCCTACCCTCTCAAATCTCAAAGTCTCTAGAAGGCCAAAACCTCGCTTATACGACACCAAGACATGCCTAAAAGCCTCAAATTAAAGAGTGCAACATTGATGAACAACTTTATTTTGTTTTGATTTGGTCCATTATTTTCTTATCTTTTTATTCAATTCTCCAATTTCCACCCGTTATAATCAAACTATAATCAACTAGTTTTTCTTGTCTCAAATACCTAAAAATTGGGTTTTACTAGTGGCCACCTTTGAGGAAAGTTTCCTTCAAACTAGTGATGGAAAACCTTGGTCGAATTTCTTTTGGGTAGTTAATGTTATGTAATCTAATGTTGGGCTCAGGCAAAAATTATGGTTGCACAAGGAAAAGAGAGAGATTGCATGCATCAACCTTATAGAGTGGAGATAACTAGTTCATAATTTATTGGTATGATCGGATTAGAACAAAGTCTTGATCACGGGAACATTGCATCATTCAAAGCGAGTTACAGCAAATAGAAATTGTTATTGCTTGAGGAACCTGTCCATCCAATCACTTGATTCTTTCACCATTAACGGTGTCAGTTCGTGGCCTGTTCCAGGTTGTGCGATGAGCTGCACATTAAGGAAATAAAATATATGAAATACTAACTCATAACAGCATCATTTACTCTTTCTTTTTTCCTACGTTTGTGACTGTGAGAATGTGCTGTCAATTTTTTAGGGTTATTTATTATCCACCAGTTACCTACTTGAATAGAGACATCTCCTGGACTACTGGCCTTAAAACCATTGCAAGAACTTAAGTATTTTCAGAGTAATTGCCACTGGATAATCCATACCTTAAAATTATTCGAAGCATGGGCATTTGCATAAGCCTTGCGAGCCCTCTTTGTGGGAGTTTTTATACCATCAAGCGGGCAACGTGGATCATCAGCACCTAATAATTGTCACAGCGAAAACGTTTTTTAACTAAAAGCTAAATCACTAGTTAATAATAGTAGAAGGACAATGCCACCTGGTAAAGAAATAAGTTTTGGCCTTATGCCTGGTAAATCCAAGCGTCTTCCATTACACTAAAGAGAACCCATTTAATCATACACAAATTGGGAGAGTTGAAAGCAAAGAGCTTAGCATGTCAGCTAGGCTTACTGTTAGACTATGCAAGAAAAAGACTGGAGAAACCAGGGAGGCAACTTTCATTCCCTAGGATCTCTGGTGACTCACTCGAGGTGTGATATAGTATTATACCGTTCAAAATCAGCAGAGGACGTGGTGCAATGGCTGGAATTGAGTAAGGTGAATCAAACCGGGATGCTAGACCAGGAGCAATCCTATCCCAGACCTGGTCAGAAGAGCAGAACCATAAGGATATGTAATCCAACACTAGATGACAGCACGAAAGAAGCAAGTTTATTAGGATTCTGAAGAAAATTATTAACGAGAATCAATTTAACTGACCTTCTCCACCACTTCTTTATCGATTGCACTCTTGCCTAAATCAATCCTTGCTTCTGAACAAAATTATTAATCAGAGACATATGTATTGAAGCAGCTGCCCTTTGAAATGAAGCTAGAGTAACAAGCATGCTTCAAGAAATTGATAGGTCATGCCAGTTGTAATCAGAAGGGCTCACTATTTAACTCAACTACATGAAATTATTTCCATAATACCGTGCCATCTTGAAATCATTTTGACATTTCATGTTGTTACATGCAAGCTTTTACTTCAGGAACTCCCATTGAGAAGGGTCGGTTAATTTTAGATCCAGACACGTTTCATGTCCAGAAAAAAGTGTTGAAGGTTCATATTCATATTCTTATACATTGTTATATTTCTCATTTCCAAGTACTGCTGTCAACATTACCTTGAAATACAGCCTTTATAGTATCAACTCGACCCTGCCATTTGTCATTGTCTATGGCCCATCGAAATCCCTAAAAATATATAACATGAAAGTTTTCTTAATTATTATGAAACATTTTCTTATGTTTTCAAGAATTTAAAAGAATTTGATTACCTGAACACCAATGATTGGAGCAGCAACTGAATAGCGGGTATCAGCAAAGGCAGAAAACCAAGCATGCATTCCTGCATTTCATGATGTTCACTTAAATTCTACATGGTATATGTAGTAAGCATACATGCTATATTTCCATCATTTCAAACCTCTTTTAACGAACCTCCAAGCGATATACCGGTAATTCCAATTCTAGCAGGGTCTATATCCTTTCTGTGAGTTAAATAATCTGCTAGTTTTATTAAATCCCACACCTGAAAGAATGAAAATCTTTTAGATGAAGCAAATGACTTTGGAAATTTAACCATTAAGTTCTAAATCTCCCTTGGCTTCAAGTAACATTCTTTTTGAGGCCATAGGAACTAAAAGGTAGAAACAATAATTTTCACACAACTCAAAACAAAATAATACTTAATAAAAAAGGGCACAGAGAAAGAGAAATTACAGTATCAAATATAAATGGCATTGTATCTCCCTTTTTCCATGATGACACTAGGGCCTGCTGGTTAAATAGCATTATGTTATTAGGATCACTGATTAAAAGGAAAATAGAATGGAGGCTAAACCATAACTAGATTGGTCCAAATTTTTACTTAATTAAAACCATATTATAAGTTGCCGATTAATACCTCCTAAAAGGCAATAAATTTTATAGTGACTTATTTCAAAACAGTCAAAACATTTTTACAATAACCTTCACTATAGTATGGAAGAGCATTAGCAAAAAAAGTTTAGAACTTTTCTTCAAACATCATTTATGCCATGATTGCTATCAGAATAGAAGTTGTCCAAACTCTGGTTCATATTTTTCTCAAAGAATGAAGTGAAACTGATTTTAACACGGTTTAAACAAAGGAACATTGGATGTAGCATGCACACATCTTGATAGGTAGTCAGATTGCAGGCACGTTCACCATGGTAGCGAGAATCGATGGCGATGGTTATGTATTCCCTTGAAGCATATGCCTGAAACAAATTGGAGGAAGAAAATGAAGAAGATTGAGCTCATCCTAGCAAACAAAAGCTAATAACTAAGGAAGGCTAAAGAAATATAGCTACCTCAAGAAATGGTCGTAACCACTCTTTGTTCATACTGGTACCATGCAGAAAAACAACAGCTGGCCTTCTTGTCTGATTGCTGTCTTTCAAGCTTAAGATTAACACAGGCAACCGTCCTTGCTCTCCAGCCTATATATCAGCAACAGCCTTAGAGTGATTAAGCTTTCTTCACTTGCCATTGAAAGTGTATTTGGTCGTATCTTTCACTCAGGTATATTTATTATGTGAGTTACCAGAAATTAACAAGCTTTTAGATGTTTGAATATATGGATTACCAATTCTGGCATGAAACAAGCGTATTTTATAAATCTGATTACTTGAATGCTTCAGTTTAACCGGATAAGTGATTTCAGCAACTAAAAGTGAAAAGAAATGAAATGGTAGTCGTCAGAACTCCAATTACCTCAGTGTGCAAATAAAGATTTTCCTCTTTAAGTCGTTCCTTAAGGTTTTTAATATGAGCCTTCGGCAAAGACTCCAATATTTCCTGGTGAAAATTTTCAGAGAAAATAATAATAATAAGAAGTACAGTAATCAAACATTTTCTATTACCCAACTTCCCAAAACACACGTTTTTTTCTCAAAAAGAAAATGAGAAATTGACCTCACTGAATGTTGGTATAGGAGGAACTAGTTGAAACAAAGGATCGAGCACTGGTTTTGCAGGTTCCACGGTCAGAGGAACTGAGGATTTAAAAAAAAAAAACCTTTTTTTCAGTGCATATAAATAGAAAACTGTGTTCAACCATTGATATAAAACAAAAACCAAACAGAGCATTAGAAAAGAGGGTTGTAAATCTCAGGTGGTTTAACCTTGAGGACGTGATCGTCTGGTACGTAGAAGATGAAGGAACTGCGACCGAATCTTGTGAGCATCATCATTAACATTAGTACAGTCGTGCTCTATTTCCAGTGATGCAGAACCCCAAGAGCAGATGAAGAAGAAAAACAAACAAATGGTACAGTTTGTCATTTTTAAAGAAAAATTAACAATAAGAATTTTCTTCTTTGTTTGGTTTAGAAACGGTGATTTAGTTGCTTGATGCACTCCATGTGGACTATGTGGAAGCATCGTCCAATTTAATTATAAAAACTAGAAAATGACCCGCCCTACGTTGCCTGCTTCAAAAATTATTCCGTTTTTCTAATTATCATTTTTTTAACAATTTTGTTTAAAGAAATTATTATGTTTTTTAATTATTATTTTCGATTAAATCAATTGTTCAAAGAAATAAATTATTAATTAAAATCAATGTGTATATATAAAATAAATTTATTTCTTATTATTGGTTGATGATTAAATTATCAAAAAATAAAATTTACAATAAAAAAACTATCATTTAACTTATTTCTTAATAGAAAGTGCATATATTATGCAAATTTATGCAATCAATTCCAAAAAATTCATAATTTACAAAATATAATAATAATATCTTCCTTCTTTATATTACACTTTGGATAATTCCAACTAGCCTAACCTTTAATCGATCATTCTAATTGGAATTTAGGATTGGGCACTATACTTTGGATATAGTTTTGAACTTTTGTTAATGAAAAAAAGTTAATAACATGACCTAAATTTTATTTTAATTTTTAATTTTTCAAAATTTTTAATTAAATTTTTAATTATCCAAAATTATTTTATTTATATTATTCCGTCTATAAAATTATTTAAATTAGTGATAAATTAATTAATATCATATAATAATATCAACTGATATCTCATGTGATAAAAAAAAGATCAAAATAAAATTCTTTAAAAATTTAAAGATCAATGATAAAATATTTCAAAATTTTACATAGTTTATAAAATATTAAATTTAAAATTATAATTTTATATTTTTTATTGTAATATAATTTATTAGTTAGATTTTTTTAATAAAAAATAAATTTTTAAAAATTACAAATTACAAATTCCTTTTGTTAAAAATTTAATATCATTTTAAAAACAAAAAAATTATATTAAAAATGTTATTTTATTCATAAATTATAATAAAAAAATATTATTTCTAACCAAAAGATTTATTTTTTTAAATATTAAATATCTTTTTTTTTTCAAATAAAATTTAAATCATTGCACCTCTAGTTAAATCCAAATATCAGCTCCAACGAGATCAAATCAACATAAATTTTTCATTAAAATTTTTTTTAATTACAATTACAATAATTTTTTTTTTCAATTACAATAATTACAATAAATTTTATTACTGTTTTCAATCTCATCGTCCATCTAAATAGAGCCTATATGTGCTATTAACCCTAACAAAAAAATGTGATTGCATAAGGAAATCAGAGAGAAAATGGACGAAACTCGGTAAATGGAATTACTTTCTTGTCATTACAAATTAGAACTACAATGAGATTTTGTCTGAGAGTTCATCACATCATTCAAAATGAGCTGCAGCATACAAATTACAATACACATTTCCATCCACAAACAACAAAACACAAAAACCACAACTAGATCAAGTTATTACTTGAGGAACCTGTCAAACCAATCATTTGCTTCTTTCACCATTAACGGTGTCATTTGGTGGCCTATTCCAGGTTGTACGATGAGCTGCACATTAAGGAAACAAAACATATGAAATATTAACTCATAACAGTGCCATTTACTCTTTTATTTCTCCACATGCTAGGTAACTCATAAGAGTTACCTACATGAATAGACATCTTGAACTACATACCTAAAGAGCCATTACAGGAACTGAAGTAAGTACTTTCAGAGTAATTGTCACCTACTAATCCATCCATTACCTTAAAATTGTTTGAAGAATGAGCCTTTCCATAAGCCTTGCGAGCCCTCTTTGTGGGATTTTTTATACCATCAATCGGGCAACGTGGATCATCAGCACCTAATAATTGTCAAAGCCAAAGCGTTCTTTTTACTGAAACGTGCATAACAACTTCACTGGTAAAAAATGCAAAAACTTTCCTTCAAGCATTTTATACATAACCAAGGAGGCAAATTCTGACATCCCCCAAAGTTCTGGTGACTTGAAGTGCAAAAAGAGTATTATACCGTTTAAAATCAGCAGTGGTCGTGGTGCAATAGCTGGAATTGAGTAAGGTGAATCAAACCGGGATGCTAGACCAGGAGCAATCCGATCCCAAACCTAGTCAAAGGAGCAGCAGATGTAAACCAATGTTAGATGATAGCATTAACGAAGCAACTTAATTCAGCTCAATTGTATTAAAGAGAATCATGTTAATTCACCTTCTTCACCACTTCTTTATCAATTGCACTCTTGCCTAGATCAATCCTTGCTTCTGAAGAAAATTATTAAAGATAATAAGAGACACAAAGTGCTGAAGCAGCTTCTCATTGAAATTAAGCTATAGTAACAAGAATGCTTCAAGAAATTGATAATTCATGCCAGTCATAATCAGAATAACTCAGTATTAACTCAACTAAATGTAATCATTTTCATAATATGGTGCAATTTTGTAATCAGCTTAACATTTCATATTGTTACATAGAAGCCTTTACTTCAGGAACTCCAATAAAGAAAGGTCGGCTAATTTTAGATACACCTTTCATGTAAGCGTTCAAGGTAGCTTTATATTCATATATAATCTAAAAATCAGCCTAAACTTGATAAAAGGTAGCTACATTACAATGAATCCTAAATTTATAGGCAAACCTAACAAATTCTCATTTCCAAGTACTCTTGTCAATATTACCTTCAAATACAGCCCTTATACTGTCAACTCGAGCCTGCCATTTGTCATGGTCTATGGCCCATTGAAATCCCTACAAATATATAACATGAAAGTTTTCTTAATTATTTGTAAAGAATGTTTTCTTATGCTTTCAAGAATTTACAAAATTTTGTTCACCTGAACACCAATTATTGGAGCAGCAACTGCAAAGCGAGTGTCAGCAAAGGCAGCAAACCAAGCATGCATTCCTGCATTTCATAATGTTCACTTCAATTCTACATGCTATATGCAGTAAGTATACATGCATATTTCCGTAACTTCAAATCTCACTTAACGAACCTCCAAGTGATTCACCAGTAATTCCAATTCTACTAGTGTCTATATCTTTTCTTTGAGTCAGATAATCTGCTAGTTTTATTAAATCCTACACCTGCAAGGATGAAAACCTCAGAAGAAGCAGAACATTTGGAAATTTAACTGTGCAAATCTTACTAAGTTTTAACTCTCCCCTGGCTTTAAGTAGCATTCCATTTTGAGCCATAGGAACTAAAAGGTAGAAACAATAACTTTCACAGAACTCAAAACAAAATTATAAAAAAAAAAAAAAAAGAACAATGGAATTACTGTATCAAATAGAAATGGCATTGTATCTCCTTTTTTCCATGATGACACTAGAGCCTGCAGTTCAAATAGCATTCTGTTATTAGAAGCATTGATTAAAAGAAAATTAGAAAAAACCATACCCAAGATTGGTCCAAATTATCACTTAATTAAAAGCATACTAAGTTGCACATGGATTCATGTATAAGTGTTCTACACCAGAGGCAAAACTAATCTACTGAAAAGTAATCAATTTTCTTGTGACTTATGTCAAAAAAAAAAAAGGTTAGAACTTATTCAACATCATTTCTGCATGATTGCTATCAGAATAGAAGTTGTCCACACTCTGATTCATATATTTTTCTCAAATAATGAAGTGAAACTGATTTTAACACAGTTTAAACTAAAAGAACATTGGATATAGTTTACACACATCTCGATAGGTAGTGAGGTTGTGAGCACGTTCACCATGGTAGCGAGAATCGATAGCAATGGCTATGTATTCCCTTGAAGCATATGCCTGAAGGAGGAAAATGAAAAGATGAAGGTCATCCTAGTAAATAAGAGCTAATAAGGAAGGGCAGGGATAAGTATAGCTACCTCAAGCAGTGATCGCAACCACTCTTTGTTCTTATTGGTACTATGCAGAAAAACAACAGCAGGCCTTCTTTTCTGACTGCTGTCTTTCAAGCTTAAGATTAACACAGGCAACTGTCCTTGCTCTCCAGCCTATCAGAAATCAACAAGATTTAGATTACCAATTAATTCTGATATTGAAACTAGAATAACGTATAAATCTGATTACTTGAATGCTTCAGTTTAATTGAATAAGTGATTTCAGAAACGCCAATTACCTCAGTGTGCAAATAAAGGTTTTCCCCCTGAAGCCGTTCCTTGAGATTTTTAATAGGAGCCTTCGGACAAGACTCCATTGCCTGGTCAAAATTCTCAAAGAAACTATTACTCCAGTAATAAAAATCAAATATTTCCTAGTAGTCCACTACTCAAAAGTCAAAATACACCCTTCTCTGAAAGATAAGAAATTGACCTCACTGAAGGTCGGTATAGGAACTTCTTGAAAGAAAGGATGCAGAACGGGTTTCGCAGGTTCCACAGTCAGAGGAACTGAGAATTTAAAAAAAAAAAAAAAAAACCACTTTTCAGTGCATATAAATAGTAAGTTCAATCATTGATATAAAACAAAAAACAAACACAGCACTAGGAAAGGCGGTGGTTCAATTCGGAGTAGTTTTGGGAATGGGTGGTTTGACCTCGAGGAGATCGTCTGGTACGCAGAAGATGAAGGAACTGAGATCGAATCTTGTCAGCATCATCATTAATAGTACTACTGTGTTCTACTTCAAATGCTGCGAGGCCCAACCAGAAGAAGAAACAAATGTCTTGGAAGGAAGAAGAAGAAGAGATCCTGTTTCTCATTTTTTTTTTAAAGAAAGCCGAGAGAATTCTCTTCTTTGTTTGGCTTTGAAAATTGAAATGGCAAAGTCTAAGCCTTTTCATCTTAATCTGTCTCTTTTCTTTTTTTTTCCTTTCTTGATAGAATGAAATTTGGATTTTTATAAATTGGAAATTAAGGTGCTTTTCTTTCTTGATGACATGACAATAACTGATATGATTAGACTATTTAGGCTCAGATGTAACTGTCGTGATCGACCCTCCAACTAGCCTAACCTGCATTTCTATTTGGACCATAGGATCGGGCAGCTCACCTTTGGAGCTACTTTCCACAAATGGCTGCGGCTTTCCTTCAAATTTCAGGTCTGCATAAAACCATGCTTGCTTTTTTTCTTTTTTTTTTTGCTAGCTTTGGTGATATAATAATGTTCCTAATCCTTGATTTTTCAACTGTAAGTTTTGGGGTTGGGGGAAACAAATATGTGATCGCATGAGGAAAACAGAGAGAAATTACATCAAAGTCTGTAAAATGGAATTACTTTCTTATTACGAATTAGAACTACATTTAAGGAGATTTTATCTCAGAGTTCATCACATCAATCAAAATGTAGCATACTGATTACAAAACACACTTCCATCTACAAACAACAAACACAGAAACCTTAAATGGATGAAATTATTACTTGAGGAACCGATCAAACCAATCACTCGTTTCTTTCACCATTAATGGGGTCATTTGGTGCCATATTCCAGGTTGTGCAATGAGCTGCATAGTTAGGACGCAAAAGATATAAGATAAAAGCACCAAAATTCCAGTGGAGCTGCAACCTCATCTTAAATAACAAAGCATGGATTCCAAGACGCCAAACATGATTAAATGGAGAACATGCACATGCATCCATCACACCAATGATTATGCACACATGACGTGCATATTCATGCACTAGCACACTTGTAAATGTCAAAGAGGGAGCACGTATTATGGTTTCCAGAGATCCCCATAAAAAATGTATTAGTAGTTTTCTGCTTTGTATCTTTAGGAGTTTCCCCATGCAACAATTGGCCGCTTGAGTAGACAACCTCGCTTTTAGGTCCTTTTGGCAAACATAGAAAAGTTCCTGGTGATTTCAGAATTATTCAGCAGCAATCCCATACCTTAAACTTATCTGAACAATGCGCCTCTTCATAAGCCTTGCATGCCCTTGTCTTTGCAATTTCTAGGCCATCAAAGGGGCAACGATCATCTTTAGCTCCTAAATGTTGTCAAAGCCAATAAGAAAAAGTTTTAACCATATTAGTAAACGTCAGGACCTAACAGTAAAATACTAAAATTAGATGAACTTCCAAAGCAATTAAATTACGGGATATAAAATAATAAAAAAGGTATTATACCATTTGCAATCAGCAAGGGCCGTGGTGCAATTGCTGGGATTGTGTTAGGTGCATCGAACTGGCAGGCTAGACCAGGAGCAATCCTATCCCAAACCTGGTCAGAAAAGTGCAACCATAAAATGTGATTAACAGTAGGTGACAGCATAAAAGAAGCTGCCTTAATTAGGTTTGTGAAAGATGAAAATGTACGGGAACGAGTCAGAAGCTGCCAGCAGAACTGGCACCATCAACAAGATTAAAGGTCAATGACTTGTAAATCCTTTATCCCATTTATGTGTCACCCCATTTAACTTCAACTCTTACAAAGTTTAGGCTCTTTTAAAAGCGGTTTTGGATGTACATTATACTTATGTACCATTATCCAATATCATGATTTTTAATTGGACTTCTGAATCTCAGTTGTGTGTGCGTGAGCATCTATTGTGTATGAGTTTTCTTACCTCTTGTTCAGAAAGTAAATACTCGATGAAATAATGTGCCACTTACTTTACCAAATGTCCCAAACTGAATGGTGGTTCTTGTTAAGGATTTTTAATTCATGAAGTTTTACATTTTTTTAAACTATTTACACAAAAAAAAAAAAAAAAAAAACTTAACAGTTTAGCCAAAAGCTTTAGAATATCCATTTAAAATGAAACGTTCAATCAAAATATCCCTCATCCTAAAATGTTGTTCGGGACAACTGTAACATACAAAAGAGCACGGAAAGAGACAAGAAGGAACGTTAGTGCTGCACCTCTTTTAAAGTGGTAATTGGCAAATAGCAAGTTACATGGAATATGTCTGCAAATGTGCAAGAAAAAACATAACTGACCTTCTCCACCACTTCTTTATCAATTTCATTCTTGCCTAAATCATTCCTTGCTTCTGAAACAAAATTATTTAAGAAATCAGTGAAAAAAGACAAAACAGCTTCCCACTGAAATGAAGCCAGAGCAAGTAACTAGCTTCAATTAAGTGATATGATGTGCCAATCCTAATCTAATGAATTAGTCTAAATCTACTAAAACTAATCATTTACATAAAATTAGTACAGTTATATGAGTTATTAGCCATTTCTTTTTGCACTATACTGGTGTTAAATTCGGAAACTAGAGTAGAATACAAGTTAGTTAATTTTAAGCCTAAATTGCTCTTGAGTACATATATTAATATTTAAGATAGCTTCATGCAGAGTCTCAAACTGGATAAAAGATTACTCCTCCAGCATGAACATAAATTAATTAAACCAATCATATTGAAACCAAACCTTATCAAATTCTTTTCCAAGAATCATGGCAAAAATTACCTTCAAATACAGCCTTTATACTGTTAACTCGAGCCTGCCACTTGTCATTGTCTATTGCCCACCGAAATCCCTGCAAATATATAACATGATATTTTGTTAATAACTCAAAAATTGTAATTAATGCTTATAGGATTATAAATTTTCAATTACCTGAACACCAATTATGGGGGCTGCCACTGCATAGCGGGTGTCAGCAAAAGCAGCAAACCATGCATGCATTCCTGCATTTCATGATATTCACGTAAATTCAACACTGCAACGTGAGTAAATATCTAATATTTCAGTCCCTTCAAATCTCAGTCAACAAACCTCCAAGTGATTCACCAGTAATTCCAATCTTATTAGGATCTATATCCTCTCTCTCTGTTAAATAATCTGCAAGTTTTATCAAGTCCCATACCTAAACGATGAAAAACCTTAAATGAATTGAAATGCTCAAAATAACAACACAGTTTAAGGACTGGAATCCCATTGACAGCTTAAAGTAACATCTCTTATAAGCCATAACTACAACACAAATTAAACAACAGAATTTCAATAGTTTCATATAACTCCTGACTAGTCATAAAATTTCCTTTTTATTTAATTTTTTGATTGATTACCAGTCATGAAATTCCTATAGAAACAAAACAGACCAGAAATATAGATAAATCGAACAAAAAATAAAGGGCTTACCGTATCAAATATGAATGGCATTGTATCCCCATTTTTCCACGATGATACCAGAGCCTGCAATTAGATAGGCTAGTGACTTTAGGATCACTTTCCAAGTGGTTTATCCCAAAATATAATAACAGAAATGTACAAATAAGAATAAATTTTTTTAGACCTTTCCATTCCACCCAGTAAACTAATACAAGTCAATTAGCCCATATTCTGATTCATTTTTCTCAAATCATATAGTTAAATAAAATAACCCAGATTAAGGAAAAATAAAACGTTGGACACAATTTACATACATCTTTATAAGTGGTTAGACCGCTGGCACGTTCACCATGGTATCGGGAATCAACACCAATGGCAACATATCCCCGTGAAGCATAAGCCTGAAACAAGAAAACAGAACTGAAGTTAGCAAATTATAGCTAACAAAAGAAGACCCTGACAAAATTCAACGGTTTAGTTCATCTTACTTCAAGCAATGGGCGTAACCACTCTTTGCACTTATGTGTACTGTGCAGAAAAACAACAGCAGGCCTCTTTTCTTGATTGCTTTCTTTCATACTTAAAATTAACAGGGGCAATTTTCCTTGCTCTCCTGCCTATAAATGACCAAGATACACTAAGTTTTCATTCTTTAACACACACACACATATATACAATTAAATTAGCTTATATCAATTCTTTTTTTACAGCTCCAATTAATTACCTCAGTATGGAGATAAAGATTTTCCTCTTTAAGCAGTTCCTTGAGGTTTCCAAAGTTGGCCTTTGGGCAAGACTCCATTTCCTGGTAGATTAACAAAAAAAAATGCAGTAAATTTTTGTTTTTTTAACAGTTTACTGGTCACAGTAAGAAAAATCATGAAGGAGAATTGAATTATACCTCACTGAAAGTTGGGGGAGGAACTTGATATAAAGGGTTAACCACAGGTTTTGCAAGTTCCACAGTCAAAGGAACTGAGAGGGAAAGAAAAGGGAAATTCCAATTAATTAATGCCATTAATATAAATTGGTAATGTGTTGGAGAGATTTGTGGGGTTTTTTTACCTTGAGCATCTCGTCTGGTACGAAGTAGTTGAAGGAACTGAGACCGGAGTTTTTCAGTATCGGTAATTGTGCTGTTGTCTTCCATTTCTGTTTCACTCAATCTGCTGCTGGCGATTGCTAAATTTCCATTTTGGCTATGATATTTATAAGGAATTAGCGATCGGACTATTTTTTCTCTTTTAAATTATATTTTAGATAGGAGAGAAGTAAAATTTTTATATTAAATTTTAATAGATAATAACATTTAAATAAATATAAATATAATTATTTTTTAAATATAAAATTATAATTTAATTATATATAAATGTAATTTTCTATTAAAATAAATTATTAAATAATATATTTATTAATATAATATATATAAATTAAGTAAATAATAAAATTTATTCTTTTATATATTGTAGCAAAGTACTCAAATTCAATTTTTATTTGACACTAATAGCTTTAAAAAGAAAATTTTAACCCAATTATTATTTTTAAAAAAATTGCAATAACAAATCAAAATTTATTGGATATAGATTGTTTTATAATTTTTACATTTATTGATTTTTTTTACAAAATTTATTTAATAAATAAAATTTAAAAATAAAATGATTTGACATATGAATTATTAAATTAAAATATTAAATAATATTTTTAATAACATATATATAATTAAATAAATAATAAAATATATATTTTACAAGATTGAAACGTAAAATTAAAAACTTTAACTTAACACGACTTTGATTTAAAAAAAAAACTCTAATCAATTATCACAAATTATAAAAAAAAAAACACCAGTTGAATCGAAATAAATTAAAAATTATCAAATATGAATTTTTTATCATTTTTATCTCAATTAAATTTTTTTATTATAAAATTTATCTAATAAGAAAATAAAAAAAAAAACAAAAAAAAGCTTTAAAAAGAAGTAAATGCCACAAAAACATCCAAAACAAAATGAAATACCTTAAATTCATCTTTAATCACATTTAAACAAAAATTTTGATATAATTTAAATTTTAAAAAATATATTTATGTTGGATCGATGTAAATTAAAATATAAAAATTATTTTATCATCTTTATCTTTATTGATTTTTTTAATGAAATTTATTAAATAAAAAATAAAATTTAATAAAAATAAAATAAAAAACGAAAAAAAATGAAGGAAATGAAAATACCGCGTAAATACCTTCTCCTTCTGTTTTTTACAAAATTAAGTATTAGTTTTTTTTTTTTTGAAGGTGGGTCAGGGGTCGCACATGTGGTAGACAGCACACGTGTCTTGTCGTTGGTAGCAGAAAATCGAGTTATGCCAGGGTCTGAGAGGCAACCATTTTTCAAATTCATTCAAACATCGAAAAAATGAAAAAGCAAAGCACGCAAGGAACAAGACAACAAGGTACGTGGAAGGGAAGCCCCCTTTTTTGTCCATATAGTAGTACTACTGTATTTTTATTATTTTTTAGTGAGAAGAAATAATAAGGCCTAAAATGTTATACCCAAAGAAGGCCCAGAACCAATTGTAACACTGTTTCCTTTAGGGTACATGATTGTAAGTTTTAACACTGTTTTGGCCCCTTCGGCTAAAAGGAAAGTGAAATGAAGGGGAAACACAAGGCCATAACCATAAAAAAACAAGATTTTGCTTGAATCAAAAGTGGTAAGAGGGGAAGGAAGGTGAAAGGAAGCTCCATTTTGTTTTTCTACGTATTTCACTTCAGAATGGAAAACCAGTTTAGGAAGTTGCTACGAAGCTCCTCCACCCACCCAGAAACTTCAACAATGCATCTTTTTGCTCAAGCATTTTATGTCAGATGGATACAACTACAATCTATTCCAGTATGCATCATTTTTGGAATACCAGATTTTGCAAAAAGTAATGCCTTCATACTACTTGCAGAAAGCTAAGAACTTAAAAAGGCATAATTGAATTATAACAAATATAAAGGTAAGCACTGGATTAATCAATTCAGGATCCAATGGTGCATCTGATAAAACTGATATTATTAAGACTAGCACAAGAGCACAATAGCCCCCAAAAAAATCCAAAACGATTATTTCACTAGTTCCTAATGTTGTAAGACGGTAAGGGTCTAAGCATCTAGCTGTTATGGTTAACTCTTCAACCAACATTTCTAATAATAGGAGCTAATGTCATATCCAAGAATCAAGAGGAGGGAGAAAATGGGGACCTTAACATAAGAATGAATGCTGATACTTAGAACTATCTTTGTCGCTAATTCGAGTCCTTAATCTCCACACCCTTTCCAATAGGCAATTCATGCTTCAAAGGAAGATGAGTATTCAAAGCAGAAGAGCATGCAGAGACAGTCTGACCTATTTCTACAGTTGCTGAGATTGGAGATTTTACAATTCCACTACAATAAGGCTCCTTCAGTCCACCTGCACGAGTTCCAGATTCTACAACACCATTCTCCACAGGTTCTTCTTGTTGAATTTTTTTTTCACCTGTGCCCATTGGAGACCACATTGTTTCTGTAACATGTATGAGGGCAAATCATCATTCAAAAACATTAATCAAAAAATGCACACCTAAGAATTAAGATTAAAAGACTGCACACCTACTATTTTATTTCTTTCAATTCTAAATTTTTCAACATCCAGAAACTAAAACCTTCAGCATTAATCAGATTATATGGAGCCCTAAACAAAATCCATAACAGAGTGAGAATTGTAATGGATATAAGGCAGCAACTTCACCATTTGGAGCAAAGTTTCCAAGAAGAAACCCTGATTGGATTTTGCCCATAATAAATTATCAAAATTTGGGAGTCTAACATTGTGAAACCAACTAGATTACCTTTTATGGTCCCACAAGTAATGAGCTGATTGAGGAAATCACAGAACCTTGTCAAAACAAGCTTTTCCTGCTCTACATAGACCTCTGTGCACTCATGCCCATTTGATGATTTTTGAGTCATGTTTTGAGAATGGCCTGTCAATACATTAGGTGACCCAGCTGCCATAAACATTACATCTTCTTCATCACACATCAATGCACGTGTTCCAGGTGACAGTGGCCTTCCGTTTTGCACATCATCACCATCTGCTCCAGAGTTGCCACTTCCATCTGCATTTCCCTGGTTCTCACTGCTACGTTCATCAGTGGCACTGTTATGAACGTAATTACCTTTCTGACTCATTCCATGCACCTGACCAGATGAAACAATAGTTTCGATAGGGCCTCCCTCTGTTTCCCGATCCATTTTGCTACTTTTCTCTGGAGATTGTAACTTCCACGTTAGTACTACTATATGCTATCTTCCAATGAAGTAACAAAATGCATTCAAATTGTGAATCCTGCTATGGAAAATTAACCACACTAGCCCAAGATGAATCAAGTATGGAATTATGTTTAATGATACATGATTCATATATCATGGAGGGAGAAATATATTGGTCAAGAAACAGTGTTCAGACCATCACTTAAAATTTTTTTCTATGTCTTTGCTTAATGCATGAAACAGGTATTACAAATAAGATGACATTCCTAGGAGTCTATAGGAAGCAAGTTTGAGGTTTTGATTTTTCTTTTGGAATCCATCCAATTGACTATATTCATGAGAAAAATCATCACAAAGAACCATGAAAGATAGAGATTAGAGAGTCTCAATGATGATGAATAGGTCAACCATTGAGTCCTCCAGAGTCCAGACCACAGTAACTTGTCATACATATAATTTTGATGTGTAACAAAGGAAATATCGTGGACTTTTCAAAGGTTATTGTTCTCAACATTTCCATCAACATTCCCATCCATATAATATTAAGACTTTGTTTACTTAAGTTTATTTATTTTTTTCACTATTTCGTCAATCTTTCTATATGATTTAGAAAAGTTTCTATATTATGCCCCTATAGGCTATAAAAGTACCAGCAAAGTTTTTCCAATTTCTTTCGAAGAGGAATGCTTGAGTCACTATGATGACTTTCATTCAATAGCATTACTACAAAGCAAATCCTCTTGGCTTCCATAATACATACTCATTGTTTTTCTATAAAATAATTTATCAGCTTCACCTATGCAGGCCTAATGGCAGAATCATTACCTTAAACTTATCCACACAGTTGTAATATTCAGTCATGGCTTTTACAATGCAAATATAAGTTTTCTACGACTAAATATAAAAGCAGCTACCTTACTGACCTTCCCTCTAATTTTACAGATGACAAAAGCTTTTATCATTCAAAGCTAAGAAGGGGAAATGTATGGAGAAGATACAGATTGCAGGAAGACAACTTTTAACAAGGATAAATTTTGGAAACATGTGATCAACTGATAGTACATACAACATATTCATTGTGGCAATTTCAGTAATATGATTAACTAAAAAGTTGACACTAATACTGAATGAAAAGAAACAACAAGTTCTGTATGTATGAATAATAAGTAGTACCTGCAGCAAGTGCCCTTCCAGCTTCTGATGAAACTAACACCAAAACTGAACATAGCTCCTTCACATCTTGTAGTTGGAGGATGTTCGCCAATGGAGATCTTCAATAATGTATAGTGACACTAATTAGCTCCTAAAAGGGGGAAAGAACCAAAAAAGGATGTTTCTGTTAATTACAGGCAGATTAAAGATCCACACAATTCTACCTGTATGTGAATTTCGAAGATCCCAATGATGCTGTATTAGCAGTGCGAGAAACAGAAGCGGATAATGGAGAAGATGTGACAAAAGAATTTCTTAGATGATTTTCCTGGTTGGAATTAAGAAATAGATTAGTATCCATTTTCTCCTTGAAAAAGAAGAGGAAACAGCCAATATTTTTTGTCTGCATCATGTAATAATTAGAATCTTAAAAACAGCTGAGACAAAATTTGGGGCTTCAAAATTTAACTGCTTTTTTCTATTCATCTCTAAATATCATTATTTGCATCAATTTGCAAAGGTACCATATAGAATAGATGATTCCTAATGAGAAAGCCACAGAGTCCATCTACACAATTATTTTTCATTTAGATACCATGAGTAAAATAAAAAAACCTTTGATGCCTGATAGAAAAGGTGGTTATAAGATGATCCCATAACATAAAGCATAATTTTTCTCTAAAGGTTGCACAAATCCAATCAGCAACCTTGATCAACCAAGATGACTCTTGCATATAATCATAATTTCAAAATAAAAAATCACCTGTTGCTGTTGAACAATCTTTTGAATGGATTGATCTTTGACTGCTAGACCAAATAAGAGTTCTTCACTTTTTCTCTTCTTGGATGCCAAAGAAGTCCCATAGCCAGACAATCCAATGGCACCACTAATGGCTGCATTTGCAGCCTGTTGCATGTAAGCCATGGAGATATGATCTCCATGAACGAGAGCTCTTCTTTCTTCACTTCCTTCAAAGTTCTTGCAGTCCATGCACTTGCAATTTTCTGAGCATAGAATATTAGCTTGGAAGCACTCACAATACTTCTTGAGACAACCAGATTTCTTGCAGTGACATCCTTTATTGTGCTTTCCGACCATTTGGACATCATTTGCATCGTCCTGGATTTGTTTCCAGAAAATAAGAAATTCTAAAACTTGGCAAAATCAATTTTCATTTTTCTATATAAACAACTATATTGATCGTTGCATATCCTGCTTCCACAAGATGCAATAACACAATACCATACTTCAAATAAAAAGAATAAAACCAAAAGAATAATTAAAATAGGCTCAGTTTAACATTATTCTTCACAATTGAACCTCATAGGAAGGAAATAAAAGCTGGAAAATCTCGTTGCTGTCACCTAGTATCACTTATAATGAGGCAGCTTGAAGGTGTCAGATAACATACCCTAGCATCCTGAGGTGTGTGGGGACTGCTGGCAATCTTCGGTCTAAATGCATTTGGATTGCGTTCTAAGGTTGCTCCAACTGCCTCTTGCCTTGCTGCTTCATTCTCCACATTGTTATGGCAATTTACGCAATTGCAACCGTTACAATAAATTCCAGAAGCAAAGCACTCACAGTACCTAATAATAACCCAAAAAAAATATGCACATCGGTTCCACATAAAAGAAACACAGGAAAAATATGATGGACCACAACCATAAAGCAACAAGTTCAAACATACACTAACAAATGCAAGTATTTATTGGTTCAATTTAAATCAGATAATTCAGTTAACTAATAAATCCAAAATACTTGGTGAAGGAAAAATCATATAAACCGAGTGTTAGTTAATTGTAATCAAATGAAGATTGATTCACATTTCCACAAGAAAACCACTAGTACGAGGAAAACATTACTACATGTGACCAAAAAGTTTCCCCCAAAGAGAATTTCATATTTACGCTGAGAATAACAGATCATCTACCACAGGCAGAAGAAGAAAATGGAGTAAGCAGAAGTCAATCAGCACTTTGACCCATCACTCTTATTCAAACAACACTTCCTAAAAGCGGAACCCATATAGAAACTTTTTTTAGGTCTCCACAAATGATCAATAACATCATATCAAGTAGCACTTTGATATCTACAATTTATTGATCAAACATGTAAATAAAAAGCTGATATAGAATTCAAATAGGTGTTGGAAAACTCACAACTTCAAGCACCGAGAATTCTTGCAATTACACTGCTTTTGTTTCTTTGGAGTCCCATCTTTTGCTTCAGCATGGGCACGTGATCTAGACCTTGGGGACTCTTGCTTGCTGGACAAACACATACGCACAAAGAGTTAAAAACAACATTATGATATAAGTATATTTCTAGTTGTACATAATGTTCTCACTATTTTACAGTGCCAATAAAACCTAAAAGGTTTCTTTAAACAGAAAAACCAAAAAAGCCAACAGATAACGGTAATCTAAAAAGTTCAGTTGTTGCTTATTCAAAAAAAACAAGAAAAAATAATTAGATTCTGAAATTAGAAAAAAGAAATTGCCAAAAAGAACAAATGACTTTGTTTTTAGGATCAATTAAAGTCTATTTAAATCATAATTGCGCTTATTTTCAAGATAAATAAATCTTCAAGGCATAAAAACGTGATATAATTTTCTTTTCTAACAAAAAAGACATTTCTAATCTAGAGGGAAATTAAAGATTTTAAGAAAAGCTACCTCAATTGAAATGTTGCCAGCGGAAGCTTCTGGACTGGATGAGGTACTCGATGCACCACGCCAACTTGCGGCAGAGGTGGTGGCGGCTGCGTTTGAACTTGCGGTGTTGTCGGTGACTGAGGTTTTTGTTGTGGCTGCAGCGGCGACTGAACCTTTTGCGGCTGTAAATATAACCGCAATTGCAGTTCCTGCGGTTGCTGCTGATGTTTCGTCTGCAACGGCGTTTGCGATTGCCATTGCGGTTGAGGCTGCGGCTGCGACTGTGACTGTAAATGCATCGGGTGATCCGGTAACGTCACATTTGCCGACGCGCGACACACCCCTGTGAAATCTAATTGCCTAGCCAATTTCTTCGGTGCGAAATCCGAAACCGTTTCTCCTTGCTCCATTATCCAATCTTCATATAAACAAATTAACTTAAATAAATAATAATAATAAAATCAGACTAAATTAAATTGAAATTCAAACGCATAAACGCAAGCTATGGAGTTTTCCTTTCTTTTTTACCGTTCAAAATTCCGTTGAATGAAAATCTAAAGACAAAAATAAAGGTTTGGAGAATTTGCAAGGAGCTAAGCCGCCATAATCTAAAGTTTTGTAAGGAAATGTTTGCCTTTTTATTTCTTCTTCAGCCTGTGCCTCACTCCCTCTCCCAGTTACTTTGAAATTGAAATTTAGAAAAATGGATGGTTGAGTTTGTTTTGGATTGAATCGGACGGATGAAATTGAAATTCTTGATTGACGGATGAGATTTGGGAAAAGGAGTCGAGACTGAATGAAAACCGTTGGATTAAGATAGATTTAGGTTTTTTGTTTTTGCTGGGAAAGTGAGGGGAGTGGAATTTGGCGCTAAGGGAGTCAGAAAGCGATTGGATTCTCCTTTTTATTTACACGTGTACGGATGAGATTGGTTTATGGTCTAAAATGGACGGAAGATATCCCAAGTGTTGAATATCTAAAAGGAACACGTCTTCTAATTACAATTCAAATTAAAATTAAAATAAAAAATTGTGTTTGCCACGGAAATTTGTGAAGCATGCAAGGATAAACACCGTCGCTTTATAAACTTTAAAATTTCGGGCCCTCAAAAGATATTTGTTTTGTTTTTTTTTTTTTTTAATTAGGGCTCAAATTGATTTTTCTTTTTTTTTTTTTTGAGATTTCCCCTCTTTTGAAAGCTGTAAAAAGAGAGTAGCATTGTGATTATTTAAAATATTAATTACTATAAGGTAACGTTAGTTAACGTTTATAGTTGTAGGCTTTGAGAATGTTTCGTTATTATAAATATCAATGAACTATTATGATTTTACATTTATGAGAACTAAATGAAGTTCGATTTTTTATTTTCAAAACCCTCAAGTTTATAAAAAAAAAAAAAGAAATTTAAAATTAGTAATGATAATTAGGTGAAAATTTTTATTTTATCTTATTTAAATTCAAACATTTGATTCATGATTAATGCATGATTTTATAGTCAAACGAATTAATCTTTCATTTTCGAATTATCAAACAGAAATTAAAGGTTTTATCTATTACATAATCATAATTTTTATTGATCTAATGAAAGTTATTATTATTAAATATAACGTTGAAATTTTTTCACTCTAAAAAATTTAGGTTCTCTTTATTACTTTTTAATACACTTGTCATCATCGTTTACATGTAACCATCCATAAATTTATGAACAGTAATAATGAATTGATGTATTGAAAAGTAAAAGAGGGGACCGTTGAAAAAAGTAAGTAAATAAAATCATATGCTATATAAATCCATGAATTCTATTACATAATTTAATGATTTTGCACTTATTAAATTTTTATGCAAATTATGCATAAAAGAAGACAAAATTATGAATTTCCATTTTTTTCGTCAGCCCAACTCTCGAACGCGACATTTGTTGATATTTAAAGTTACCAAAGATCAAACTCTAATCCCGGTAATTAATTAATATATATTTGCATCTTATACTTGATTGATTCCTTATATACAATTATACTGGTGCTATTAGCTTCTACCAATAATTAAGGATTTTGAGTCTCTCCCAACCACCGCAAGTAAATGCATCAATGCAAATGCTTCTAACTCATGATGAGAAGAGTTTGGTTAATAATTTTAGAATGCATTTGGATGGAGAATTTTAAAATATTATGAAATTATATAATTTTAAAATGTATTATTTTAAAATATTAATATTTGCAATTATTTTTTTAAATAAACATTTAAAAAAATTAGTTTATTAGAATTTGAGGAGATAAAAAATAATTATAAAAGAATAATAATATTAAAAATAAAAAATATATGTGTAAATAAACATGCAATAGGAGTATCATTAAATTTATACAAATATATTGATATTATTAATAATATAAAAAATAAAAAAATATTATTGCTAAATAATATGATATTTATTTTTTTTCAAAATTTTTATTTTATGATGAAACATACACAATAAAATAGAGGATTTTGAGGAATTTTGAAAAACCACATTTTGGTAGAATTTCAAAAGAAAATTTGAGCACTTTAAATTTTCTTTTTAAATTTTATCTAAATTTTAAAATTTTTTCTTTTTACTCAAAAAATTAAATTCATTATTGAACTTTTAAAAACCTTAATTCAAAAGAAATCCGTCATTCAAATACTTTGTCTAAACACACTTCTAGGCTTTATTTATTTCATGGAAAATAATTTTCAAAAAATAATTTCAGATTTTCAGATGTTTATTTTGCAAAAAATTGATTAGTCAACATAAATTGGCTTGTTGATCAATAAAAAATAAGATCATTTTTTTGGATTTGTTTTACGAATTTGAAAAAATAAAGATATTTTTCAAAAAAAACTGTCTATGAGTAGAATTATTTATTAATACTTCTAAAATAATTTTACTTATAAATAATGTTATATTAATAAATAAACAATACTATAGCATATTAATAAATAATATACTATTAATAAATAATATTATAATATATTAATAAATGATATATTATTAATAAATAATATAACAATAAATATTATTAATTTAATTAATAAATATTATAATAATATATTAATAAAAATATACTATTAATATAATATATTAATAAATATGATTAATAAATAATATTATAATATATTAATAAATAATATAAAGAATAATAAATAGTTTTATTTTAAGTATTTTTTATATTAACATAATATTTTAATATTAAATATTATTATTAAAATATAATTATTTTTTAATATTAATAATTTTAATAATAAATAATTTCAATATATTTTAATAATAAATAGTTTTTAATATTTTAATAATTATATTAATATTATTTGAACAAAATATTTTCAAAAAACAATAAAACAACCAACAAAAAATATTTTTCATTAACTCATCCAAACAACAACAAAAAAATTTTAATTTAGAAAATATAAATTATTTTTCAAAAATTATTTTTTATGAAACAAATGAAAGCTTATATTACATTTCCATTTGGATGGAATTCAATTAATTTGAAAATAAAAAAGATAGGACCAAAATTATATAAATAGCCTGCTATCATTTTGACAACGTTTATATACTTTTGAATTTTTTTTAATAATGACAAAAGCCGAAAAATAGTTTACGACATTTATAGATTATAGGAAAATTCACTCCCCGTCAGCTGAAAGAAAAGTTGAGATTTCAATCTAATGGGACCATAGAATATTCTCGATATCCGTATCCATATTACAACCTGGTTTGGCCAAAACATTCGCCCAAAAAGTTTACTTCGCTCCAGATATGATGGAACGTACCCAATTTCCTATCCTTCAACTCTCGAATATCATCAATTAATTTTTCAAGCGGATGAAATTTAATATCTACAACTAAGGTAAAAAAATTATAATTGATAGTTAAACAAAGAATTAAGCAATTAATGAATTATTTATCATGATGAAATTTTAAACTCCATATATAAGTGATTTTGTTATAATATTATCATGTACATTTATTTATTATATTTATTGAATATAATAAATATATTTTAATAAGATTTGTGATAATCATTTAATTACACTATATAGAATTTTTCATAATCTAATATATATTGTTTTTGCTGCTAATTAAACTAAAATTTGCCACCACGGGTTCGACCAGAAGGACCCAAACAACTCCGCCACACAATTCCATCTTGATCTAATTTGCAAGATTAATCCTTTTATTAATTAATTTCCTCTTTCAATTTATATTTACTTGTTCCACAATTGGCAAACGTAATTTGCTTTGTATAAATTAATATTTCAGCAACTGATTATTTTAATTAAAGACCTCACCTACCATGACAGAGATATGTACATTACCCACCTTGGAAAAATAATATATTGAAAACGAAATGTACTGAAAATGCCAAGAGAGAAAGTGGTCAGGATAAAATGCAAAACAAATTAAGGAGGAAAATAAAATAAAATAAACCAAAAAAAAAATATGGTCATGAAATTCACATGCTGATGTGTAAAGCTTTGTAAATGCATGTGGATATTACCAATAACTTATAAGTTCGGGAAATTGGGATGCAATTGGTTATAAATAAAACTCATTTGAAGGGCAATCCGTCTCAAGTTGGCGGAGCAAGGATGTCTTTATCCCACAATATAGTTTTTTTTTTTTTTTTTAATTTATATAATTGTCCATTAGCCTTATAGATTAATTGACTTAGTAAATGGACATACTTTTCATATTTGTATATATGAATATCGATTTCTCTTCAAGTTACCCACAACTTTTTTTTTTTTTTACTACAACTTTGTTTTCAAAATTGTATTATAATTCATAAAAATTTTACTAGTACTTTATTTTTCCCCGTTTATATGTGGTGGGCTGTCTCTCTAGATCTAGTTCAAATAAAACCAAAATATTGTGTTTCCAAACCGATTAATGCCCCAAGGGCGGCATATTCATCGATCGTCGACCAAAGAGTGAATAGATCAAAAACTTAATTACTACAGACAAAATATACTGCGAAGTTTACCACAAATACAACTAAGAACAGATTCACATAGCCTCAGGAATCTTATGGCCCAGCATCTCTAGGACTACTCCTGAAACCTGAAGTGTAAAGTCCTGGTTTGTTTTTATTAAAAGGAAATATATGCTAATATTTTTAAACATCAAATGTCACAAAAGGAAAACCCTCCATAGTATTAGTAATTTTTTAAGGAAATTAATTACGAAAAAGGAAAACCAAATCTTGGGTACTTTTTTGTGAGATCTCTTATCAATATTCACTGCAGGCTGAAGCCAAAATTATGCTGCATGCAACTACAAATGTCCAGCATGCATGTCTATGATAGATCTGTGCTGATATTTTGGACAGGGGAAGTGATCTGATGATCTGCTGCGCAAATTTTTGCTCTGAAACAGCGTAGCAGCTGTCTGATCACTATCGAATCGTTTCCTGCTTGCAGGATTTCTAAGTATACATGTTAGTATTGTTGTAGCCATGTGATTATTCATCTTCTTGTTCGGTAAAATCTATGCCCATTGCCCAGTAAATTTTTGGGGGACTATTTTTTTTTCTTGATAATTGCCCAAATCCCCTCTTTAGGGCAGCTTTTTTCTTTCCCAAATAACTATATATTTATTTATTTATTTTGGAATCTTTCTTCGTCTATGTTCTTAATCAGTTGTTGGGAAGTAAAGCAAGCCAGTTTTGCCACCTTTGTTTGAGTACTGAATTTGGGGTTAAATCGATACATTGATAATAGTAGTATAAAAATGCTAGTCCTTTCTATGTTTTATATGTTTAAAGTTTACATCAATTAAGCCAAGCTTAAGTTAATTAATTATTTACCATGATCCTTTTAATGTGCTATATATCTGAGTTTCTGAGGGGTATAGATAATGAACATACCAATTTCATCAAAATTTTAACGAATTAAGATCAGATCAGGGACTATAGCGTAAAAAAGGAAGTTGCTGCCAACCTGATTAACAATTATTTATAGGCAAATCACAATCCTATAATTATTAATTAGCTAAAAAAAAAAAAGGAAAGGTAGAAGAAAGAAAACTGCCAATTATATAAAGAAATATCTGCAATGAATGATCATTCGTACCATATATAGTAATACAGGCATGGACGTATGCATGCATAAAGAGAAGACAAACTAATGGGTAATAGAGTATTATGCAATAAATTTGTCTTTCAAATTTTAATATTTGTAATTAATTTACGGCTTACGAAGATCTATGTATATATATATATATATATATATATATATATATGTAAAAGAGATCTAGTGGAAAAATGGGTAGATTCTGATTTATATTAATAGTGTTCAACCATATACATGTATTTAATTGATTTTTGGAGAATTATTTCAACTTTGAACTGGTTTTTATTTTATTTTATGTGTGAGAGAGGAACAACCTTTTGAGCACAGAAAAAGTTATGGGTTTTGTCCGAAAGCGTTTTCAAAAAAAAATGGTCCTGACACTTTCCATTTTCCAGCATAAAGAGGCTCATGATTGATAAAACCCCTTTTTCTTTAATTAGCTTACAAGGTCTGGTCTTTCCCTTTATATTTAAGCAAACCTTTGGGTGATGATCATCGGTACCCTTCTGTTAGCTGACTCTTACCTAGTGTATATAGCAGAAAGATTCCATATTCATGTAAATTGAAATAAATCGAGAAGAGCAGATCATAACTAGAGAAATTTGCAACAGCATTTCTGCAGGTTTTGCGGCTTTTGCAGAATTCAACAAGGCTAATTGGTTGAAGTTTGTGCTTTTTTATCCGAAATCTCAGGTGATTTTTCTGAGTCTTAATCAGCATCCAAAACTGCCAAAAACAACCTATCTGAGCCACCAAATAAAATGCATCTCAGATCACAGACAAATTCAGTGAAATATGCTACTGATTAATTGGCCAAAATATCTATCTGCCACCCTGTACAATGGATTCACCACAACTGATCAGTTGTACGTTCTTATTCCAAGTCAACGATACTTTGAAGTTGGTGCGGTAACTGCAACCATGAGCCATGTGTGAGAAAATCTCAGGAACAGACAGCTGGGAACTTAAGGAACAGATCATCTAAAGAAACACTTCTCTTGGAAACATTTGTTTTTTCTTTTTTAATTGGATGTGAGTGTTGGGTCTATGCTTATGATGGCAGAACATTATAAGGAGGGTCCTCTCCACAAAGAAGGACGATGATGTATCCCTTTAAGTGATTAGACCCAACAAATCCTCGACATCTATGACATTTCTTTGCCAAATTCAACACAAATATCAATGGATTCACTGACCCCTGGATCCTGAGCGACAAACTGAAAAACCCAAGCCTCCTGTATGAAAACAAGGGTACTGCACTCGATCCACCATAGCCACCCACTTCTTCTCTCTATTATTATCTCTTAATTTCTAGTAGTATCTATACAATTCTAGAATAAGTTCTTATTAATTACTGCCACAATAAATAAAATTTTCAAAGCCCATCCAGAGAACATTATTCATTATTCGTCGAAAACAATTGATGCTTGCCTTTGATTTTATTTCGACCTCAAAGTGAGTTGCAATATTTTTTTTTAGTAAACATTGTTTTCACACTTTATATCCACTCAAAGCATGGTAAAGAGCAATGCGTTATATCGTCTCTTGTGCCATTTGTCGGGTGAGCATGAAATATGCAAATAAGAGGACTTTTTTTTTTTTTTTCCGGGAAGCAGTAAGAAAACATATGGTTGATATGATTGTGTCAATTCAAGTTATATGCATGGCTTCTTTTAACTAGATAGCTTTACTCTTTCGACTTGGAAAAACTTGAATTATGTTTGAAGTATTGAAACTGAAATTTTAAATTTATTAAATGTTTATATAAATTAATCGAATTAAACTTTGGATTATTAGTTTAATACACTAAGAAATACATGATGAGATTGAATAAATTAAATGAAGAAAAAGACCAAAATCACAAGCATTCTATGAACCAATTGGCATGGGATATTTGGGAGTATCATGCATATTTGGACACTATTTTCTCTCCAAATATGAATTCCACTATCTCTTTTAATTTGGAAAAATCAACAACCAAATTTAATTTAATACTTAATCTATAAGTAAATGATCTAAATTTTTTTGTCACCTAAAACGTCATAATTAAGAAAAGTGATCTTATGATTTCACTTATATTCATTTTACTACCTTAAACCTCACCCTACTCAATAGGGATAAACTTCACCCCTACTTTTGTTTCTATTTTTAGGACTTTATTCAACAAGTTTTCCCTATTCTAAAGTAAAGAATCTATCATTTGGTTGAAACATTATCGGTTTCTATGGATAATGTGAGAATTTATTTTGAGGAGAGTGTAAGTTTAAAGCATCAACCAACACATGTAATGGTACCATTTAGGTGAAAGTTGGGGTGACATTTGAAATAAAAGCAAAGATGCCCTCTCAAAGGATGAAAGTAAACAGAGAAAAAGGTGTGATGTATTTTATGATTGATGAAAGCTAATGTTAATGTGCCCCAAACCCAATTCTATGTGATCCAATCCCTCACCACCCCTCAATTAAGTGACTAGGCCAGGGTTAGGGTTATAGATATTTATTATAAAAATGGTCTAGCTAGGGTTACACCCACTTTTTTGTTACATGACAGAAAAAAGAAAAAGAAATTAAACCTTAGGGTTTCATCTCAAACTAACTCCACGGTCCTATTTGGAGTTTCATCATACGCTCCAATCGAAGGTTCTTTGCGTGCAAAGGCATTAGCGAGACCTCATGACACGATAATGACAGCTAAAAATTTTTTACTCTGGGGGAACAGGAGCGTGCAATAACGCGTGAGAATAGTGAGTTTTCACTATTCAACTCTAGGGTTTCCCCGTTTAAGACCCAACACCCTCATAATGATTCTGATAAGAACCGCACCTTTCTTCCAGGTGGAGTAAAACCATTGGTTGTTTCGGCACATCGGTTTTCTCTTTCTGAAACTTTCATTCTTTCTCTCTCTACACATGGATGCATGGTTAAATGTTATGACATGGCCATGGTCATATCTTTTGTTAAACATATGCTTTTTTTTTTTTGGAGCTGGTGATTTCAAGACGACAACATAGACCCTCCTTTCAAGGACAAAAGATGAAAACTCTGTTCTGTCTACCCTTTGTATTTCTCTCTCTCTAAAGAATCGAAAAACCTCTCCTTTGTTAAGCTAGGGTTTCTCCAAACTTCGCACTCAAATTCTACACATCAAGCTTCAGATCTCTTCAAAAAGATTGAACCTTCTTTTTGGTCGCTCAATTTTCTTTCTTTTGATGCAATTTTCTCCATTGGCCGTGAAGAATCGACGATGGGTTGGTTTTAGATTGTCTTAGCTGATAGCTAACTCGAATAAAGGTATGTTTTTTCTAATCTAATTACAATTTAAAGCTCTGGGTTTCTTTTGTTTTAAATTGGTTTTGTTTTGATTAATATGAGTTTAAGCTGAGCTGTAGCTTGTTTATTTCAGTTATTTGGGGTTAGTTTACTGTGTTTAGTACGTTAAGTTTAGCCTTTTATGAACATTTTGGCATCTGGGTTTTGCTTTATGATTTCATCTCTTCTCTTTTTTGGACTTTTTTGTGTTGTTTTTGATGGGTTTTCTCGTGTTAGAAATGGTGTTCACTGTTCACTGGCTTGTGAAATTGGAAGTGTTGAAACCCTAGAAAAATTTTTATTTTATGGATTGATGTGGGTTTTTCGAGGTGAGTTTTAAAGTGGGTTATTTCTTTGGCATAGGGTAGATTAACAAAACTATTATTTTGGTCGCAAACTTCACTAGTTCCTTTTATCTGATAAAACCCTAACATGTTGTTAATCTTATGGCAGTTATTTCATGATTTACTTTGTATTTTGAATGGATGGCTTTTGCTATATTATTTATTAGGATGTATTAAAACATTAATGTAGTAACTACAAACATCTCTATGTTTGATTTCATAGGAACTAGGGTTTCCAATTTTGTTCCCTTTGAATAGTATTCACTTGTCGACTGCTATAAGTTATTATTATATGTAATAAATCACCATATATAGAGGCTTTCCAGCTTCTCATCAAATATATCTACTTTATTATGACTATGTTGTTTTCATTTTGAATTTCCTAGGAATAATGAAGTGTGTACTTAAGATCTTGTGATATACTTAATATCTTAGAGCTTCATGCATATTGCTAACATTGCAGATGGATATAGTTACAATGTTACGAGAAACTTTTATTCTATGCACATGGGATATCTTATGTTTGCACATTGGTGGTGTTAATTAGTTACCCAAAACATGGAGAGTACTATAGCGGTCATGGAAACTCATCAGAGTTGCAGTTCTAATCTTGTTGCCAAGTCTGTGGAATCACCGATAAGGATTGATTCAATATCTATTGATCTCATCAGTGCTAATGATGACATTGATACTAGCAAGTGTGAGCATTTTTCTATTCGGTAAGCCATGATCCTTATTATTCAGTTCTCTTTTAAATTTGTTGAACTTTCTTGGCCTCTCCATATTACCATTGTTGTTGAAAATGTGTATCTGATATGGTGTCTGTTTGACTGTGGGGTACAGTAAGTGTGTTCATATTTGAGAGAGATGCCTTTAATCCTTACTAGAATCCTTTGATTCACGACGATACTGCATCTACTTGCTCTCTTATTGTAAAGGAATGGCTTTTAAAATTAATTATTTATCGAAACAGAAATTACTAAAATGAATTAACTTCTTTCTTTCTGTTGTTCATGCTCCCTCTCAAACTTCATTGCTTGCTTGTTTGTGTGTGCACATGAGGTTTTTTTTCCTATTTTATAGATACTGCATTTTTTAGAATAGGATCATGTTTTGGATCTGCTACTTAAAAATTAGTAGCAGCAGATGAGGTATTTTCTTCTTTATTAGAATAATGTTTGTGATGGAATGGGACTAAACTAGTGGCAGGTAGCTAGGATCATATTTCCATGAAGTAGACAGGATACTGAACTGCTAATCTGTGTGATGACATCTAATAAAGGGATTAAATTATATTGAGGGAAGTTTATTGCTAGATTTGATATGTTTCAATGGCTTGTGCCAATATATAGTTCTCAATTTGAGGACTACTTTCCGATTTGCTGTATATAGTACATTAATGTTCATGTTGGAAGTTTTCCTCATAAATTTCCTTTGTTTTAAATGCAGCGGATATGCATCTGAGATGCGCAATAAAGACTGGAAGAAATGTTGGCCGTTTGCATTAAATGGTGGCCAGAATATATCTGAAGAACAAAACTGTAAGCTTCCTCCTTTACTTGTTCCAAAGTTCAGATGGTGGTGTTGCCAAAACTGTCTGCAGGAAAGTAGAGCTAAAGGCAGTGAAAATGAAGAAAGAACTGTTGCTAATAGTAGTGGCAAATTGAAATCCTTTGACTCTTCTCCTCATGTGTCGTCTCATGGTGAAGCTGCGACATGGTTATCAGATTTGCAGCCAGACGGAAAGATTAATGTTGAATCCAGGAAACATAATGCTAATGCTTGTGTGGATGTTAATAGCAGTGACCGTCATCCTTTATATAGTGATAAAAGTGAAAAGAAAGATGAAATCGCAAGTATACCAATCATAGGTATATTTCTATCCTAGCTAGCTCAATCTATTCTCAGGTGATTACCTCTCCATTAGAGCATTAATGATTTTTGGTGTTTTTTACAGGGAAAACAGATGTATTTGAAAATAACATTGTTAATAAGGAAATCCATGTTTCAAAATATGCTAGCCTTATGCAGCAAACACATCATGTAGATGACAAAGGTATGTCTACTATTTATGAATAAAAGACTAGCTCAAAAAGCTTGACTGTTTTCTCGCTTTGCAACTGAAACTATATCTGCAGTTGTTGTAATAACAATGCTTCTGATTTCTGCAACAGTGGCTACTCTGCAATTTCATAAGCCCGATTTAAAAGATAATGAAATTGCTGGTTTCAAGATTCCTGATTCAAACCTGAAGTGCATGGTTAAGGATGCCACTGAAACATGTCAAGCAGGACAACATGCTTCCGCCTATGATCAGCAGATGGAGTTAGTGAAAACTTGTGGATCCTATGGGACAGCCAGTATGGTTAATGGGGTTCCTGATGCTATCAAGACTCGTACAAGCAAACATCCTTCATTGGAATTAGATGATCGTGATTATGCATCATCTGAAAGTGCCGGGATATTGGCTGGAACTGCTTCTGGCAGCTTGCATCGAAGAAAAACCCGTAAGGTGCGTCTGCTGACTGAATTGTTGGGTAAAAGTGGAGATGAAAAAACTGATCTTACAAGCACAGAAGATTCTGCTTCCAGTGCCATTCCTGATGCATCTACAGGCATAGATTCAATAGTTGCTCCCCAAGATGAGGTTAATTTCCAAGGAAATGTTACGAGCAGTTTGACTCATAGTAGGAAAAGAAAGTTGCCACAGTATGAAGAATGGAGACCTGGGGAAATAAGCTCTCCAAATAACGGGCATAAAAACCTTAGGACCTTCAACAGCAGTGCTGAAACTGCTGATAGAATTGCAACTTCTGATTCAGAAGGTACAGTTAATGGAAGTGGCTCTCAAACTGGTGCAAAGAGCCATTTGGTTAACTTTAAAGTTGATAAAAGTCCTATTATGGGGAAGACGAAAAATAAAAAGACCCATAACTTTGATGAACATTTGTCCTTGAGTCTGTCTGGAGAAAATCTGCAAAAGGAAAGGCAGAAAAAGCCTGGAGATGCTACTAAGAGTAATGCTGGTGATATTGTTCTGTACAAATCAAATGATGTATCTACAGGCAGTGGGTTGGATCCCTCTCCTGAATGTGCCCAAAATTCAGAAAAAAAATCTAATTTATTGAAGAAAAAGAGCAAGATGCATCAAGATAATGATGGGCAGGCTTCTCCAATTCCTTGGAACAATGCCATACTCAGAGAAGGTCTGACTTCAAGGAAAGATGTAGAAATAAGACAAATTGGGTCTGTTGCTGTTCCACTTAAAGTAACCCGAGATGCACCAGCTGAAAAAGGAATGCATTTTTCTCTTAATAATTTCTTGCCTGCTAAAATATATGATAGAAAATATATTACTCCAATCAGGGATGGGCTACCATCTTTATTTCCTTGGCAAGGGCATGTTCTCAATGAATATGAGATTGGAAGGAAAGATCTAAAGATGAAATATGTTGGAGACTCTAGTTTTCCATCTAACTCTGACCTAGATGCCTATCATTGGAAGGGAATGCATGTTGATCTCAACAGTAACCGAACTACATACAGAATGCCATTCCTGAATGAGAAGCAAAAGCACAACTCTCGTGCTGAAGTTGGGAGTTGTTCTCTAATTCAGCAAATGGTATGAGCTTTTCTTTTGTTACTCCAGTTATTGAACAAACATTTAAAAAGAAAAAAATACGCCAGACGTTTGTGACAGGACAATTTTTTTTACCTTTATCCCAAATTTGGGTTTTCTTCCTCTGTGACTAAGACTGCATTTAGATTTAGTTTTAGTGTACATGAATTTTTCAAGTCATGATTAACATTCAGAGTAGAGTTTTTAGAACTTTCAGATTAATTATTATGGTTTTTGAGCCAGAAAATATTCTCTGTTCCACAACCAGTTATAAAACTTTTAATTTCTAATAATTGAATTGCTGGATAAGCTATTAAATCAAACACAGTTAAGACACTATTGCCTGGATGATGGAGTTCTGTGGTAAGACATATAAAATCATTTAAAAAGCATATACATCTTCTTTTCTTTTTTGAGAAAACAAGTTCACATAATTGAGAACTCTGTTATACTTTCGTATTTATTCATGGAAAAATGAAGATATTGTCTTTTGCTTATTCCAACCTTTAGTGTTTCATCAGAGTAAGTCTCTGCAAAGATTAGGTATGAAATTATCCCTATCTTGGTTAGACTTTGAAACAAGTTCTGCTCCCATCCTTAGTCCTTACACCAAAATATAAATGTCTTTTGGAATTTTTTCAACACCCATCAATGACTATTGTGGTTCTGATATAAGCTTATGTAATATTATATCTGTAAACTTAGATAATAGCATTCTGATTCATAATTTTGAAGAAGGCATATATATTTAGCATTGTTTATGTAAGCAAACATGTGAATTTCACAGTTGTGAGTGGGTTAAACATAGCTAACCTTTATGGCAGATGTTTCCTTATTTTTCCCAAGTAATTAGGAATAATTCAGCTAATAATGCATCTTTTTTTCCCATGTTTTTGTTTCTCTGAAATTGAGAGGAGATTTTTCCCTCTTATATGTTTCTTTTGCAGGATTACAGTGGTACAAGCAACAATGGGAAAATAGCGGAGCATCAGGAGCCTTCAACAGTTGCTAGGAAACATTATGATCAACAAGTTGAAATGCAATCTGAGCAAGGAGCTTTAGATGACATACCCATGGAAATCGTTGAACTCATGGCAAAGAATCAGTATGAGAGGTGTCTTCCTGATACTGAAACTGATAAACCGCTACCCGAAACAACAAATAAAACCATATATCATCAGAGGGTGGATCTTAATAAAGTATATGAAAATGAAGAGATGAGCCTGTTTCATGAGACCACTCATAAACCAAAACCTCGAGCTAAAAACGGAAGAATTGGCAAAATTATAAGAGGTGATAATGTGGGAACCAGCAGACAAAATTCTGTTGATTATTTCTCTCATATGGACCAAAACTCGTACACTATGAGCCAACTGGAACAAAGTTATTCCCCTGCAGGCTTTAGGCCATTTCCTCTATGTGTAGAGAAGCCATTGAATGCAGTCCAAGTTTCTTCCACCAATTCGAGCAGGCAAAACAGTTCTCAAAATTGCCAGTGGTTTGGGAACATGGTTGGGCAGAGGTCCTCTCATGCTAGCATGCAAGCATTGGGAGTTTGTAACACATGCCAGAGTGCTCCAGTGCAGAATAAAGAAGCAGCTCATCTATGGCCATCAACGATACCAAATAACATGTCCTATCTATACCGCATCCCTCAGAAGTGTGCAGATCAGGTGGCAAATATAGATTTGCTTTCACATTGCCCCAGCAATCTGCCCAAGGGAAATATGAGTGGAAATTATGATCGGCACTTCCTAAATCTGGCTTCAAACTTTGATAAGCATAGTAGGAAGTTTGATTCTGATGTCATTGGAAGGACACATACAGAATACCCATTTGCGTGCAAACATAATGGGATGGGGTCATTAGATCTGTATTCTAATGAAACCATACCAGCCATGCATTTGCTTAGTCTTATGGATGCAGGGTTACAGTCAGGAGCACCAGTTGATGCGGATGGAAAGCAAAAATTTGTTAAAAAAGCTTCCTATCTTCATGGTAATCACTCTAAAGAGTTTTCAAGCCTGCCATCTGGAGGATATAGGATCAATTCGATGAAACATCCATTGTGTGATTGTTATGGTAAAAGCCACCAACCTGAGAGTTTCTGTGAATGTATGTCAGCCACTCCAGCAGTCGCTCCTTCTACTTCTACTTCTTCATTCCAGCATGATAAAAGTTTCAAGAAGGCAATTGATTTTACGGGTCAATTTTCACTGAAGTCTAGAGAGAAAGAGAAGAAAAAATGCTCAGACTCACAAAGGCAGAATAGAAACCGCAGATCACAAAAAACCGTATTTTCAAGTAGTGGTTTAAATACGACTTGTGGATCTATTCCTGTTCATAGTATGCAAAAACTTGTGCTTGGCACTTCAGATTTCATGATGTTTCCCATACAGCTTCATGCAATTGAGAGTGCAACAAAACAGAAGCAGGAGGCTCGTACTATGAATGGCGCTCTTTTCCATCCAAAAAGTGGTTCAGAGAATAAAATATGCTGCATTAATAGAAACCCTGCTGATTTTACTGTGCCTGAAGCCGGAAATATGTACATGATTGGAGGTGAAGACCTAAAATTTGGAAGGGAAGCTACCTCTTCTGGCTTTGTGAAATTGGTTGGGCACAAGCGTCAGAGGAAGCTTACTGTTAAAAAAAAACATTCACGAAATCGAACTTCATGAGGCTGTTGTCATTATATATGTGCTGGTAGCATCTTAGAACCCCTTTCATCTTCCTTTTGGGTTCAAATTGAATTCTTCGATCAGTACTTGACTTGTCTAATTTTTCAGCAGGCAAAATCTGAAGCACCTTCCCTGATGCTGCAAAACAAGAAAAGGTTAAAAGCTTTATGAAGTGTCAGACATCAAACCAATCACCTTTCGCACACAAGTTGATTTTTTTTTCTCGAGCTGAAATTGTTCTATTTGCATTGGCATTTTCCATTTCCAAGGCTGAGAACATGATAAAAAAATGCTAGGTGCATGGCAAGGCCTGTAAATATTTGCATATGCCTCAAATCCAGCAATACCATATTCAATGTTGTATGCCGGTATTCTCCTGGACAAGGGCTTGTAAAACCTAAATACTGTCCTTTATTAGTACTCAAAAGGGCTTGTTTGTCGCTTAAATAATTTGGTCTATGCTCCATTCTTGAGCAGCTTGTGGGAGTGGAAACAGAGAACAGGCAATTAGTTATAATATATGCTCTGAAGCTTGAATTTGAACAGCCCTGTAGGAATATCAGTACTGTTGTTTTTTGTTTTTTATTTTGTGGTTCACCTTGTTGATTACTGCAATGGAGAAACAAACTTTTTATGGCGATTCAGAAGGATATATGCTATACAGTGCATATCTATCTATCTATCTAACATGATTATTGTTATGATGACCAACGGACAAGATTTAAGAAGTAGAGGCAAAATCCTCAAGATTATCAAAGTGAAAAGTTCATGGTTCCCGAAATATCCTTTAAGCGCGAGCAGTGGCCGCTCTCAAGACATGAACTGGCGCTCATGCACTTGCCAGAGTAAAATCTTTATCATCACTTCAAACTCTTGACTTACACAAAATATTACTTAATACTGAGTATCAAGTATTAAAGTATTAAACTAAATTCTTTCTACCGACCCAAATAATGGATGCAGAAACTATTGGTACTTTAGCCAATCAAGATAGTGGATGTAAATTATCTAATCTCTTGTCTGAATTTCTGTTAGGACAGCATTTTCTCCTTATTAATCCAATATTAAATCAGCTTGTTTGCGGATATAAAGAATGACACTTGTTGTGGGGCTTCCCCTCTCATTTCAGATCTCATCAACTTAATTCATCTACTAGTGTATTATACTATTTGAATGCCCCTTAATTAAATTTATTCATATTTTTTCTATTATTTATTATTAGTAGTAGTATATACAATGCATGCTTTGGCAACTTAGCACTTAGCTGTTGGCCGCGACATTATCGTTAATCGTTGTCCTTCCTTTCCCACTGGCTGTCAACACCAGAGCACAACGAAACAACACCCAAAAGGATGTCCCATCTGGCTGTCAACACCAGAGCACAACAAAACAACACCCAAAGGTTGATTTGACTAATAAGTAATAAGTAATAATTCCCCTCTTCCTCTTGGGCCATTGCCTCACTCTCACCCCTTCACACTGCATGATCAATCTTTTGAGTTTTGTTTAGGTCAAACGGGCAAGCCTATAGCTCTAGCTATAAAGCATAAACAACTCAACCACCAGCCACGTGTCATCGACCCTACCCATGCTATTACTTTCCTTTTGTATCAGGTTGATCAGCCTCAAGGGGCAAAGCAAATTATATGTTGAAAATTTTGTACCATGCATAAGTCAGGTGCCCCTTTAATTTAACATTCCCCACTGAAGTCTGAACCATTAGATCAGAAAGAGTGGGTTTGCGCACTCTGCCCTTAACCTGCAGTGCATGCAGTATAGGACACTAGCCACGCAGCAGTTTAGTGATAGCTGTGCCAACGCTGGCCTTGCAGCCGGCAGTGATGTGGCTCGAGAAGGACAGTGCAGTGGTCAAAGAACGCAAGAACGACACAGCTCTTGTTTCTGTAACGAACAACTCTTTGATCCGAGTATGAATGTGGTGGTGGTCGTTTCTGCATGAGCTAGCTTCTTTTTGCAGCAGTTACTGGCTGAAAAAGAGAAATGATAAGAAATTTTGCTTAGAAAATTTTTTTTCCTTAATTTGTAAAAAATATTACGAGTGGGCTTAAAAAGATATTTTCCTTTGACAAAATTCACTATATACTATATATATAAGTTGTCATGATTAAGAGCAGATTATAATTACTTGATTATTAGATATATACTGATCAATAAGTGGCCAATTTGTTTTTTCCAATATATGATCTCTCTCAGCCTCAGGCCAATTTAATTATCATCCTAGGTTAATTTTGCTGAATTACCCAGCCATTAGTATGTCTAAAATTATTTTTGTTAGAATTTCTCTCATGAGAATAAGCAAAAATATTCTTAACATGTTTTAACTTTACCCACATATTTATTTAATTCAATTTTGCTACTTAATTAATATGATCAATTGAATTTGTACGAGTATGGTTAATTCAAAACATAGTGTATAAATTATTTTAAAAAAAACATCTGTAGTGTATAAATATACATATATATATATATATATAAAAGAGTAGTCACATGATAATTGTCACAAGATGAACTCTTATTATAATATCATTCCAGTAATTTTAATGTTCATAATTCATATACCATAATGTAGTTTCCTTCACTAATAGTAGGCATGGAAAAATAAACAAAAGAAAAACACAAGGAAAAACTATGTTTTATCAAAGTTTATTTATTTTTTTCAACAGGTCATAACAATTAACATATGTGAATTAAGGAGGAATATTGCGTGCCATATCCAGGATTTAATTAGGGTGATTCTCATTTACAAGAGTTCCTTCAATTATATTAATTAAGGTTCAAAATCCCTCACCAAAAATAGGAAACAAAAGAAAAAAAAAAAAAGGAAGGCTTCAAACTGCATTTAGGGTAAAAAAAATGAAATGAACAATACTCTAAAATCCACAATACTCTTACTTTGGAATTAATCAGATACTAACAGATTTATAATCACTAAAAAAAAACTGCTGAAAGGTATAATATTACTTTACTAAAAATGAAAACTACAGACTATAGCTTCGTTGTAAAGGAGACCTGGTTTGCAAAAATACCACTTTGCTTGGACTGCAATATTGTCTATCTTCTGAGCATATGCATATCCCTTCTAAGGCACATCCATCACTTTTAACAACTTCTTTTCCAAATAAAGCCTCAGCTGACCATTCATTCACTGTTTTGTGGGTCCAATTGCTTCGATCTTTGCTCCAAAAAACTTATCATAATTTGGGTACTAATTTGCACATTCAAGACTTCCAGGTTCCTGCTCTTGCCCCAATGCGGCCTAGCTAACCCATATTTAAAGAATGCCATTTACTCAATTTATTTTAACCTCGGAGTTGAATCATCTTCGGCACGATAATAGCTGAAATCAACAGCTGCAGAGTCCTCAGATTGACCCACCAGTTATGCCTTTGAAACCTTGATGTAACGTATCAGAAACCCAACGTACATATCCACCCCACAAAAATTCTGGCTTTAGGTCTCTTTAGTTTTTCACATCTCCATAATTAATTCCGGGATCCCAAATGCATGAGCTATCAACAAGAACCAGATGTCTGCATCTTTCCTTGGCGACCCACAACTGGGTACCCTATGAAATTTTTGGCCATTGTTGCTCTTCAGTGATCTATTGGCAACCAGTTTCTTCTGCCCCATAGTAGTATCTGCCAGCCAGCATTTTCCACTGACATTTTTGGCACTCCAATGTTTTTTCTGCAAATTTTTTACATATTTAAATCCATGCATTACTTCTACAGGAGTTCCATGTGAGCTTATGACTGATTGGGACAAGAAAACAAGATAGAATTCCGTTGCATATGGATAAAGTCATATAATATTCCATCCTCAGGGGTAATGGAAACTCTGCTGTCATTATCTATACGCGGTTGTAAGCTTTGATGGATACCAGCGATATCTGCAAATTCATATTTCTTGGCATGTTATATGAATTCATTTCCTATCAGACTATAGCTTGTCTGATTATATGGCTTGCAGCTCATGCTTCTCTCTTAATTCCAGGCTCCAGCAAGAATTTCACCTATTATTTAGTCAGGCAATTAAATCTACTTCACTAGGAAAAAAAAAAACAGAAAAAAAATCTTAGCTCACTCAAAAGATTGACTTTTCAGTTTAATTTTTCATATTATTAATTTGCTTCCATGAACAGATCTAAGGCAATCTCAAAAATTTGTATTTTTCCTAGACAGCAGCTACCATTGCTATATATAAATGCTATAAATTAACCAGGACTATATATATATATATCCTAAAAGATAATTTAGCATTAAGTCAAACAAATAGTACATAATTGCTAGATCATAGATACCTACCGGCCTTAGAGATGATCCCAAAAGTCCTAACGAAACTTTTGCTGTATGGGTGTTGATCATTAGGTTAATTCGATCAAATCGTAATCAAATTATATCATTTATTGAATTATTTTTATTTTAATTTTTTAATCAAATTGAATTATTCAAAAAAATAAATTTAAAATTGAAATATTTCTATTAATTTGATGGATTAATTGAACTTCAATTGTTCTTCTATCAATAGGTTAAAATTACATATCTTAAATTTTTAATTCTTCAAAATTCAAATAAACATAATCATCAAACATATATTCAAATATCAAATATAAAACTTAAACTATTTAATAAAAATTTAAAAAATAATTTTTTTATATTTTTTTGGGAATTCAGTTATTTTGGAATTATCAAATATAATTAATGAATAACTAAAATATTCGCAAAATCTCTTTTGATAACCAACGGAAATTATCTTGATCATCCACCAATTAATGGAATCAATTTTGGTTGATCGAAGAATAAAGCACACTCCTATTTGCCGCATTATGAAGTTGATCGAATTTGGATTAATTAATTTAATTTGCATACCCTTCTAATTCAGTAGCAGGAACAATAAGGCTAATTCCAATGACATGATCATGAAAAGCTTCATGTTCCCCCACCATGAGCTCCCATGTCCTCCGGTGCTTATCAGCCCAGCTACGCTCACAGGGGCAGCCACTAGAATTAACCCAGCTTCTTCAACCTTATCAATCAGATCTCTTAGCGCCACGCCAGCATCAACCGTCACAGCCAAATTGGTTGAGTCAATTTCGATGTTTGAATCATATTGTGCTGCACTTATCTGTAATTAATTTCCGGACTGTGTTGTATTTGTTGTGACACCCTTCCGATAAGATGCCGTCACTGGACTTAGCCCAGTTTCTTCAACCTCATCAATCACTTCTTCTACCACTACTACTCCAGCATCTACCGTCACGGTCAAATTGGCTGAGTCAACATCGATGCTGGAATCATATTTACCAATGATGGACAATGGATTTCAAGAGCGTGTTGAAGGGCAGCTTAGTTTTGAAACAAAATGCGCAAATTTGTTCACTACTTTCACCTTGAGCTTGTTTCTGTTGGCATAGGCCACGGCTAAGCGAAGCTCTTATCAAGTTGTTGGATATGCAACGTTTGTAACGTGGCAGTCCTTTCGATCAGCCCATTACATGTACCGTTGCCGTTGGAGAGGGTGCAGACTGTTCCGTTGCAATGAACCGGCAGCTGCGGTGGGATTGCCTGGATGGTTGTCAGGTTTGAGCTTAGCCCCACACAAGCAGGTGCACAACACCTAGGATCCAACAAAGAGAATACATCGAAGGTGGGATTATAATGCTAGATTGATAAAGAAAAGGAGAAGGAGAAATTGAGGAAAAAAAAAAAAACATTCCCACCTCTTGGCAAAAAGAAAATTCATATATACTTAATACCATTAGGTAAATGGAAGTTTAGGTCACATGATCATTTTCTAGCCAAATGGAAACTATAGTCCATGAGACAAGTGTAATAATAAAAATTTTATGAAAACCAATATAAATTTTGGAACATAAAAAAAAATATGAAATTGAGAATGCTTTTATTATATACTTATGAAGTATTGACACTTCTAAATCTTTTGCATATTTATGTGGTATTTATATTCGATATTTTAATGCTTATGATATGTTGAAATACGCATCAAATTTTCCGGGATATGATAAAGAAAAAAAAAACAATTCTCTTATGAATAATGAAATCATTTTTTTTTGTTATTATGTCTTTTATTAATATTTCACAAAAGTAAATAACTTTTTAAAATCAATTCAATATCTATTATATATTTTTAATTGATTATTATAATATATAAAAAATATTTTCTTTTATTATTATATATCTTGACGTAACCATATTATTATTTTTCAAAAATTATCGTATCATCATATCGTATCTCGTATTATATATTCATGTCTTTGTTTCATAATTATGGACATTTGTTTTATTCATCACCTTGTTTGGTGAAAAGAGGAAGTGGATTCATAATTTCTTTGGTGATCTAAGAGCTTCGTGATCAGTTTCATGGCAAGTACTCAAAATATTAAGCAATAGAAAATGACAAAATTTTATGTAAGTTAGAAGAGAACAGAATTAAAGTTGAGCTTCAATTAACGTTCAAACTAAATCTCTTACAAAGAAAAAAGGAAACATTTCAAACTGCATCAGAATCAAATTATAATGTCTAAAATAACCATGTTCACCACTGTATCTCTTTGCAATCAGATAAGAATTGTTACTTTGGAATAAAAAATTGCAGAAGAATCTACTGAAAAATATCACAGTACGGTGGCTGGCGAATATCTACATACTCTAGCTTCATTGTAAACAAGACCAGGTTTGCAAAAGTACGCTTTGCTTGGACTGCAATGTCTGTCTTCTGAGCATATGCACAGCCCTTCTAAGGCACATCCATCACTTTTAACTCCTGTACCAAATAATATCTCATCTGACCATTCGCTGGAGAAGATGTTCTTTGGGTCCAATCGCTTCTTTACTGAAAGAAATTTATTATAGTTTGGATACTTACTTTGCACATTGAAGAATGCCAGGTTCCTATTCTTGGCCCAATGTGGTCTAGCCCTATATTTAAAGAAAGCCATTTGCTCAACTTCTTCCATTACATCTTCGTTTAACCTTGGAGTTGAAGCATCATCAGCACGATAATAGTTGAAATCAACAACTATGGAGTCCTCGGATTGACCTAGATATGCCTGTGAAGCCTTGATGTAACGTATCAAAAAGCCGTTATAGTGATCCACCCCACAAAAATTTTCTGGCTTTAGGTCCCTTAATTTTTTAACATCTCGGATGAAGTCTCCAAACTTTGTCACACTAAATATTGCAGTTGACTCATAAAAGAAAAGTCCCTTAATTCTTGGATCCCAAGGACATGAGCTATCTATTCTTATGGTTGGTGAATATAAACAAGAACCCGATGTTTGCATTTTTCCTTGGCGACCCACAACTGGGTAACCCGTGAAAATCAGGCCATTATTCTTCAATCCATTGGCAATCTGTTTCTTGTACGCCAAAGTAGTAGCCGCCAGTATGCATTTTCCATTGACGTTTTTGGCACTCTCGAGTGCTTTTTCTGCGATATTTCCAAATTCAAAACTACGCTTTAGTATCTATTTTACTTCTAGATAAAGATCTTTGCAAAAAAATTGGCAAACTGGAGCTTACCTGTTGCTCTGACTGATTCGGAGACCAAGATTTCGTTGTCTTGAAACCCAAGAAAGTCGTTAATTCCATCGCCAAGGGCGTCCATGGAAACTCTGTTGTCATATCTATACACAGCTGTATGTTTTGATGGATACCAAGCGATGTCTCCAAATTCATATTTTTTTCCATGTTCGATGAATTCATTTTCAATTAAAGAATCATCAGTGAAATTATATTTAATGCTTCTCTTGAATCCTCGCTCCAGAGAAAAAGTGACCTATTGTTTATTGAGACAACATAAATCTATTACAAATAACAGCTGATGAATATGACCAACTGAGATTCCGAAGTTCGATTTTTCAATGTAATCTTTCAACTAGTTGATAAAGATAAATACCCCTATGTTTCCTCTACTACAATTACTATTCCCAATTTAATGATTTTTACAATCTATTGGATCATTTGGTCTCTTACATGTATTCATTTGGTTACCATCTGCCTAACTCTAATTAATGTAATTTTGAAGATTGGAAGCGGAGCAAATCAAACAAAGAATAGAAATACTGACCTTAGAGATGACCCCCAAAGTTCCTAATGATACTTTTGCCGCATTAAGAAGTTGATCTTGAGCCCCAATTTGGATTACTTTTGCATACCCTTCTGATTCACTAGCAGGAACAATAAGGCTGAGGCCAATGACATGATCATGAACAGCTCCTCCTTTTCCCCACCATGAGCTTCCATGTGCCCCGGTGCTTATCAGCCCAGCTACGCTCACACCCTCCCAATACGGCGCCGCGACTAGACTTAGCCCAGCTTCTTCAACCTTATCAATCAGTTTTCGTAGCGCCACTCCACCATCGGCTGTCACAGCAAAATTGGCTGAGTCAATTTCGATGTGCGAATCATATTTTGCTGTACTAATCAATAATGAATCATCGGACTGCTGTGTGGAAGGGCAGGCTAGTTTTGGAATGGTGTGTGAAAATTTACTAACTACTTTCACCCTAAGCTTGTTTCTATTGGCATGGGCCACGGCCAAGCGAAGCTCTTCTTCTGTTGTTGGGTATGCAACAGTTTTAACATGGCAGTCCTTTCGATCTCCCCATGCACCATAGGAATTGTAAAGGGTGCAGATAGTTCCGTTGCATTGAACCGGGGCCTGTGGCGGAATTGCCTGGATGGTTTGCAGGGTTGAGCCCCATACAAGCAGGTGAAGAACACATTGGAGCCACCAAAAATAATACATCCTGGACAATTCTAGCAATATTTGCAGATATGACCTTTGGTGGAGAGAATTTTAATTTGGTAAATAGAATGTATTAATATGGTTCTTTGGACCTTAGAAGAAAAAAGGAACGGTTACTTTAATTGAAAACCAAGATATGATCTTAAAATCAGTTTGTAGCAGCAGACCACTTATTCCCACGATGATTTGTTAGGTGTCTCATTATAAAATTGGTCAACCCAGGACAGCTCATTAGTAGTTGTAAATGAAACATGATACTCATAATTCCCAAAAGTGCATTCAAATTCACAAAATGTATAGGCACATCGCACATGGTGCAAAACACTTTAAAGATAAAAGGAAATATAGTACAATTATTTTATGAGCTGTTAATAGCGTTTATGTCCGATGAACAAGGACAGATATTTATGTTGATGAATAAATTAGGAGAAGCCATACCTTTTTTTTTGGGGATTAGTTGGCAGGACTCTAATTCTTTTCACGTACAATGTACTTAAGTTAGTTGGCAGACGAAGGTAATACACGTGTCTAAATAAATGAAAATTGTTAAAAACAAATAATTGTATGGAATGTGATAAGGAATAATGATATTCTTCCACTTTTGGTAACTGCCTTGATGTTATTACTTCTGGGATCTTAACCTCAATGCCTGTTGTCGATCTACGGAAGGTCTTGTCCCAATGTCCGAAAACAGAAATCGAGAAAATCACGAACCTAGTTCAGCCTCTGGTTTTTCTAGAAGTTGGCCCTTGGAATGGAGCTTTTTTTGCCAAAAAAATGAAAGGGTAGATCACTCAACACCCTATTGGCTTTTATTTTTTTGGGATTTCAATCCTCAACTCTTATTTTCTACGCTAATAATCCTCTCACCTAAAAGGAGGGAATATAAAAATGAAGTTGTAACTTGCAATAAAATGTGATGATTTTAACTTCAACTGATCGAATCGTATAGGTAATTAGACTCTACCCTTCGACATAGAGAGCAAAGACGATAACACAAGGAACCGGTAATGGATAACCCAATCCTGTTGAAGCGCCAACAAATAAACTAATAGAACTCTCTCAAAAAGAGGTTTATCAATGGGTCGAGAGACATGCAATTTAGCATTTAGCTGTCTGAATTGCAAACCCAGATTTGACATTCAACTGCAATTGCAAACCCCACATCTCAGGTTTCACATCCATTAAGCAACCAAAAAGGAAAAGATGACAAAGAAATTGACATTCAACCCACAAATTGCCGGTTCACTTGTGGGATTAGAGTTAGACTCATCATTCAAAGATCAATTTGTGTTAATATTTTTTTAATAAAACTGTCCGAATTTAAATTTAATCATTAAATTAAAATTCTAATATGCTACTAACAATCTAAACTAAAAAGAAAAAAAAAAAAATAGAGAACATAACTAGAAAAAGGATCAAGAAAGAAATTCCAACAAAAACCTAAAATGGAGCAGCTGAGTGAAATTTTCTTTATATGCCTTTAATTCGTAACATCAATTTCAAACGTGGGTAACTTCTCATCTTGGGTTAAATCTAGCAGTCCGTACTCTAGAAGAGTCTTCAAAAGCCGGGCCCCTTTCCTCCTTCCCCTTGCAACGCCAACACCACAGCCCCTGCAACCTCCTTAGGTGGCACAGGCGCCATATCCTCCGCCTGTTATTTAATTTCAGGCTAAGTTTTTAGTCTTTTGTTCCGTTCGCCTCAGACTAAAAACCAGGCGCCAAAATAAGATATGCTTTGGTCATGTGGTTAACAGTGAAACAGTGACAAATACTTTCACATCCGAGCGGTTAAAAAACAGCAACGAAAATTTTTTTGGGACTTCTGCTTGCTGGCGGAGGGAGAGGGAAGTAAGAAAACTGAGTAAGCGGAAGGCAAGTGGACAGGGCCCAGCCTTCGGAATGAATCTTATCTTATTTTGGACATAATTGCAAACTAACTTCCTAGAGTGGAGTCGATGTGGTGGTCATGGGAACCATGTTGGGAAATTGTAGGCTTCAAAGTATAGCCTAAGCGTTAAGGGCCTCAGCCTTCAATAACAACAAAATATCTCGGTTAATCCTCCTCTGCTGTCCACTCTACGTATATTAATGATTGGAAGTGAACATACTCGGACCACGTGGCCGAAAGTTCCACTTACCAATTCAATGTTCTTTTTCAAAAGATTTACGTAGATATATTGAGATGCTTAATGTAGATATTGCATCGTGTAAAACATAGCGATAAAAATGACAGTAAAAGAGGGCATGGTTAAAAATTTATAAGAATTACAAGTCAGGAGGGAACCTCCTAATCTAATTCAAATCATAAAGCATCAGTCATCTAAAAAGGGAAAACTGTTGGTACACAAATATAAAGAGGAGAGACTTATCTCCATTTCTCTTGTAGTTCTTTCCTCTCAGACAAAATCCACGTTACAAAGATTGCAGCTACAAGTGCCACGATTGTAATGAGAAGTAGGGCATAACTGAAGTCGTCTGTGAGAGAATCGTACGTCCTTGAAGGTGCAAGCTGAGTGAAAAAGAGGTCCACACCATGTGCAAAGACAAGGGTCGTTGATTCCAGCTTGGCTGGCACAGTTATTATACCTCGAAGACCTTCCACTCGAAGGGCATGTGTAACATAGGACTGCAAACAATTCATAAACAGCCATCGGTTATGCTACTTAAACAGTTCCCTTCCCCCCACCCAACCTTCAGAGAGAGAGACAGAGAGAGATGATGGATTAAATTCATAAAATGTTCATTGTTGGCCAGTTTCAGCATATGCATATGGCCTTAAGAGAATGCTTGCATGCATACTACAGAAGAACCTCAATGAAACAGCATTTCTCAAGAAGGTAATGATACTAGTGCATAACATATATATATATATATATATATATATATATATATATAAGAATGAAAGAAAGAACAAGCTGAACTGCGTGACAGAACATATGGAAACTAACCTGAGGAATGATTAGCAATGAATCTGTTAGTGGTATAATGCCTTCCTCTTTCTCCGCTTGTGTGGGGTTAACCGATCGACGAGGATCCAGGAAACGCTTATCAAGTGCCAAAACCTGTAAAACATGGTTAAGATAATGCCGCAGGCAGAAGTACCGTACAACTCTGTTATTTTGTAGAAAGAAGCATAACTCTTAACTCTTTCAAAAGAAAACATGAGCAACTCATAAAGTAGCAGTGAAGATAACTCCATGATTTAGCTCTTTCTGAAAATTTTAACATACCTGATCACCAATTGTACCGATGAGAAGCTGCTTTGAAGTTATACCCTTCGCTGTAGATGTCACTGCTATAGCTTTCAAAGAATGGGCGAAAAAGTACGACTGTGATTTTGTTATGACTTCTGGTCGAGAATATAAAGAAATCGGTGAAGTAAGGTTGTGCTTTCCAAGAACAAGTTTCCAAACGTCTTTGTTGTCCTGTGGATAGTATTTAAGTTGCAGAAAGATAAATTTAACTGAAGTGAAGATACAGGCAATTCAAAATAAACAATTCAAGTTCATCCACTTACAGCCCGAGACTGGTCATAAATTTCAATGACTGACATCTCATATCTGTGTGCTCTAAGATTGAAGTAGTGGTAGACAACCCAGTTCTCACTAAAAACCTACAAGAAACAAAAAGCATTATCAATTGCACCCCTTTCATAGCTGCTTATGACACCAATATGAGAAAATAAATTGAGAACTTACAGCATGAACAGGACCCTGTGAACCATGATGAGTTACCCGGTGCAATATACGACCAGTTACAGTGTCAATAAGATATGCAACCAACCATGATTCTTCTGGTGTAACAGATCCAATTTCACCAATGCCTTTGGGTGCAACAGTTGCCACAAAAAGTAGATTTCTTGAAATATATTTATACATAACATCCTGGTCTGCTATAACCTTTGCTTGAGTATGTACCACCTGAAAAACTCAAATCAAAAACCATTCAGTATGATTTATACATGCAATATTGGCAACAAAGCTTCAACAAACATTTAAATTACACAGAAAGAACATGCACAATTGGGAATGAACCACATTTACCTATCTTCCATGACACCCATTAACCACATGAAACTACAGCACAACAAAATTATATACAACTGGTTTTTAAGAAGTCAATAACAAAATAAGAATGAAGAGGGAAGTCTTATCAATGGTTAAAAATCTTGGGGTAGAGAAGTGCATAACCAAAGCTTAACTCAAGAGAGCAGTCACTTCATGCAATAATGCGATACAGTGCAACTGAGTCTGGAAAACTTCCCCTAAGATCACCATGCTGGTTGACAAAAAAGCACAAGTAATTGAGAAAAACCATTCGGGAGTGGGGAAAAAGCTTTACCTCATTCAATTTTCTAGTGACAGTTGCAATGATCTTTTCTGATTCCAAGGGGAACACAACTGACCACAATTCCCTAATGTCAAAGCAAAATTCATCAGCCACTTCACCAAAGCATTTGCTGTTCAAAGCATGCCCCTTGATGATGCCATTATCATCCTCAACTGAGTACCAGTATATGTTTGAAAACTCACGTTTGAAAATACTAATAGCCTCGGGAGTTTTGGGGTACAAATGTGCATGCTTATCAGCATCGATTAGCAGATGGAGTCGCTGTTCTGTTGAATCTGTATATGGCAGTGGAATAACTTGGGCAACAGAATGAACAAGACTTAAAGAATTAAGCTCCTTCCCTCTGTAAGTGTCAACAAAAGAAAGTACACCTGGCGCAACTGAACTTGGACCACACCTGCCAACTACAAGAACTGACGGGTTTTCATCCATAGCATGATGATGGGGAACCTGCCACTGATACAAGTTTAGTCCTATCAGATGTTGACATGTGTCTGATTTGTGTAGAAACTGTAGCAAGTGAGACCAGACAATGTGTCCATCTCCAGTATGCAAGGCAAAAATCTTCCCTGCCCTTGTTAGTACTATGAGCAGTTTCCGGAAGCCATTGTGGTCTCGGGTCATCTTGCTTTTCTCAGAACTTTTTAATCTCATACTTTGTATGACTGCTATATCCTCAGGGCTTGCAAGCATTAGTGTTCCCTTCAGCTTCAGCATATGTCCCTTAAGAAAAAAGAGCATCTTGTCAAAACTATATTGTCAGAGAGGATTTACTAATCAAAGAAATGTGTCTTCATTTTCAAATAATGAATGCAGTAATGGATGCTTTGACAGTTGGAAGTTCATGTTTCTAAGACTAACATGACATAATACTATTCAAAGAACTGAAAATCATTTAGCAAACTCTGTCATGAGTATACGAAAAACAAGTACGCTCAGTCATGTTTGTCCATAATCTTTCTAATTTCAGAACCACATGAAAGCCTTCATATATGATAATTCAACATGTATCAGAAACAAAATCAATAATTAATTTAATCTATAACTATAACAAGCAATAAAGAGTACATGCATGCAATACAGCGTTTCAGTTTAAATGTTAAAAAAACAGGTTGATTTTCAATGAAATTCTAACATTCTAGAAATTGTCTTAAATCACGTTTTCATACCTTAGCATTCAAAGAGGTTGTGTCCTTCACAAATTCCCTTGCCACAGGAGAATTAGCGAATTGTTTTACATTCAGTTATTTGATGCAGGCCACTTCCCTGCTCCATACAATCTCACCTTGGTGACATAACAATATGATTTTCCATCAAATCAGGCCCAATCATAAACATATCAGTTGAGTATAGTTATTTATGAAAACCTTGTGGACAAGCCCTCGTTGCTGGTCCATTTTAATGCTTTCTTTAAGCAAATTACCATCCCAATCATGCGCAAGCTTCACTGTGAGATGAATCTTGCTGCCTACATGCTGAATCAATGCAAAAGCTTGTCGCCCCTCAGAGATTGAAAGAGCATCACTAACAGCTGTTTCATGATTTGTTTTTTCCACCACCTCCAACTTGCCCTCACCAATCACTCTAATAAATATAGTAATAGCATTCATTTTAATTGCAAATATTCCTGAGATTGATGAAGGTATTATTACTGCCGGTCCCAAAGAATCCTCAACAAGATTTGTAATGGGTGTCTGTTGAAAACTAATTTTTCCATTCTGAAAACTTATTGTTAGCAAAATTGACCCTGTAGAATCAAGAGCCACAACTGTCCCACTAGAAATTAGCGAAACATCTCCCAAAAACCCACCAGAAAAGGCTGCACTTTCATGCTGCAACAACTCTCCATTCCTGGTATTGATTTTATATATCTCAAACTTGGATGAAGCAGCAAATCCTACAATGTATACTAAATCACTGCCAGGAGGCTGAATTACCTGCTGAACCTCAAGGCTGCAGATAGCATGTCATTGTAGCACATTAATGATACTATTATTCTCAAAGGGGAGTGTTTGAAGAAAAGCTGATGAAATGTAAAACTTTCGAATTGGACTAACCTTTCTGCTTCAAAATCCTTCTTCCAAAGGACCTCACCATCTATGCAAGAAACAACATTGAGGCGTCCATTGCTAAAAATGATGACTACGTTATCCTTTTCAATTTTCAAATTTGTCTGCACAACATTGATATGGCCAATCACATATGCTTCTAGACTTATTGAATGAATTATATAATTTCTATCTACACCACTAAATACAACTTTAAATGCAGGAGATGAAGTTCTATTGGAATATAAAAGATACAACAATAAGAAATGCCCATAAAAGCGCACTTCTGTACATAAACTGGCCTGGTTCTATTGCATGTGCTACGGACAACTAGAAATCTTTTAGATGAAAATTTAACAAGAATAATCTTGATTGTATAACAGAACATCTAATAGAGCATGGATAGAAATTTTAGGAGCCATGAACCACTGAAAACAGATTCTGCGTCAAAGAGATAGGAACAAAAATGATTTTAATTGGAAAGATTCTGACAAATGAAAAATCTGATGCTAACCGGCACTAATAACAATGATTTTGAGTGCTTTGGACCCTGAAGAGAAGATTCCCACACCATCTGCCCATCAGGAAGGTTCCATGCTCTTAAAATACTTCCTCCCGATGAAAGGGTGATGACATCTGCAAGAATGAAATTTATTTAAAACTTAATCAGCTATAAAAGCAAGATATCGCATCTTCCCTCAATGACACCAGAAGGAGAAACCAACATTTAATCAAACAAAATATTCAACACTCAACAAACACACGATGGAATACAAGCAAGCAAACGATCAAAAACGAACTCAAATTTTAAAAGTAAAGGAATATAAGATTTTTCTTTAAAATAAATATGGATATGGGCGTACTTACATTTTCCAAGAGCAATATCAATTCCATCGATAACATCATTAGACCCCAGCACATGTCTCCAAACTACATAAAACAACCAACCAAAATCTAATAAGAATTTAAAACAAATTGAAACAAAAATCGAAGAAGAAAATTATAAAAATTAAATATATTAACTTCAATAATTAGTAGCAATTGAATGGTGTTGGACTTACAAATCTCGCCGTGGCGGAGATCAAGTGAAGCTATAACGTTCTCTTCGGTGGCTACTAGGACTCGTTTTCGACCAGTTTTTTGAGTGTGGAACACTGCTTGCTTCACTTTCCCGATGTATCGTTGATGCCTGAGATTAAACAATTAATTAGAATAAAAAATTCTAAGAAAAAAGCCAAGAAATTAATCAATTTCAATGAAGTCAAGAAAGCGATAATTATTAATTGTGAAATTGAAGTGAGAAAGTAGAGATTACCAATCCATGAGGCCCACTTGATCTTCGTAGAGAGAAAACATCGGATTTAGATAAGAGAAAAAGAAGATAAGAAAAAGAAAAGACCTAATCGCCATGGCTAATGGCTATGGCGATTGAGGAATTAGCTTATCTGTCGGAGGGAAAGAGAAACAGATCTGAGAGAGTCGAGAGAGGAGGGAGAAGTTTACGAGGACGATCGACTCCAACCCTGCCTCAGCTACTCAACTTTACTTACATAAAAGCCGGCTTTATCAAGATTTTTCTTTCTTCATTAATAGTTTAAAAATATATATAAGAATTAAATATTGTTTGGAAATTTTCTCATTGTATTTCTTTTCAAATATAAACTTACTTTAACTTCTTTTATTGGATATTAAAAAAATTGAATTAATTAAAAAATAAACGAAAGGCACCCTTTTCCATTTGAGTGAAAAAAGAAATATTGGAAGTCAACAACATATTATTTGTATTTCTTCTTATGACAAGTATAAAATCCAATGTCATTTTAGGTTGATAGGACTTAAGAGTGGGCTGAGAAAGGATTTAATTGTTTTTTTTTTTTTAATTGAAATACTCACTTTATGCAATAAGTGAAATTATTTATTTTAAGAAACTTAATACTAATATATATTGATTTATAAATGTGAAAGTTACTGTATAAAGTTTTTTTTAATGTATTAACAATAAACTCAACTGAATCAAGTTAAACCATCCCAATGCATCATTCAAAAGGTTTCTCTAAAGTTTTGTTCAGTCTGAATGATGACGGTTTGATTCGAATAAGATTCAGTTTGATTTTTTAAAATATTATAAAAATTTTAAATTTAATTTGAATTAGAATCAAATTTTTATTAAATTTAAATCAAATTAAATCAAAATTTATAAGTTCAATTCAGTTTTATCGATTTTTTATTTTTTAATTTTTAGATATTATTTAAATATAAAATCTTAACATATTTAAGTAAATTTTGATATAAAATTATTAATTTTATTTTATAAAAATTTAAAAATATATATAAAAACTAAGAAAAACATATGATTTGGTTCAATGTGGGTTCTTTCAACTTTTTACTTTTCAATCCAAAATTCGATACAAACCTAATATATACATTTAAGATCCCAACTTGATATGAACCGAATAAAAAAAAAATTGATTCAAATCAAATTGACCATTACAGTTTTGAATCAATTTTTCAATTTTTCAATTTTTTTCTCACCCCTATGATTCGTCAAGTCCACAAGGTTTTTAAATTTTTTTAAATATATTAAAATGTATGAAATTTTATTATTTTTAAATATATTTTTAAATTAAATAAAATAAATTTTACTAATAAAATAAAATTTCAAGTTGAGTAAAATGGAGTCCAGATTTTAAAACTCATGTTTAAAATTCAATTCAATTTGAATTAAGCTTGCAAGTAAATGAATAATTTGATTTGTGTAAAGATATCAATTTTACTTATATTCAACAAAAAATTTAAATTTTTATTCAAACGGATATGGGAATGAATATCACATTATAGTATATGAATAAGAATGTATATGATTTTAAATTTTCATTTGATACAAAAATAGAAATAGGTAATGTAGCATTCATCTTGTATATGTATCCTATATATATATTATTATATATATTTAATATATAGATTTGTTATTAAATAATATAAATTATTATTTTTTATTAATTAAAATTAATATATTTTTTGAAAAAATATATATTAATATATATTTTAAAAAATTACATAAATATACAAGATAAAAATAACAAAAACCTAAAAAAAAAGTTTTAAGTTTTTTTTTTTTAATTATAGGTATAAAAATTACTTATATTAATTAAATACCCACGAAGATTAGGTTGAGAGTGGAGATGAATTTAAAAAATTCTGTATATATAAATACGAAGATAAATATAATATGAAAATCCGGATATGAGAATGAAAAATATTTTATCTTACCCATCCTCTACCCAGGTATAATAGATTTATGTATAGATTTAATTAAAAATCAATATATTAATGATCAAATATCATATTGAATGAAAAAAATATTATTATAAATAAAATATTAACCTTAATAAGGGATTGAGATATTGTTAGCAAAATACATTATATATTATATAATATAGAATATTAAATTTGAAAAGAAGGGAATAAATGGAGGGTATTATGTGACATCTTTATTTATTTTTCATTATTTGTTATTTAATTTTTTAAAATATATACATTTTTTACTTTTTTATTTGTTTTTATTTTATTTTTATTAGATAATATAAAGAAAAGTTAATAGAAGTATGGATGATAAAATAATTTGTATCCGAATGATTTTGGTTAATTTCAATCAAATATAAGTGCAATTAAAAAAAAGAAAGATCAAATCAAGATAATCGATAATTTTTTTTTAAATATAATTAGATTGGAGATAAATTTAAAATATTTTATTTTTTAAAATAATTTAAGTCAAATCAAAATTGGGTTTAGGATGTTTGCTTTGATTCATCTCGAAATGTATAAAAGAATATATTATATTTTATTACTTATTTAATTTTATATTTATATATTATTTAAATAAAAGTATTATTTAATATTTTAATTTAATAAAAATTATATTTATATATAATTAAATTATAATTTATATTAAAAAATAAATACGCTTATATTTATTTATATATTATAATCTACTAAAACTTAACATAAAAATTTTATTTCTTTTATATTTAAAATATAATTTAAAAATAAATAAATTATAAACTTGTGGTTAAATTCAGGATTGTAAAAATTTTTTATTTTTAGATTAAAATATTTTGTTTTTTCAAACAATTGTTTTAGTGAAGAACTATTTGAGAATAATTTATAGGTGTCAATTCATTTGGGTCTTGAGTAAATTTAAAAATTTTGATTGAATATTTATAAAAGGAGGTCTATAAAGTGATTGTTTAGTTAGGATATTGTAAAAATTAAATCTTAGTTTATAATTTATAAGGAAAACAAAGGATTTTAGAGAAAAATAAGAAGAACAAAATTTTTTACTTATTGATAGTTTTTTATTTAACTGTGTCATGGATATATTATTTTTTCGATTTATTCATATGTTCAGATAATCTGTTAAGAGATTTTTGTCTTCGTTGATGTACCTGATCTGGAGCCTTTTAACTTGAGGCCATATACGATACACCCATTCCTTAGATACTAGGAAGTAGCTGTCCAAGATTTATATTTTTCCAACGCATTGAAATATAGAACTTTCATTAGTGCTTCCCAAAAGTAAAAATAGTGTTTCCAATTGGCTTTGTTTTGCAAAATCAACTTTCAAAAAATAACTTTTGAAAAATATTGACCTAAGAAAAAGTAAATTTTTTTATGATTTCAGCGATTCAGTAAATTTTTTTTACTGTTTCCTAAAAACATTTTTGAAATAATTGACTAAAGACATGCTTAATCTCCTTGCATTTAATTTTTCTTGATAATGGATTATTGTTTTTTTATAGTTTTTTTGGATTATATCTTTCACATTTAGTAGTTATTTTTACTCTCCAATATTCCTTTCGTTTTGTTTAACGGTATTGGAATTTGTCAAAAATAGCATAATTGGAAGTAGATTTTAAACAACGATCAAACTCCACTTGCTAAAACAAAGGTTAGGCTGAGCTGTTCTGTCCAAAAAGCCACAGAAAATTTACAACTGGTGGGCTCAGGGATTGGTTGTGAAGCCATCACGTGCTGATGGGTCAGGAGCTGAAGCCTAACACCCGTGTGATCTTAAATTGGAAACTATCGTCCATGTGCCTAATTCGGCTCGATTCACTTGGTTTAGAATTTGTATACGGATCATGATACCTACACGTGTACTAAACACGTCAGTCTTACAAATACTCTACCATACCTCCAGTAAACTAAAAATATCCCTACTAAAAAAATCGAATTTATGGTGTTGTGTCTGAATCTTTGTGATTGGGAGCGAGGGACCGTGTTTTCTGAACTGTTTTTAAGTCTCTCTTATTCAGGCTCACAACTCTCAAGGCCATAACAAAAATTCCTGTTAACACCTTTTTTTTTTTAAGCTCTGATTTTAGTCATCATTTTGACCTTTGGTTAAGGCAAAGGAAGATCTGAAAATGTTGATGCTTTTTTTTTTTCATCAGTAAAGCATTGAACAAAAGCTCAGAGATGATATTGGTTCTCTCTGCTCTGTGACTTTTGGGACAGAAGATCGAATGCCCATTTCCCATTGGAAGGTAATTCGGCTGCTCATTTTTTTAAGGTTGGAGTCTTGAGACATTTTGGTTCGGAATTTCATTGTCTTTTAGTCAAGTCTGGTGCTTGTTTGCTTGTTTTGTTAAGGGGAGTATCTGGGTTCGTTATTTTTTATTTGAAATTACTGATAGTTGTTTAGACAGTTCATTGTAGATCAAGAACTTTGCTTTGGCTTTGGTAGTTTTACCGGCATTGGTAAGATGAGAGGGAAAGTTGTATTTTTGAAATTGGATTCTCATAGTTGAATGTATCTGTGGGATTGATTTAATATTTATTGGTTAGTACGGGCACCAGATTGTTGCAAAAAAGACATATTAAAGAATGCGCAATGGAGCAAGGGGCACATATTGCATATTTGGATGCTCAATTTTAAGATGTTTATTGGTAAAGAAAACGAGGTTGTGATAAATTTGGTTGCTCTCTTGTGGTGATTCTTTATTGATTGAGGAGTGAATCGGATTTTTATTGATGGCATCCATTAGAAGAACACTGTCTCCGCTGCCTCGACAGGGGACTTTAATTACTGGAGAGGCTGAACGTTCAGTTCCTTCTCCATTGTCGAAGTCTTCATCATGTAGTCAGAACTACCTACAGAGTGGTGGATTGCTATCTTCTCTTTTTGGTTTGTCGGATTATCAAGCTTTGGTTCTTGGTGTTTTCTCGCCAAGATCTTCTAGGTCTCTTGACAGGTCAAAACAGAAAGGACAAGTTTGGAGGAGGGCCCTTTTTCATTTCTTCATTTGTTTCATAGTTGGTTTTTTGATTGGATTGACACCATTCATTTCCATGGACATTTCTTATAAGAATCCCATTTCAAAGCACCAGGCATTCTCTTTTGAGGTAGCATCAAATGTTGGGAATGTTCAAACATACAACAATTCAGAAAGAAATGTAACGTCAATGATGGACAACTCAGGAGTTGAAAATAATGTCACAATGGAGGCATTGGTGCAGAAACTGGAAATGGTAGACGGCAAGTTAGGTAATGCCCTGACTAATCTGTCACTCCCTCAAGATATAGATCTGGAATCCCATAAGCTTTTGATAGTTGTGACTCCTACATCTGCTCGACCACTTCAAGCCTATTATCTAAATCGTTTGGCATACACATTAAAGCTAGTCCAGGCACCTCTATTGTGGATTGTTGTGGAGATGACCTCCCAGTCTGAGGAAACTGCTGACATATTAAGAAGGAGCAGTGTTATGTATAGGCTTCTTGTTTGCAAGAAAAATCTAACTGATATAAAAGACAGAAATGTTCACCAAAGAAATGTGGCACTATCTCACATTGAAACTCATCATCTTGATGGAATTGTTTACTTTGCCAATGAGGATAACATCTACTCAATTGATATCTTTGATCAAATGAGGCATATTAGGTATCTCCTTTATATTATTAGGTATCTCCTTTATATTTTTATATTTCTGTCTAATTATTATGATTCTGCTTATTATGTAATTCCTATGTCTCTTGCTTCATTTCTCTTTTGATGGTACTGTAATGCAAATCTGTTGACTTCTTTTTCTAGTTATGAACCCCTAACGAGTGAAAAAAAAAACCAGAAAGTTCACTTATTGAGATCATGGTTTGTCTCTTCTTTCTTTTAGAGCTTTCAATGAAGCGCAGGAATGCCATGATATATTATCCTAGTAGTGGACTAAAATAGGAATACGATATAACCTACTTGGAAAGATGAGGAATGCATTATTTTACTTATATCACATGATTGTTCAGCTTCCATAGGTTGAACTTTTTATTTTATTTGTTATTTCTCACAAGGAATTAGTTGTTCCCTTCACTTATGGCAGTTAGCCAAAAAGTTAATCACTGAAGATTCCTCCAGTTAGGCTTCTGTCTTCTCTGTAAGTTTCCTGCCATTCATTCTTTGCATGGAGCACTTTGCTTATGTATTTTAGGTGTCATAGCCACAACCCCTTCTCCCTGTTACATTTGCCTGCTACAGCAGTTTATGTCACTATGGTCTTTATTTATAGGCGGTTTGGGACATGGACTGTGGCTAAACAAACATGGGATAAAAGTAGAGCTATATTGGAGGGCCCTGTTTGCAATGGAACTCAAGTCATTGGATGGCACCTAAATGGATTAAGTAGGGGATTCCGAAGATTCCACGCTGACATGTCAGGGTTTGCCTTCAACAGTTCCATACTCTGGGATCCAAAGCGATGGCACCGACCTACTCTTGAATTGATTAGACAGCTTGATACAGTCAAAGATGGCTTCCAAGTTAGTGTTTATTGGCTCTTCTTTGATTGTCTTTAAGTTTCTTATTGTTTCACCTTACTGCAGTGATCATGGCTGTTACTGCCATTTACTACATCTGCAAATTGAGTGAATTTTGGTAGGGGAGGAACAAAAAAAGAGAAAAGGATGTTGGCAAATCAGATCTGACCTTTTTAATATTTGAGCAGTGAAAAGATGGAAACAAAAGTGAACATAATTGTCCAAAACTTGGTGAGGAAGATTGAGACTTTGTCCTCCAAAAATTAACCCTTGGAAGAGTATTTTGCACCATAACCTATGTTGAAACGCCTTGACGATAATGTTGGTGGATTTCACTTCAATCTTTTAACGTTATTGATTTGAATTTGCAGGCAAGCTCGTTTATTGAACAAGTTGTGGAAGATGAAAGCCAGATGGAAGGCTTACTGCAGGACTGCTCAAGAATCTTGGTTTGGGAGCTTAATGTTGAATCATGTAGTTCCTTCTACCCTCAAAAATGGTTGATGAAGAATAATTTAGACGTTATTGCTCCACTTGCATGAAATCCCGGATGTCAAAGGAGTTGATTTCGATTCTCAAGGTGAATGTCAGTTCTTTCTCTAGTAATCAGAGTATTGTTAACAAATTTTTGCATATGAAATGTTAAAAATCAACATGAAAATAAAAGTAATTTTATATTAACCTGAGTTCATTGTGTTTATTGTCTTAGTGAGAGAAAATAATATACAGGAAAATAAAACAAAAAACTCTGGGCTATCTAATGGATAATGAGAAACCAAAATTTTAGTTGTCTTCCTGACTCATTGGGCCAATCCATTGAACAATGAATACTGCACTAGGGCATTGAGACTAATAGATTATCACCTCTCGGCAAGCAAACTTTGCTGGATTCTAGGCATGTTGGGGGTTTAGAAATATAGCAACCAGATTCAAACTTTATTCCTAATATTAAACAACTATATATATAGGCTGGAATGATTGATTTTCTATTCTTGTTTGATACATGTCTGCAAAGTGGCTCAATTTAGATTTGTCTGATTTTTCATGTTGATTCTTTAGGGTGGTAGGAGATGGCCAAGATTTGCATTTCATTGCCAGTGAACGAGAGTCATAATCAGGTTGATACCAACACTAAGTGGCCAAACATATGGATTGTTAATGTACTTAACTTCTAGCTAAAATGGCAGAGTATTTTGCAGACAAGGGTAAACATAATCTTTGTACGGTATATTATTTTTCCATTTCTGCATTGCCTGCTCATTTTGGTTGAGAGAAATTTAATGGGACTAGCTAGGAAAGGATGGCCAAATGAAAAGCATCCTTGTGTGATGCAGACTGTAATGTTACTTTGGGTCTTATTCTGGTTTAGCTATACTTAAAGCAAAATTAGTTATTTGCTTATTACCTCCAGCTATGCCTTGTAGTGCATTGTTTATCCTGCATGTATCTTATAATTTATTTGTGATGCAGCTTGGAATTCAGCTGTAAATGCGATCTCAAAGTGGCAAGGGCCACTCAATTTTCCTGAACTGTTGAGTACTGGTTTAGAAAAAAATAGCAAAAACTAATACTACTGATATGGACATTGACAAAATTAAACTACAATGATTGATGCCCTATTATGAAAGGACTTTGAGTATACTGTTTTTGAGAAAGAAAACAGTTACAAGAAAAAGTGAAAATGGCAAAATTTAATAAGTTAGACAATACAACAAATGAACCCTGCTGAGTTCTAAAGTATAAATATACTCCTTTTACAGTATTGGTTAGCCCTCTAATATTTGCCCTATCTAGTTTAACTTTATCGCCTGTTTTTCATGTGAATTTTTCCAGTCATGGAAGCAGAAATTTTCCAAACAAAGTCCCTATTTCTTTGTCTTTCTCCTGGCGCCATTAGCAATGCGGATTTGACTGCTGACCACTTTGGAATTCTGAATTCAACTTAGCAATCATAACTTGTATGTGTGTTGAGATCTTGTCAAACATTTCAATGCAGGCGTCCGTATACCCGAGTGGTTAAGGAGACAGACTCGAAATCTGTTGGGCTTTTCTTCACAATCTCAAGAACCCCTTAAAAATCATGGGCCGTTCTTGGTGTGATTCCTTTTTTGCTGATATATATACACCCCAAAGATTATTCGAAAAGGGGTATTATGGTAATTACATTGACATTGAGAATGAGTGCAGCTCACTTCATTCTCTTCTGCATTGATCTCTTCTTTTTCTTCACAATCTCGACAACCCCATGGCCATTATCATTCTCCTTCCTTAATTTCTCCAAATGGTTCCCAACCTAGACTTGATACTGGTGGCATTTCTCTATGGCTCCTTCATTGCCTGCTTTATTCTTATGGCTGCCTTTTTCATCTTGATCACACTCTTGCTCACTTTCTCTTTCTCAATCTTCTCCATTGTTTTCATTGATTTATACAATATCTTTTCTTTGTTTTCTCAGTATGTTGGATCTGTAGAGGCTAATCTTGAACTGGGTTTTGTTCTACTTCTCTGCATGTTAATGCGATATGCACTTGTTGCTGCTTCGGCTTCAAAGCCATCAGTTGATCGCTTGGTTTCTCAAATCAGACTAAAGGCCCAATATGCCATGGATCGCATCCATGCTTTGCTGCTTGTCCACGCTAGAAGATTGCAACAGTAATTTATTTCGGAATTAGTGACCAAAAGGAATAAACTTCTCAAGAACATAAAAGAAGAATATTAATTTAAAGATTGCATACAAAATTCTACGACAGAAATTCAATGTTATTCATGTGATTTTACAAATAATTTTCTTGTTTATACACATTTTTTTTTATAATACGTCGTGAGATATCTATTTGGTCTTCTTTTTTTTTTAATTTTCACATTATGATTTTAATTTCGAAACTGGTTGTAATATTAGTTAATATAAAAAAAATTCAACAACATAAAAATTAGTTAGTTGCACTTCATTGTGTTATTAACTCAACAATAATAAATACAAACTAGTCGACTACTTTTTTAATCAATTGAAAGATCATTTAAATTAGTATTTAGAGTTTGGATTAGAGTTTAAGCATGTAATATTTTTTTTAGTCAGATATATAATAAGATAAGAAACTTTAAGGGTTGATTAAAAATTTCAAAAAAAAATAATTATAGAATACTATTATTACATTTTTGTTTAGTCAAACTTCACTCAAAATATTTTTGCATGCTCTTTCTCTCCCTGTTTATGTTCTTTCTTGCCTTATTACTTTGTTCTATTTGCTAATCTACAGGCTATGTACTATTTTTCCAAACATTTTTTTATTTGTGTATTCAGTCATGTAGATAGAGTTTGTTTTGACTGCAGAGATATCTAACTGGAGTGCAATTACATTCTGAGAAACTAACAATCATCTATCGACTCACGATCATCTTTTCTGGATGCCTGAGCCTGACCCTCATCATCTCCTTGACAAGGACCATAAGCCTTGCTGCAAGCAAGAAAATACATAAAATTAAGCATGCACAAGCCAGCAAGAAGCCAATAATAGTAATCATAATGACCCTTGTTAATATTGCTTGAAATCCAACTTTCCCCTCCTTTTTTAGTAACATCATCAACTGTACTTGTTATAAAACTTGCCACCAGACTTGCAGCAAAAGCTTCTAATCCTAAAAGATTGGCTGCGATGCTTGACATGGTTTTAGGTAATTCGGAGTAAAAGAATTCCATATGTCCAATTGCAGTGAAAGCCTCAGCCAAGCCACCTAGGACATTAAATGGCAGCAGCCATAGTGCAGATATGTACACCATGGCTTGTGGTTCATCTGAAAGTCCTTGGATTGCAGTTTCCCGTCGAATATACTCCACATTTGCTACTGATACCATGGATGCACAAGAGCAAAGAAGTCCAATCCCCATTTTTTGTTTCAAACTAAGACTAACTGGTTTTCCTTTAATTTTTGATGCTAAAGGACGAGCTATCCGATCATAGAAAGCAATCCATGCTATAACAGCGATTATCATAAACATACCAAATGAACCTGCTGGAATTTCAAATTTTGGAGTTATATGTCGGTCCATGGTGCCTGCTTGAATTACTAAAAAGGAGCCTTGAGCGATAATCACAGAGAGCATGATTCCCGTCGACCAGATTGGCGTCACTCTGATTAATGCCTTTAGCTCTTCTGCTTGATCTATTGTACAAAGGCTCCATGGGTTTGAAGCATTTCCATCCGAGGTCAAGTCCTGTTGAGGATTTTTTATTAGACAAGCTTTATTCAGAAACCTTAGTTTTTCACTTGGCACGTGAAGCATTGATCCCTTTCCGTGATAGTACACTTCCTTCGTGGGCTGGGATGGTAAGTCAATGTGTCTATTTCTGAAAGAGGCCACTATAACTTGAGCTAAACCAGTGAACAAGCTTCTCCTGGCTTTCAACTTGACGTAGAAGGGAGACGCCAAGTAGAAGGAAAGGGATGACATGAACATTAGCATGACAGGAACACCGAAACCCATTTTCCATCCCAAGTTATCTTGAACATAAACGATGAAAGTTACCGCAATTAGAGCTGAAAATGAGATAGAAGCATAGTACCAACTGAAGAAACTCTGTAAGGTTTCCGGATTGTTTCTCTTCAACTGATCTGCACCAAAGGCTAGGGAAGACGATCTTATTCCGCCGGCTCCAATTGACATTAGGCCAAAGGAAGAATACAAGAGTAGAAGTTGGGTTGTTGTGGGGGATTCGCAAATGCTGCTAAATTGGTCACAATGAGGTCTTGCTTGCGGAAGCATGGCTGTTAACCATAAGAGAACCATCCCCTGTAACATAAAATGGCAATCAGGTTAATTAATTAAAGAGAGAAAAAAAAAAAAAAACAGAGATTCCTTTCACTAATGGCGGCATATGTCTGCACAGAAACTCGAAAAATTTTATCAGGAACTCCTGGGTAGAGCAGTACCATTGCCCTGTTTACTTGAGTAGTCTTATGTTACGTTAATTGGGTATCCTACTCAATCATAAACAAGCCACACCTATAAACAATTAATACATATTTCATTATTGCAATATGAAAAAAATGGTCGGAAATCAGGCTTTTCTGTAAAATTTTTTTATTTCTGTTTCATTCAGATAAGTAAAGAAAAATCTGTGTTGATGAACAAATGCAAGCAAGACCGTCTTTTCAAAAACAAATATTAGCAAAACCTGGCAAAATGAATATACGTTATTTTCAATACCCCACCTTGAAAATTGGAAATGCTATATGAAAGGGACATTTTGGTATTAGGCCTCCACACCGATAATATGAACCAACAAAAACAAAGTGACACAATTGATAACGTGGTCCACTTAAACCTAACAAAATTAAAGCATCACGACGGCAGAAAAGTTGAGGTAATTATAAAATATTGGATTAAACAGGATTACCAGAAAACTGAGAATGGATCCGAATCCGATCATCCGGTACTTTCCCACACAAGAATCGGCAAGAAAAGCACCAATGATCGGGGTGAAGTTGTTGGCAGCTGACCAAACGAAGATCAGATTGGCCGCTTGAGCTGTTTCCAATCCATATTCCTTCGTCAAATACAGTATCATATTTGGTGATAACCCCAGACTCGCCATCCTTTCAAAGGCCTCGTTTGCTGTCACAAATTAAAGTTGCATGAAGGTCAGTGGCCATGCATGCACAAAAAAGAAACGGGGAAGTTTTAGGGCGTACCTAAGATGAAAGGCAGGGTTCTGAAGCCTCCCTTTGAGGTGGTAGGGGCTGTGATCAGGAGGGGTTCTCCCATCGTCTTCTTTTCATCCGAAGGAGTTTCCATTGGATTTTCTTTGGTTTCTAGCCTTCTTTCCTGGCTCTGGAATTTGGCTTGTTGAAGTGCTATCCTACAAACTGAGTAATGAGAGTTAAAACGAAAGATGAACTACGATGGATGATTTTTATTTATTTATTTTGGTAAAAAAATCATTTTAATCTATGACTAGCGTGAATGTGATGGCTTTCTAGTTATAAAAACAAAGTGTGCCCTCCAGGTTTTATCTACGAATCATGATGACAATGTGGATGACATGTGCTATCAAATAACTATATAAATAAATAAATATATATAATTATTATTCTATTCTGTAAAAAAAAAAAAAAAAAACACTCATTAAGGGTATCTTTTATTTATATCTAAGTTTAGAATTTAAGGTTTAAATTTTAAAAAGACATGTATTTGTAATTTTTTTTATTATCAATGTATAAAATAATAATTTACATATATTTATAAAGGAGGGATTAATTTATATAATATAATATTTAAATTTTTATATATTTTTAACAATTAATTTTAATATATTCAAGGGATGAAATTAAATTATTTTTTAAATTTTTATTTATTTTTCATCCATTAAATCTATTAGAATTAAGAGATAAAAATATATAAGACTAAAAAAATTATACTATATAAAATGATCTTTCTTTATATTTCATATATATTTATATAAATAACAAGTTGTTAGTTTAATCGATTAAAGTTCGTTTTTTTCGACGAAGAGATATTGGATTCAAATCCTGTCGGTGATCACTTGTTAGGGTCATATTGAATGCACGATCTGCTGCAGTTACCTATTTTAATTTGTTAAGTATAATACATCTTATCCTGACTTGAAAGACTTAATAACTTATTTATATATATATCTATATAAAAATTACTATTGAGTTAATAAGATTGAGATGTCAATTAATTGATTTAATTGATGAATGAGATTTAGATTAAGTTATATTATATAGAATTTAGACTGATTGATAAAAGTTGATTATATTAGACAGAACTTGAAAATTCTTTATTAATAAAAAAAAAAATTAATTGTTTTAATTCAAATATATATATATATATCGCTTAACTTTTTTAAAGTTAAAAAAATTTAAAAGCACGATATTTTATGAGATAAATAAAGATAAAAAGATTAAAGTTAGATTAATATTTTTTTAAAAAATATAATTATCATTAAATAAAATACTTAAATTAATATTAAATATTTGGTTCAAATAAAAATTTTTGAATCAAATTTTTATTATTGAATATTAAATTAAAAAAAAATCACTCACAAGATATACAGCAAACTTGTTGGGAAAAGAAATATTGCAGTAATACATTAATTTAAATGAGAACCCCAATACTTCTATAAATTATAATTCTACCCTATTAAGCGGTGAATAATTTGCAATTCCCAACCTCTTTTTGCCTCTTTCTCATTCTTTAAAAATTGCAGAACGGTCCCCAATAATTTTTTTACAGCGCCCTTTTTTCATCTCGTCATCTCCGTTGACAATGCTTCCAAATTCTTCGAAATCCCCAAAACACCCTCCGCCAAAAGTCACCCATTTTTCCAGCTCGCTACCATTTCTAAAAAATATTTCTTACCCTTTATCAATATCTCAATCGCATGCCCTAATTCATCGAAATCCAACCCCAAATCGACTGATTCTCGAGAAAGTGAGAGAAAAAAGAAATCCAGCTGATCTATGGAAAGGATCGTCGGAGAAAAGTACAAGCTAGGTCGCAAAATCGGAAGTGGATCGTTTGGTGAAATCTTTCTCGGTATTTTTTTTTTCTTTTTAACAATTGTTCTTCTTTTATTAAGCTAGTTTATATCAAATTTATCAATTTTGATATATGCTTTCTTTTTTCTTTTTGGTTTTGCTTTGTTTCAGCTACTCATGTTGACACGGGTGAAACTGTCGCGGTAAAGATTGTAAGTCTTCATTTGAATTTATTAGCAAGTTTTGATTTTTTGTTTATTTCTTTGACTTTGAATGTTTTGGAAGAAAATTTCAGCTGTAATATTAAGCTTTTGAGGTGGATGTTGGATTTTGTAACACAAAATTTCATCTGATATTGTAATTTTTTTAAAAAAAGGCTAATTTTGGGTGGTGATATCGAAATTAGTCAATATTTTGGTAAATTTATAAAATTGATTATGCAGCTTGATTTTATACTTGGAATTAATAACTTTTAGATCTCATCATGTTGATGAAAAATCTACTTTCTGAAGAGGGTAAAATCAAACTGATATAAATTAGTAAACTTTATTTTTGAGTTGGTGGCAGGAAAACAGGCAGACAAAGCATCCGCAATTGCTATACGAAGCCAAGCTCTATAATATTCTTCAAGGAGGAAGTAAGTTAAAGTTTTTGGTAGTTTTATGTTCACAATACTGACTTTTGTATAAGTATTCTTTCAGTTATGGTAATGCTATTGATATTTACACAAATCTGTTTCGTTTAGGTGGTATTGCACATATTAAATGGTCTGGTGTTAATGGGGAAGATAATGTGCTGGTTCTTGACTTGCTGGGACCGAGTCTGGAAGACTTGTTTGTCTACTGTGGGAGGAAGTTTTCATTGAAAACAGTCTTAATGTTGGCTGATCAAATGGTAATTGGATGAAGAATTTCAAATAAGAATTGTCCAAATCTTCTTGTCTGATATAATAATGCTAGTTGCGTTTGAGTTGTAATTTGCATATTGCTCTATGTGAACATTTTTTTTTCCTTTTATGTGGTGTAGATTACGAGAATAGAATTTATGCATGCTAAGGGGTTTCTGCATAGAGACATCAAACCGGATAATTTCCTCATGGGTCTTGGCAGGAAAGCAAATCAGGTATATTTCTTCAATGTTTGATCTGCATAGATAATACTTCTCTTATATCCCTTTCTTCTTTATTTAGTACTGTTTTGTCCTCGTAGGTCTACATCATTGACTTTGGCCTTGCCAAAAGATATCGTGATCCCACCACAAATCGACATATTCCTTACAGGTAATGATTCAATTACCAGGTTCTTGCTAAACATCTGGTTTGGTTTCCTTTTTAACATGATTTGAAGACAAAGTTACTTGATGAGGGTTCCTTTTTTATTCATTTTAATTTCTATTTTGAGCCTGTAGAGAAATTTCAGTTTTCAGTATATTCTCTTTCTTGATTCATTTACTTGTGTTTTTGCTAATCTTGTCTTTTCTTTTCATTTCTCTTTCCCCCTTTTTTTTCTGGCTAAGTAGTGATTTTTTGTGATAACTCTTACAGGGAGAATAAAAATTTAACGGGGACTGCACGTTATGCAAGTTGTAATACTCATCTTGGAATTGGTAAGAGTTGTTTTCTTTCCTTTTCTTTTTAATAGAAGGCAGGGTTCTGAAGTTGTCTTTATTCTCTCTTTATTATATGCAGAGCAAAGCCGTCGGGATGATTTGGAATCACTTGGCTATGTTCTTTTGTATTTCTTGAGAGGAAGGTATGCTCCGATTCACTGTCAATCCTCTTTTATGACTCGAGTATGTTAGGGTTGTAGTTGGACTTGTAAGAGCATTGATTTTACTCAATCCTTACCTTATTCATCTTAATAACTTTCATTTATTCAGATGTTATGCAGCAATGGATTCTGACTGTAGAAATCTGACCTTTGTTAATTTCTGCATTTAGCCTTCCTTGGCAGGGTCTAAAAGCTGCTACAAAGAAGCAGAAGTATGATAAAATATGTGAGAAGAAGTTATCAACACCCATAGAGGTATTTCCTTATTAGATAACTCCCTTCCACGAAAGGAAAATGATTTTAGTCAGTAATTGTTCAATTCTTACAATTTTTTTCATGTTCAAAAGGTTTTGTGCAAGTCACACCCTGTGGAGTTTGCGTCATACTTTCATTATTGCCACTCTTTAACGTTTGATCAGAGGCCTGATTATGGATTCTTGAAGCGCCTGTTTCGAGATTTGTTTACTCGAGAAGGTAATGAACTTCTTAAGTTCACCAAATTCCTCATTTTCTCTCCATTTTGCATGTTTGGGTTGCTATGTTAATATTTGATGGAGCTAGATTTCTGAACTGAACATCTTTCGTTTTAGTAGTCCTGTCTGGCATTGATTGCAACATCCTGTATCTGTGTGCACAGCATCCAACTGATATTTGTGTGTTCTGATTTTTAACTTATATTCTATGTTTCAGGATATGAGTTTGATTACATATTTGACTGGACCATTCTTAAGTATCAACAGACACAAAGGACAAAGACGCATCCTCAATCATCTGTTAGTATTTTCTTAATTCATTTTTATTGTTATTATTTTTTCTCTTTGGATTAGTCATTTAAAAGACTTGTATCTTGTGAAATATTTGTGGCCAGTATTCAATGATTTTTTTTTTCGACCAAAAATGTATCAGGAGTAATTTGTTTATTGTAGCATGAATCAATGTCAGAGGCTGCTTCGAATTATAGTTGGTTTTTTTCACTCAGTCTTATATGATCTTACTTGTTTCTCCTGATTTTTTTTTTTTCAGGATTTGCAGCCTTTTTCTGGTACAAGTAGCAGTCAAGCAATGCCTATGGATAAGCTTAAAGGTAGTTGCTTCAAGCATTTGGTGATATTTTTGTGGTAGTTTGTGTCTTATACAATATAGGGCAATTTCTGCTGTAGTTTCCATCTTTCACAAATTCTAGTTAGTTACTTCCGAACGGAAGATATTTCTCATTTTAACTCATTTTGGAAATTGTCTTTTATGAAGTGCATCTTTCCTTACTAATTTTTGAATTCCAGGAATCAAGGATGCTTCTCATTCAGGTGAAGTTATGGAGCATAGAGGACCAAGTAACCATGTTCGTCCAGATGTCCGCATGCAGTTTAGACCATCAGTTGGTCAAAATGTGAGTGAGAAACATGTAAGTTGCCTTGAAGCATGTTATATCATGTTTCATTTGCACTTGTAAACTGCAAGTTTAAATCTAGAAAATGAAATATACTAAAATTAATGTGGTATACTTTAAAGTGGCTTTTTCCCTTACCATCTCTTTTTACAAGTTTTAGGATAATGTAACTTCACTGGATGGTCCATTTAAAATAACTGCTGTGGGATATGACTTTTGCAGATGAGGAGCAGTTCAGCGATGCCATCTACTTCATTTGCTCTGCCTAGTTCCTTTAAAAAGAATCTACCAAAAGCAGAGGGGCCAACTGATGCCACAAGTAATGGCCATGGATTTGGGAACAAGACTGGTGCTTCAAGCAGCTGGATGCCATCTTTTCATAGAATATCTTCAGCCAAGTGATTGGTATAGGAAGACAATTTTCAAAAACTATGTCCTTGTTATAAGTTATTTTGAATGAATTTATTACATTTTAAGGAGTGAATGCTTATAGCTATATGTATCAGCTAAGCTCAGGTTGTGATTCTGGCTTTGGATTTTAGGGAACCTAGAGCTGGTGTTGTAAGTGTCATGAAGTTGGGACTTTGGATAGCTCAAGATCTTGCTGAAAGATGGCTGATTGTATTATCTGCTTTCCACAAGGCAACCATGAGAGCAAATATGTGGGATTGTGCTGCGATGTGGCCCATCAAAGCATGGGGACATTGGTTAAGCCGGTTTCATGTTTAATTGTTCCATGGATGATATGTAAAGTGTTTTCTCCATTCTTCTGTTAATAGATGATAAAGTTTCATTTGTGTGATACGGTTGTTTTGACCTTGTATCTGATTTAATTTAGGATGCATTTGCTTTCTTTTCTCATTGATTCATAATTTGGATCAAAGCCCTTAATGCTTACCTGGATCAATTTGAATCTAGGTACCTGCATTCACCAGAGTCTGAAAAAGGTACTGTAATCTAGAGTTTCAGGTACCGGACTATCTTGTTAGTTTTTTCAGATTCTGTCAGTTGTATTTTATAACTATATGTTTAGTTTGAATTTTATTTGCTTGACTTTGTACAATTCTCTCATTTGCCAGTGGATATGAGAAGAGTTTAATTGATCAATAGCAGTCACTGCTAATATTGAAGTGATATGAAGATGTTTTTGTAAATATCCATTTGGGGTATGGATCTCGGAAGTTTATACCTTAAGAGGATTGAGGTAATTCACTAAAATTTGTTCATTCGTTGTCAACTATTGCAGCACATGTCCAGTCATTAATTTTGTTATGGTTGAAATTTTGAAAAGCTGATTTTTTGGGCTCTATTGATGCCTCAGTATGAAATCTAGTGCTTAAATATGCTGGTTACGTATTGTTCAACTCTGTAAGGCAAAGCCACAAGCTTTTTCAGGTAGAAGAGGATGTCATCAATGGGATAGTTTTCCAGTTTCTTACCCATATTTTTTATGTTAATGGATTTTGCCCATGTATAAAAACATTCTTTCCTTGTATTCCTGATGTACTTTTGCAGTTGTTAGTAATTGTTTTAATGCATTGTTATAGGTCAAAGGGAAGTAGCCATGCTGAGAGGCGAGAGCCATGGCACATAGTATAGATGGGGCTGTGAAGTTGTACCGAGTAACTGGTAGCATGCTTGCTTTGAATTCAACGAAGTTACTGTAGAGGCTCAACGATGAAATTATTTGATCGTTGCCTCGGTGGTTTACTCAAAATCAAGAAAGAAGTTAACAAGATTGAACCGAGTTTTATCCTTTCTTGGTTATTATTCATGCATTAAAAAGTGGAATTATATAAAAATCATTGCCTGTGGTCTGAGATGCCAATGCCTGGATGCGCTGTATTTCCCCAGCAAGGATCATTAAATTGGCTGCGATTTTATCACAACTTAAAAAAGTGATGAAGGGTATTAAAGATTCTTGTTTTTCATTCTTGATCCAAAGGTGATAATGCTGAAATATCCAGTCTCTCTCTGGCAACATTCTTAGCAAATGACCAGATGGTAGCCCTGCTTAGACCTCGTAAAGTGGATTATGAAGCCACATTCAAATACCCTACTCCCTTCATTAGCATATTGAGAAACATAATTGTTAGACCAGTGTTCAAATCTCCTGGAATGATAGAACTTCTCGTGTTGATTCCAACGATGCAAAGAAACAAGTTCTTGTCAGGCCCCTATTCGGTATTCCGGGAAAACTATAATTTACTGGTCCAAAATGTCTTGGTTCTGACAACACAAAGGAACTTGTTCACTAAGTTCAAAAACAGTAAAAGAAATATTATTAGGGTACATGGTTTGTGTACAGATTTTAGTAAAAAGTTCAAGTAAAACTTTACCAGTCATCTATCAAATATCAACCTCTTTTTAGAGTCTAGAGAAAAGTTTTGGTGTAAAAAACTGGAATGTGCGTGGTTATGGCCCAGCTGAGCCCGTAAAGCCAGAGACCTTAGGGCGTCATTTGCTTTTATATTTTGACTTCTAGAGTGCTGTTCCAGGGCAATGTCCTGTTATAATCCAAAGGATATAGTGGGCGTGCGAGAGGGCCCCTGGCACTAGTTTTAGCTACTGATAATGGTGACAAAAGAAAACTCAGGTCATAATGACTAGGCCGCTCAAAAAAAAATTCCGTCTTTAACCCATTAATTCCTTTGCTCTTTATAATGTAAAGCTGAAAAACAGGAAGACGAGGACAAAGATGAACTGCCTTTAATGGGAGCATTTCCAGTACAATAGAATATATCCCCTCCCACTTTTCTCCCTTTTCGTTTTTCCCAATAAAGAAAAACCATGCAGCTTAGTTTCACTTCCCATCATAAATTTCAAACTGTTTCTTTCTCTTCTTTGGCTTGTTCTTGCTTTAGTTGTTGGAATCAAAGTCTCAGCTTTAGTGAAAGTGGAGAAGTAGACAAATTTAAAAGTAAGGGTTTTACTATTATAAGCTTGGCGTGTTTCATGAAAAAAATAGATGGCTAACTTGGCTGTTTGAATGGTTGTTTTGGTGTTAGTGAGCTCATGCAGCATTAAAAGCTCGTCCCAGAAGCTGGAAAATATAGATGAGAATGGTCCTGCAAGGTGGTTGCCAATGTCTTGTCCCCCTCCTGAAACTCCTACAGAGTCCATGGAGTTTCTTGCCAGATCATGGAGTCTCTCCTCTATGGAACTCTCGAAAGCCCTTGCCAAGACGCATATAGCAACTTCCAATGTCCTTGATGAGAAGTCATCTGTTTCTTCTGTTGGAAATGAAGAAACGCATGATACAAGCTCTACTGCTTCAAGGGAACCCGTAAGATCCCTTCTTTAATCCAAGCTGTTGTTTTAAGAAATATGTGTACTAAAAAAATATAGCTTTTGGTTTCTATACGGCTACGATAACTTGTTCTTGGAAAAACCGAAAAAGCTTAAATAATTAAAGACTAAGCTATAGGTGTAGAAAGCGACAATTATTATACAATTTTCATGTTTGTTTGTTTGTACAGCTACTTCAGCAGTTACCTATTGGCGGTAGCCCTCCAACTTCCCCAAGGGAGAGTGAAGATCTGAAGGTACCTCGGTTTCTGTTATCTTTATCAGGCCTTCAATTAGTGGATGCTATTGATAATCTGTGCAATATTTTGTATATGTTCTTCTAAAAGTTACACTCTCAAGCTGTAATGCCCTTCAACCCCTTGTCATTAGTTAAACAGATTTTGCTGCAACAGTTAGCATCCACTGGCTCCAGGCTCCTGCCCTGCAGCCTTGATAGAATATTGTACTGTTCACCTGCTTGTGGTGGTGTGGAACAATCTGCTCCGGATTGTCACAAATATGTAGAGCAAGAAAAAAAAATGGATCCTACTGCAACCACTTAACGCTTACTTCTAACAGTTTTGTAATGTTTTAGGAACTATTTTTACTTCATCAAGCACTGAATCCAGAATTTCTCTCTAACCAGCAACTACTTAAAAATGGGGTATCTCCTCGTTCACCTCATCCTAGTCATCAATTTTCCTAAAGGTATCATCATACTTACCATTAATTATTGCCAATTAGAAGATATACAAGAGCATAGTAAGAGGGAGAACAATGGGGAGATGGTTGAAGGATCAGAAAGAGAGGAAGAAGCAGGAGATCAGAACCCATAATGCACAACTGCATGCAGCTGTGTCAGTGGCTGGAGTTGCAGCTGCCGTCGCAACACTTGCTGCCTCCAATGCGATGTTACCTGAAATGGCAACTAACTGTCCCAAGGCATCTTCTCAAGTATCAACTGCTATCGCATCTGCAGCAGCTCTCGTCGCATCCCACTGCATTGAGGTTGCAGAGGACATGGGAGCTGATCATGACCAAATTTTAACAGTAGTCAACTCTGCAATGAATGCTAGAACAAATGGAGATATCATGACCCTAACAGCTGGAGCAGCTACAGGTTGTTCAAATTGCTTCTAAATTCCATCATCTAGCCAGAAAACATAATTTTAACTATTCACCTTTTCACATTACTATTTACCGTGGCTACAAGACTGCCGTAATTTAATTTCACAGTAAATCATCAACAGCTAAGGGGATAGTAGCTGAAATAAGATAATGGAATGGATTTATCAGTCACCTCCATGAACATATCATTAATAGTTTAATATACAAATGATTTCAGAGGCCTCTCAACTTAAATCTAACAAATTAATGCAGCCTTGCGAGGAGCTGCCACACTAAGGGCAAGGCTGCAAAAGACTACGACATTTGCTCTAGGTGAAGAACAAGGTGAAGCGGGCAACGAATTGAACATCTCAACAGCATTGAACTTTGTCGCAACAGGGGGAGAACTACTTAAGCGTACAAGAAAAGGTACATTTTCACAAGTCTTATTAGTCAGAAATATGGAATCTTCAGCTTCAGTATTTGGTAACAAAATATTACATCTCATCACTATATTTATGTTGATGACAGGAGCTCTACATTGGAAGCAAGTTTCTTTCTACATAAACTCAAACTGGCAGGTACAAAGCAGGAGAAAAGAAATCCTAGTAACTATATTTATAGACTTCTAAGAATTTAGACAATTTCTAATTTGACTATATAGAATTTTGTCCTTCAAAATGTAAAAGCTCACTTGCTTAGCTACTTAAGCACAAGGTGATAGTGTTTTTTTAATGCATACTCTTACCTTGATCTCTTAGAAAGATTACAATTGTTTAATAAAACAGGTGGTGGCGAAATTGAAAAGCAAGCATATGGCAGGCACATACACTAAAAAGAAGAAATGTAAGCTAAGCCTCATACGCAAATAAGTCAATTTCGTTATTACTTGCTTGGGTTAACAGAGTATACACTTTTCTTCCAGGTGTGATCACAGGAGTCCATAATGACATCCCAGCATGGCCCAGAAGGGAGAAAGAAAACAATGCTGAACAGAGAGCTTACTTTGGGATTAAAACAGCAGATAGGATAATAGAATTTGAGTGCATGAGTAAAGGTGACAAACAGATGTGGAAGGATGGAATCCAGCATATGTTGAATTATTGTAGCAATATAGCATATTTCTGAGAAACTAATTGGATTGATGGAAAAACTGGTTTTTCATTTCTGAAGCAATCATGTTGAAATGTACATATCTGATTCCCCAGGCAGTGGGCCTAATTTGCAAATAATACCAACTTCTACAGTCCTATACAGAAAAATTGGAGAAAAGAAGAAAAGAAAAGCAAAATCTACAGGTTGGCTTGGGTACATTCTCCGGTGAGGTTTTTGAGAACGAAAATGCTTAACAGAAGCCAGCATCTAATCATAAATATTGTTAGAATCTCTCCCTGGATTCATTCAATAGGGCTAGTAGGTATAATGATATTTGATCACTCAAGCTCCTTCGGAAAATCAATGTTATCAACAAAGACCTGCAGGAAATGAGGAAAAAAGTTGAGGAGATCAATTCATTTGGATCTACAAGACCCTCAAAGACATACACTCCAAGCTAAAGCATTATTAGCCATACTGATTTCTAGCCATCAGGGTCCAGGCAAGCAGTAATCCTAGTGTTGATGCCTGGCAAGGGCCCGGGCTCACGAGTAATCTTTCCTCCACACAGCTTAATTGCTTCTGCAGTCTTATATACATCATCTGTGCCTATTGCTATCTGGAAAGACACAATTTCAGTCTACATATGGAATAGAATAGGCCTAATGAGGGATCGGTAATTAGATGCAGAGATAGGAAACAAAGATCAAATTCACGTGCATGCTGCTTAAACTGAAATACTAAAAAGCAATGCAGGAAAAAAAAAAAGGAGTTTACCGCATAACCATTTCCTTTATCATATACTGTGACCCCATAGTTGTATGTCAGTTCCAGCACGGCATTTTTATCTTCAGGACCATAGCCCATCATGGCTGTTGTATACTGAAAAGTATGCAGAAATATTAATAGGAAACTATAAAATGACCAGATATGATCAAATATTCAATATTTTGATGGTCAGTCAAGAGTGTATCTTTACATTATACTCAGGATTATCTTTCTTCCGAAGTAGCTCCATGCCAAAAGCCTAAAAATCCAGGAACAAAGATTGGTATATAAGCATTTTATAGTGCTATAAGCCACAGAAGCAATTACAACTGCTAAACTTTAATAGAAAAAAGGATGCTTAACTCTGGAAAGCCAGCCACCTTCTTGTAGAAATTAATAGATCGATCAAGATCACCAACTCGAAGCATTACTTGACAAAGGGGCTCAGGAGTAGGTCCCCTCTCTAAAAGTTCAAACTTATAACCATCTAGATCTTCGATAAAAGCAATTATTGTATTCCCACCTTTAACAGGGCCAGGTTCCCTTGTAACCTTGCCCCCCTTTGCTTTTACTAGATCTACTGTTTTGGAAACCTACAAATAATTAGGATAGAAAAGTTTTGAGTTCATAAATTTGAATCAACAAAAAGATTTTAATAGAAAAACAAGAACTGAAATGAAATGGATGACTTCAAATTGACATAACTAATATTTTGCATGGGTTTTTCCAATATCAGTTCTTTGATGAGTGAGAACAGCTTCAGATTCAGTCAAATGTTGAATTACTAAGCATTAGGGCTATATAAACATCTGTATGCAGTTCTTTCATAGTTTTTAATTGCAGCCACAAGAGATCTAGTTGAAGAAAGAACTTACATCCTCTACTGCAATACCAAAATGACCAAATCCATTTCCAACATCATATTTATCAACTCCATAATCTGCAGAATTAAAATAAAAGTATATTAGAGACCAAACCTTTTTAGTATGTGAAATTATAATCTCTAATCAGTATTTCAAAGGTGAGATAGATGTATAAGCATTCAAACATGCAGAAATAAGGTAATTTTGCCTCACTATAAGTAAGTTCAACAGCAAAATGAGAATCTTCAGGTCCATATCCAAGAAAAGCATTTGAATATCTCTCCTCAGGTATGTCACGCTTTCTTAACAACCTCATTCCTAAGCATTCAGTATAAAACCTGCAGTTTGACAATTTATTAGCCACCTGAATATATCAAGAATCACCAAAGAGTATAAATATCAGTTACTCAATGTTCCAATCAATGAGAAGCATACTTTATATTCTTCTCCAAATCACCAACATGGTAACAGCATGAAGCATTCTTCTCTTGTCATTTTTAACCCAATTTAATGCATCTTGTTCATTAAAAGCGGTAGCCACATTTCCAGATGTACTACTCTCGATGGAGTTTCCTTCAGCTATTAATAAATGAGCTGCTTTTGCACCAAACAATTGCGAATGAGGGATGGCTGAACAAGCACCTAAACTTGGTTAGCATTGGTGAAATAATCCATTTGGGATGCATTTGCCTTACAAGTGTTTAAAATAGGGCCAATTAACAGCCTATTATTAAAGCAATGAACCAAATATCAAATCCACAATACCATTTACCTATTGGGGTTTTTCATTTTGATATTTGTGACTCCCTTCGAACAGTACAGGTTATAACACAACGAGCTTACATCTAAAAGAAAAATTCACAGTGCAGGACATATTGTTTAAAAAAGAAAAAGGAAAGGCATTAGCTTCACACTCTACTTAAAATTATCTGCAGCACTATGTAGTAAGGTTGAATAACAACCTTGACACTCCCACCATCAACCAGAAACAAAATGGTTCACTAAGAAAGCAAGTGCAAAACAATTAAATGGTCTATTCTTGAACTAAAGGAAACTGCATTAAAAATTTGGAATAACTAAATAACTCAATCTAAGCTACATTGTTTTTTCCTTGTTTTTCCCAACAAAATTCTGTCACAAATTAAACATAAATAAGAGTATGAAACAGACCCAAAAAAAAAAAAAAGATATGGGATTTTCTTATAAAAGGGTTTAGAGCTTTTACCAATGCCAAGTTGAAAGAGAGCAAGTCTTCGAGAAGGATGGTGATTATCGTAACAGCTACGGATATAAGAAACAGAAGAGGGTTTGATGAGATAGAAGGTCTCTTCGTTGAGAAACTCAGAGAGAAAGCTGATGCAATTGGCAATGTCTCATCAGCATTTTCTCTATTTTTTTCTCTTTATTTTTTAGTTTCTAGTTTCTATTCCCCACACCAACGGAAGCGTTGGCTGATAATAAACTTCTTAGTTCACAGTTCTCCATGGCTCGCGGTTTCGATTTTTGTCTTTTCAGCTAACAGACGACAGATACTCATGGCTTATCCGGGTTTCTATACAATGGGCTTCACGTAGTCCGCCTGTAAACGTCAGTCCAATTACTGGGCTTCAAAGCAGAAGAGGGCGTTTGTTTTTTTTTTTTGGGCTTGGTCATACAACTCTTTGAACAATTTCTTCCCTCTTAACAAAATAATTTATATTTGATGTATTATATTTTATAAGTAAATCATTTAATATTATTTTATTGATAAATAAATATAAATTTTTATAAATTTATAAAATAAATACATAAAAATTTACTATTAATTTTCAAAAATTTTTTATTAATGAAATAATATTGTATAGTTTATTGACAAATAAAATTTATATATTAACAATACATTAAATATAAATTAAAAAAATTATATAATATGTGAAAATCACAAATTCTCAAATTGTATTTGCTTTTAAATTTTGATGAGTTTGCAGTGCATGTGTCTAGATTCGAATACAGGATACTACAAAATTATAAGATAGTTTCGGTGCATTAGTATAAATTGAGATGTCATAACATAAAAATGGCAAAGAGTAATCAGTCATCAGAATCAATTGAACAACATGGTGGCACATTTTTTTTTTCTTTCGTAAAAAGCCTCCTCAACCAGTGAAAATGCCATGGAACTTGGAATATTATAACTTATCACATTAAAGTATTTAATTACAACACACTTGAAGGGCTTTGGCAGTGAATCCTTTAACGATACTATACTTGTTAGTTTACTATTAGATCAGATCGATGAATAAGTCCCCAAAGAAGGCACCATCTTTGGATCCAACTTTATCTTTTTTTTATTGGTATATTAATAATTGAGATAGGGACGTACATGTGGTGGAGTCATGATGAACAAAATGACAAAGCAATTGCCAACTTTTGCAGTAATCATGCAGACACTAGCCTATAATTTATAGGACAGAAAATATGGTATTGCCACTAGAGGTCAAAGCTGTCTAGCTAGCACCAACTACTTTAATTTTTCCATGAAAATTATCTAGGATGTAATGATCGGTTCAATTGACTTAATTTACAGATCATTTTGGTTTTGGAGGCAATTATGATTAGATTAAAACTTTGATCTATTCTTTTGTATAATAATTCTGTTGAAATCCGAATTGTAGTGATGATGTCAATTCATCTATATGTGTGTGGGACTTAGTCCTATGATGATATTAGCTGATTTTGAGATGGGTTATTATATTTATAATCAGTGAAAATGAGTGAATAGAGTATTTTATTTATAATTATTATAATATAATTATTAATTAAATTTTAAAATTTTGTGAGTTTCATTAACATTTTATATAGAACCACGCTTATAAGTAAGTGATGAATTCTTATTTAATTTTTATTATGATTAAATAATTATAAAATTATAATAAATTTTTTTTTAAGTGATATGTTTCCGTGAAAATGATGATGATTACGGTAAATTAGAGATGATTTTTAATATCTGTCATTTTTTTAAATTTTTTTTCTTGTCTTTTAACATTGAGGATTTGCTTTTAATCACAGGTCAACTATGTGTGCTTCCAGGACCCTAGAAATTTTATCTACACACAAAAAAAAAAAAAAAAAGAGAAATGAAGGAAGAAAGAGGAAGATGGAAAGGGGGAATTAAAGTTTTCAATGGAGAATATGGAGATTGAATTTGTCTTAATTTCACTGTTTGGACGTCGAATTATATTATAGGGTCAAACGCAGACAAAAAAGGATGGATAGCTAATAAGAAGACTACTACACCAAACTCTTCACTAACTCGACATATTCATTTCAATTCCACAGATTGAGACCATTAGTTTATAGATAGGAAATTCGGAAGCTCAGCTTTTTTCTGGTAGTGGTGGAATGTGACAAAGCGGTGCCTCTATGATTGAACCCCCTTACCCCTTCTTCTCTTTAATTCATAAAAGTAGCATAATTAACTGATAAAAAAAAAAAAAGCTTGTATGAATGGAATTCATGCTTAATTCGTGTTTATAATTTAAATCTTAATATTTATAATTTTTTATATTAAATAAAATAAAAAAAAAAACTTTGCGTAGATATAGATGCAAATAGATTGTTTGCATTAATTAATAAATGCACTTCTTTCTACCAATAACCTTGCATTGAAAGGTACCTTTTTATAATTAAAACAACTTAAAAATTAATTATTTCAATAATTGAGTTTATATATGCATTAATGAAAGAAAGTCAACTAAAAAAAAAATGAAAGAGATATTTGAGTACTATAATGAATAAGAAAAATGCTATTCACTTTTTTAATTTCAACTTTACATTTTATATATTTGACAAATAACATAAAAATTATAATAATGTTTTAAGTTGGATCATCAACAATTTTGATTCTTTAAAGATAGAAACTCAGCTTGTTTCACTTTTATGGAGAGACATGCATGTGACGTAATATGATCAGACTTACATATTCATAGAAGCTCAATTAGGAGAAACCGATTTTCATGTCCTGCTTTTCCTAGTTTTGGATGAAGATTCTCTTCCATTTTTATTCTTAATCTCACTAATAGTCTGTAAAAGTGTTTTACGTATATTGCACTTGTACCATACGTATACCATTGATTAGCTGGTATAATATAGATTAAGATAAAATAATTTTAATCAATAATTAAATTATTTTATCTTAATCTTTATACATATTAAATATAAAATAAAATAATATTATTTAATTTAATTTTATTCATAATTTTATTTTTTTATTTATTATAATTTAATATATCAAATACATTCTTATTTTTTCGGATATAAACAGAGCCGATGTGATTAGGTTTTAGTTTTCTGTTTTTATCATTTGTAACAGGGAAAATACAGCAAGTCAACTGGCAATAGGAAAATAATTGTAAAGCTTGATAACGTGCCATCACTTCTTAAAAAAAAAAAAAAGGAACGAAATAGTCGAACCATTACGCTTATATATAGCATTGTGGTCGAACAAGTACAGCCAAGCTAGCTATAACAATTATTTTAAGGCCTGTCATATCATATTCCTTTGGTCAGTGCCATCGTCGAATAGCTAGCTAGCTATAGCTAGGCTCAGTCCTGATACTTTCCGGTCACCATGCCGAAAATCGCTTTAGGAACGAGCCGAGAGGCTGCTCAGCCTGACTGCATTAAGGCCCTTGTGGTCGAGTTTATCACCACTTTCCTCTTCGTCTTCGCTGGAGTTGGAGCTTCCATGGCCGCTAGTAATCAATTAATTAACTTAATTGATTTGGATCGTTATCATGGATCAACTTCTTTTTTCCAAAGGATTTATGTCGTTTTTCAAACTTGTTGTGATGAGCAGGTGAGCCGGGGGCAAATACACTGGTGGGCTTGTTTGCGGTGGCGGTGGCTCACGCCCTTGTGGTAGGCGTTATGATTTCGGCTGGACACATATCTGGAGGCCATCTTAACCCAGCAGTCACGCTTGGCTTGCTCTTCGGTGGTCACATCACCTTGGTCCGATCTATCCTTTACTGGATCGATCAGTTGTTGGCATCTTCAGCTGCTTGTATTCTTCTCAAGTATCTTACCGGAGGATTGGTAAGACAGGGCTTTAGGATTCTGATGCTTAAAACAACAACCCAATTGGATTGAATCTAATGTTACAGATTTGGGTTAACAAATTATGAACAAGTTTTTACTTAAATTGTATATTCGTTTAACTCGTTCTTTCTATCGTGCAGAGTACTCCGGTTCACACATTGGCAAGTGGAGTAGGCTTCCTTCAAGGTGTTATATGGGAGATTGTTCTGACATTCTCCTTGTTATTCACAGTCTATGCCACTATTGTAGACCCCAAGAAAGGTTCCATCGATGGGCTAGGCCCTATGCTTACTGGGTTTGTTGTTGGGGCCAACATCTTAGCCGGAGGAGCTTTTTCAGGGGCTTCAATGAACCCAGCTCGATCATTTGGACCTGCTTTGGTGAGCTGGGACTGGACAGATCACTGGGTTTACTGGGTTGGACCCCTGATCGGTGGTGGGCTTGCTGGGTACATCTATGAACACTTCTTCATTGTTAGGACTCATGCTCCCCTTTCTCACGAGGAAGAAGCTTTTTAATTTCCTACACTATTGTTTCTTTTCTCTATCAATGTATCACGTTTCCAGTGTGTTTCCTTCCTCTAATGATAGCTTGATGTATTTTGAGTCTGTGTTTAGATTATCTTTTTGTGAATTAATCGATAACTAATAAAGAATTTGGTTTTATTTCCTAAATATTTTATTGTTATTGTGTTTCTCTTTCTCACCCTGCATATCTTTATTGGTTTGGAATTATTTTTTTGGTTGATAGATGCTCTTGTACAATTATTTCATCCAAAAGCAAGGGGTCAGTGCCCAGTGGAAGGGCAAATGCAACATGCCCAAATGAAAAGCATTGGCACCTAATCCAAAAATATGAGAAAAGTTTGCTCTTACTAACAAGCACTATGTTGCGAAATGTATTGTGTACACTCAAACCTTGTCTTATAGGAGTAAATTCCTTGGCCGGTGAATCGAGATCCATCGGCAAATCTGGCTAAGCAAATGGAGCAATAACAATCACAGCGTTTAGGAGGGATTTCAACCAGGCTTTCAGACAAATGAGAATTGAAGTATCGAATCAATAGTCCTAATGTGACTGCCAAGCTTTACAGCAGTTACCCATTAGCATTTCAGTTTCATTCAAGGATCAACCTGTTCATCAAGATTGCAGTTTGTAATCCTCGTTACTCCTATTTAAATGATACCCTGTTGAGTAGCTGAGACATGGTGATGGAAGGCATAAAAGAGGTGAATAGATGATAGGTCCAATTAATGGTACTACAAAGTTTAGGTGCAAGGTTGTTTGCCAGATTAATTTCCTTCAATAAGAAGTCTGGACTTTGATATTTCATATGGGGATGAATATTTATTTATTTCTCACCAAGGGTCCTACTATTGCAGACTGGATATGTATATATGACTTTGGCCAATATTACATCCTTTTTTACTTTCAGTAGTTAGGGCCATGTGGTATTTATTCATGGCACCTGCCTAGGCTACCTAATATCTCGACTGAATGTTCTCTGGAAATGAAATTCAAAGTATACCCCAAACCCCTCTTTGGAAAACAGAAGAAAAGCCATTTTCTTGGCTTGTAAGATCATCCGAGCACTTTGACTCATTCTCAGGCATGAGTTGTCTTTCTCATATGTCACATGAAATCAAGCAATCATTGAAGTAAGTCATTGGAGATGACCCCCAAAATGTGAAGCAGCATTGTGTGAAAATATTGATTTCAAAGCTAACCATGGAAATTCCTTGAAATAACAAGATTTTATTTTTGGCAAGCCTTTGTTTGTACAAGATTGCGAAGAAAAGAACTAGCAACAAAACTAATTAAAAAAATAAAATAAAAATGAATTACCATGGGACACATTGCCTTAAATCACTGGAAATGATTACCTTGAAGCTTCTTCTCGACCCAAGAAGGAGACAACACAGGGCTTATCTCATACTCCATCGTCTTTGTCTTTGAATCGTTTCGCTCTGCAAAATCGAAACAGATTTTCTCTTCAGGCATGACTTTGACCCTCCATACCTTGAAAGTTTGGTCCAAACTAGCACTGTATACCAAAAATCCCATCAGAATTTTTTCCATTTCTAAACAAGCAGCCAAGCATCTGACAGGCCCTCTATGTCCATCCAACACTGCCAAACACTCATGAAAACAACTTCCTTCCTCTCTTCTCCAGACCCTAATCGTTGTATCTTCTGACCCACTAAATACCAACTTCTCTATAGCCGCCAAGCAGAGAACTGCAAAACGATGACCCTGTAAAAATCCACCATGGTTGAACCTACCTGACATTTTTTCTTTCTCCCAAAAGTTGATGGTTCCATCAGATGAACCTGAATAAAGAAAACAATTGTTGAATGTTGTGCTTAAGGCTAAGGCGTTAACAGGGGATTGTTGGAATTTCAATGTCATGGTTAACGTGTGAGAATTTTCTCTGTATACTCTCCTCCATATCTTCACCGATCCATCAGAAGAGCAAGTAAAAACACACCCATCATCTTGGTTGACCACTATTGCATTGACGTTGCTTTCATGAGCCACAAATGAATCTACACATTTTTTATCTAGAAGCCGCCAAGCCTTAACTGTTCTGTCGTATGAGCCAGTGTACAAAAGCCCTTCAGCATGGTAATAAGCCATGCAAGAAACACAATCTTTGTGTTGTTGGCTGCTTGTCTTAGGAAACAGAAGAAATGAGCTTCTCTTTGGGAGTGTTGATATCTTTTTGAATCTAAAACTATCTGAAGCCGTGTAGTTCCAAATTCTGATCTTGCAGTCCCTATGTGTAGTGAAAAGCATGTTACCATAAGCGAAAATGGCACGGACTTCACCAGAACTAGCCTTGATATATCCCCGCTCGATGCAGTCAGGCTGCCTCCATGCCCGGATACGATTGCTATCTGAGCCAGTGAAAACTAACCCTTTTGAGAGTGCAATCGAGTAGATATTGCCTTCCTGGCGGTGAAGAGAAGCGATGCAATGGTAGAGGAGAGCTGGGGATGGGGTTTGAAGAGGAGAGAGTGTCCATGGTGATTCAGGACTAGCCGGTGGAAACATTGAGTGCATGGTGGCACTTGCTCGGGGGCTAGAAGTTCTTCCAGGGCTGAATTGGAGATCTTGGTCATACCTATCTACGTTAGTAGTTCTAATAGAAAGGCGAGGAGGTGATTGCGTTAGATTGTTTTCCTCATCCATGAAACCATGAAGAGAATTTCTGCCATAGAATTCCATGGCAAAGAATTGGAGGGAGAGAATGAGATATCGAGGGATTAGGGTGAAAACGTATGAGAGTTGGCTATTGAGATATAAGGAATGCATTGCATTGGTGGTGCAGTTATGTGAACTTAATTTGGTGAGTTGGGGTTATTGGTATGGTCTCAATGGCACCATTAAAGAAGACAAGCTACGCAATGGAAGCCATGACATTATAAAATAAATCCAGTAATATTAATGAGAGGTCATGTTTCGGGACTACCTTGCGTTGAGAATCATTTCTTTTCCCAGGCAATTTCCCTTTCATTTCCAAAGGACACTTGTAATTTCCTTTCGGAAAGAGGGCTTCTGGTGCACTTTGTTTGTAAAAAGTTCAGATCAAAAAGATATAGAAGGTAATAAGTAATTGACTGTAATTTTGTAACAAGTACATTTGTTTTGAAATCATATATTTAAAAATCTTGAATATAAAATTGATGACTCATACTATATAGAAGTAGAAACTCATTTACAAATAGAAAAAAAAAATGATAAATTTATAAATAAATTTCTGTAAAATTCGTAAAATCATGTTTAATATCCGTCCATTTTTTCTTATTTTGAAAGATAATGTAAATCCATTTTTTTAGTAATCCGAAAGCCATGCAATCATTCGGAGCTTACAAGGTAAGATCCTATAGTGCAAGAGGGGGTGCATGCGGTCTAACAAATCTTACCTTGATATAGAAATTCCAATCCATGTATTAGGAGCCATTGATCACTGAAAACTATCTAAATAAATTAAAGTTTAGGGATCTAAATGAGATTTTGGTATTTAATCAAGGTGAAATTTACTTAATGGGTTAACAAAGTACTTTGTATCATCTTAATATGGGTGGTTCTGATCATTTATCGTTGTTAAAATATTAGGTAGCCATCCTACTTACTGATCATAACTACAATAATTAAGAATAACTAGGAACTTTGTATCATCTTGACGCACGTGGCACCTCTTTTCCATCAATTTTTTAAAATTATTTTATTTTTATTAAAATCATTTATTTTTTGTTTTATTTTTAATTTTATTTTTTTGTTAGATAAATTTTGTAAAAAAAATCAACGAAAGTACGAATAAAGAAAAAAAAATTGTATTACATTAATTTTTATTTGAACAGGTTTAATATAGGTGCATTTAATCGAAAAACACCAAGATCAAGTCCAAATCTTTTTTGAATAAAGGATCGGGTTGGAAATTTATTTAAGGTATTTTATTTTGTTTTGAGTGTCTTGTGTGGTACCTCTTTGCTTTTTTTTTTTTTTTTAAAGTTTTTTCTTTTTTGGGTTTCATTTTTAAAGTTTTTTACTTTTATCTTTTTATTAAAAAAATTTTGTAATAAAAAAATTAATTGAGATAAAGATAACAATAACTTTTATCTGATAAATTTTGATTTATTTTGATTTAATTGATACGCTTTCTCTTCATTCAAAATAAATGAGTTGATTTTTTTAAAAATTAAGCTTAGATAAAAAAAAGAGATTTTTGATCTTACACCTAAGCTTGGTTTATATAAAATATAAATATAATATTTATTTAATTTTTTATTTAGATTTATTTTATTAAAAAATATTATGTAGTACATTAATTAATAAATTCACTTGTCATCTCATTTGTCTTTTTTTGTCATTTTTTTATTTTTTAAAATTTTATTTATTAGATAGATTTTGGAATGAAAAAGATAATGATAGGGATGACAAAACCAACTACATTTGATGATTTTGATTTGTCATAATCTAATTAATTTTTTTTTAAAAAGGAATTGGGTTAAATTTTTTCTCTTTGAACAATTTTAATCAAGTCAGGATAGGGTTTTACATGTTTTGTCCCCACTCTTTTTGGGATATATAAAAAAATATATTTTATTATTTATTTAATTTATATTTATATATTATATTAATAAAGATATTATTTAATATCTTAATTTAATAAAAATATATTTATATATAATTATGTTATAATTTATATTAAAAATAAATACACTAATATTTATTTGTATATTGACATCCATTAAAATTTGATATAATAAATTTAATTTTTACATATTTAAAATATAAATTACAAATTAAAAACTAGAATAATATAATGGGCCGAATTGGATACTTTTTTAAAAAAGTCAAAAGAAATATTCGCAGTACTGCTACTGCTTATCATCAAGTTGTGCTTCTTGTTCATGTAAAGGGAGACTAGAGATGGGATGACGACTCACCTGATCTCATAATTTTGCTTTCACATTTCATAGCTTCACGGATTAGTTTCCAAGAAACTACTAGTATTAACAATTCTTCTTAATTTGGCCATTTACTTGATATACAGATAATAAAAGTCTCAAGCATCTTCCATTTGGGATGGCATGACATTTGCTGATTTAAATGTTCTTTTGGTCGTCGGCTCATGTCTGCGTCAGATCAGATGAACCTTCCTGCACATATATTTTACCTTAATAAATACTAGTACAGGACGTAACTTCGTTATTAGTCTTTTCGTAATTTTTCCAAGGAAGAAAACCTTTATGGAGATGAGATGTGGAGCCCTTTTTATCTTTTGAGTGTGGACCTAAATTCGTTGATTTCATACAAAAAAAAAATGAAGAAAAGAAGAAAGAAAGGCTACTACTAATATATACAGTGCGTGTGCAAGGACAAAGAAAATTCGCTGCAGCTACATTTGTGGAAAAAGCAATGACTTTCCCCTCTTTTTATTTCTTCCCCCCAACTCCCATGTCCCAATGCTACAAATTACTTTCTCAAGTTTTAGACGTCAACCATGGATCGACGCCTTCTTGAAACCATTCTAATAGGGGATATACCAAACTTTCTCAACCTCATTCAAGAAGATGAACATATCATTGAACAGACGGTTCCAAGATCCCTGAACACAGTCTTACACTTGGCTTCTCGTTTTGGGCATGTAGAATTGGCGGCGGAGATCGTTAGGTTGAGGCCGGAGATGGTGGCGGCAGAGAATGAGAAGTTGGAGACGCCATTGCATGAGGCTTGCAGGGAGGGGAGAGTGGAGATTGTGAAGCTCTTGGTGGGGATTGATCCTTGGGTTGTTTATAAGGTGAACATGGAGGAAAAGAGCGCGCTGTTCGTGGCATGCGAGAGAGGGAAGGTTGATGTGGTTAAGCTCCTGTTGGATTGTCCATGGATGCTGATGTTGGAGGTGGATGCGTCGATTACTTCCCTTCATGTTGCAGCTTCAGCTGGGCATACAGGTAACTAATATTTTCTCTATCTTCCAGTTTAATCGATTTGCAGGGTTAGAATTTTTCATATATATATGATGATTTTTTCTTTTTTGAAATGGCATATATGATGAATTATTTCATACAAAAGTACTACTGATCATGCCTATATTGATAACAAGATAGGTAGAAATCTAATCCTTGTAGAGGAATTGGTTTTAATTATTTAGACTTTTTCACCTTAATATAGCATTTGATATTATTTTCAAAATCATCCTAGTAATTTAATTATTATAATGATAAGATTATTAAGGTGATTTGCTATAATATTAAATTATTATATTTGATATAATATTATAAATCATTGATATTTAAATCATCCTGTTAGGTATTATGTGAAAAAATAAATAGTATAATATAAAATATTTAAAACAATTTTTTTAAAAAATATTTAATACTTATTGAATCAACAATTATAAAATAATTAAACGTTATTTTATATAAAACTATAAAATATAAATCAATTTTAATAAAAATATATTTAAAAAAATTACTAAATAAATTTATTATCGTTTTTCTAATCAATATAAATTTATAACATAAAACCTTTTTAGAATAAATGATTAAAAAAATTAATTTTTTAAATTTTTTAGTGGCAAGCATCTTGGAGTAATATTAACTATATTTTTTGTAAGAGTAAATTAGTTAGAAAATAATATTGAAAATTACTTCCCTTTGCATTTTTTAAGTTGAAAATTAGATTACTTCTCAAAATAATAATTTTATCACTTTAGTGATTTTAGATCATTATCATATAAAATTTTTAAATTACTACTAAATAAGGTAATATGATAACTGAATACAGATCATTATAATTTTTTAACGGATTACCCTATATCAAGCACTCTCTAAGATATTAACATTTATTGATATAGGTTGAAAAACTCAACTTATTAGTGGCCCTCCATAGCATTATATACAATATTTTCATTAGTTTCTTTTAGAAAAAAAGATATTTATATTATCCTCAAATTCTTTACTCTATATAAAAATAGATTTAAAATTGTCAAGTTAATAAGTAGTAATTATAAACATTTTTAGCTTATTTTTGCCTAAATTATCTTGATTTGAATATTATTGTAAGTAAACAAGTAAAACTATACTATCACTGGAGAAAAGTTATTAAATAAATATAATTTGTTTTTGAGAAAATTATTGTAAGTAAATAAGTAAAACAATCGAGGTTGGATCTTAAAATCAACTTCAGTACTATTGAACTATATTGCATTTACTTTACTTGTATTATTAATTGGCAAATTAAACATATGTTGCCGACATAGAAGAGGACCACAGGTATGAACACAAACAAAGAGGGCCACATTCATTAATAATTCCAAAAAATGGTTAGTTGGACTTGGACTTAGAAACCAGCAGGAGAAGTTATCAAACTTCAATAAAAAATTTGTAAAATCAGCTGTTAAAATTGTGCTGTTGAGATTAAAGACCCCCCTGTGACCGCGACCGCACCCGAAAAATTGCATGCTATAATCGGCACCGTTAATTTATGAGAAAAGAAAATATGATTTTCTGAATGAAACAAGCAATGACGTATACGAGAAAGGAAGAGAGTAAATTGAATGTTTAACTTATTCCCAAAAACAATATTTACATTGGGAATTTTGGTCCTGACCAAATTTCACCATGAAATTAAAAGATGTGGCGATGGAGATTCTAAAGGCACGTCCGGATTTTTCCTGGAAAAAAGACATGTGTGGTTGCACGCCTTTACACCTCGCTTGCAGCAAAGGCCATTTGGAGATAACCCGACTGCTCCTAAGGTTGGACGCTGACCTCTCTTCCTTACAAGACAATGAGGGCCGGACCCCGCTTCATTGGGCTGTCATCAAAGGCCGAGTGAATATCATTGATGAGATTCTATCCATGAGCCTCGAGTCTGCTGACATCATAACCAAACATGGAGAGACAGTTCTGCACCTAGCAGTGAAGAATAACCAATATGAAGCTGTTCGGTACCTTGTGGACAATCTCAACATAACAAACCTGGTTAATATGCCTGATATTGAAGGCAACACTGTCTTGCATATAGCAACAGCTGGAAAACTTACTACGGTAAGACCTCTCACACCTTAATTAATTTACCAAAAAAATTTATATATCTTGAGGGATAATCGGACATGGCATTTGATTATGTGACGTAACCCAGCGTCTTTGCCTTGAAATCAGATGGTAATTTACCTTCTGAAGCTTGGTCTGGATGTAAATGCAATAAACCGAAAAGGATTCACTGCTATGGACGTTATTGAATCAGATGCAAGCAATTCTGGTGCTCTTGCAATATTACCAGCATTACAGGAAGCAGGGGCTAAAAGATGTGACCAACTGCCTCCAGGTTCACCACAAATTCAATACGTACAGGAAAGCAGCCCAAAAATTGTCCCTTCTATGTTGGCAAAAAGGAAACCAGAGTCTCCTACACAACAACAAGGTCGCCGCCAACGTCATCGCAGAGACAAGCAGCTGGAACTCCAAAATGAAGGTTTACGCAATGCGCGTAATACTATCACTGTGGTTGCAGTTTTAATAGCCACCGTCACATTTGCTGCAGGCATTAACCCTCCAGGGGGGTTTGACCAAAGTACTGGAAAAAGCATCAGAGGAAGACAGACTTCTTTTAAGGTCTTCATGGTTTGCAACATCGTGGCATTGTTCTTGTCACTAGGCGTAGTCATTTTCCTAGTTAGCATTATCCCGTTTCGGAGAAAATCCATGACGAAGTTACTGACAGTAACACATAAGGTGATGTGGGTGTCCACGTCATTCATGGCAGCAGCTTATATTGCCGCCACGTGGACTATAATGCCACGTGGAGCGGGTTCTGTATGGGTGCTAGTGGCAGTGGTTTCCATAGGGGGAGGGAGCACCATGGCTATATTTACGGGCTTGGCGGTGCTATTGGCTAGGCATTTGCTTAGGAAATGGGAATGGAGAAAAAGGAAGGCAAAGAACGGAAGCCCGAGTAGCAGCATTAGTCGAGTTGAAGAGATGCAGATAATGAAGAAAGGTACCCACGACTCTACTAGCAATTCAGATATCGACAGCTCTGATCACGGATTCCACCCTTACTAGATATTAGGTAATTTTTGCATGACTAGATCGATAGAGCTATTAATTTATTTACTGATCATAAACTCTGATGGAGGGGATATCATCTGTATAATTAGGCTACAACAGTTAAATATTTATGTGTAATTATAAACCCAAACGTAAATTGTTACCAGTTCATCAATATTTTTAGTTTCAGCTTTAGATTTGATATCACTGAGAAATGTTCCTAAGATATGACTCTTCGATCTCATATTAACGACAACCAGGTTCTCTAATTGTTTGATTGGATCATTTAATTTGAGCTACAATATAACTTGGGGGAACTTATGAGAGCATATTGTGTGTGTATATATATATATATATAAAATCGGGGATTCTTTGACAGATAATGACAAGAGTGGAGTTTTTGTGGATTAATCGGTATAGCTTTCGCAAATGGAAAGTAATTTTTTATCAACAAATTACTCTATTTTATATCCATAAATGTTAGTAGTGAAAGGAACAATTTGTTTGTATTATCTTGTTTTAAAGCCAGATTGACCAGTGTTCTTTGACCAGTACAAGAAAAAATAAGTCCGTGGTTGATTACTTCCTCGTATTACTTTTACATGAGAACAAATGAATATTTCCTTCTTTTATTTTTCCAAAGTTTCTTTGTTTTAGTTACTCAATGCTTGCATTTGAGGCATTGAATAATCACAGCACATCGAATGATCTCAGTATTCTGATTTGATTATCCATTTGTGATCTTAAATGATAGTAGCTGATAATCATAATACATGTAGCTTGTTGATCCATTACTGAGTTTCACTGACAAAGTTTCCGTTAATTAAGACAAACTTTTTGGTTCATTATATATGGACTAGTAATCAGGTTTCCAGGCAGGGGATTCCCAGAAATCCCCGGAACCTGCATGATAAAGATCCTCCTAAAAGCTTGATTGCTTCCATGTTCTTATAATCTTTGCATGCTATTCTCTGATTCCTCTAAGTATCTTTCTTGTCCGGAAAACCACTGAACTGTTTTACGCACTATTGGTAGCCAAAGCCTCCTAATTCTCTTCTCTTTTGCACTACTTACCAGTGAAATTTGGTTTTTGATACTGAATTGCCTGAGCCTTGGGAAGACCGTAATCTCAGACACTGATCTCTTTTCTTCATGATTCATCTTTGATGAATTTGATTCATTATATGTAACACAAGGAATGTTCAAACTTTAACATTCCTATCAATTATGTTAAACTTGGACTCAAATTTTCTCTTCTTCTCTAATTAACCTCTTCAATCTGCTTACTCGTTGATAAATCGATAGAAAATCTTCTACTATTTGATTCCATTGAAGTGAATCTTTTGCTTGATATAACATTGAGCACTTCGGAGTTCAAGGACAAGAAGTCTGATGGACTGACATCGCTCCAACGATTCTTTATTACAACATCAGAAACAATTATCTTATGCAAGAATTTTCTATCATCTTCATTACTACCACCACCTTCTTCAATCAGTAATTCTTGATTCTTACCCTCTTGGATGCTGCGGAAGCTGATTCCTATATTAAACCTTGATGACCCTTGAACTTGATCGTCCTGCTCCCTTTCGACAAAGAGCTCAACATTTGGATCTTCAGTTAGATTTGAAGGGTTCCGAGATTATCTCAAGCTGTTATTGAAACAATTTAGGTCTCTATAATCGAAGTTATACCTGCAAAGAGGACAGGAAGAGCGTCTTTCTAGCCTCTGGTCTATGCAGTTCATATGAAATGCATGCTTGCACTTGGGCAAAAGTCGAAGAACATCTGAATCCTCAAATTTCGATATGCAAACTGCACACTCTAGGCCTTCTTTTGACCCCTTAAGTGCAGAGAAATGGAAAAATGGAATTGATTCAATTATTGTTCCATCGACTCCAGAAAATATGGGACTTGATTGAGAAGGGCCATGAAAGTTTTGATGATGTGTAGTGTGGCCAAAATTATCAACCAGGTTTGCATGACAGAATTTCAGGTAAGCCAGGAGGAGAAATATTAAAGACAACATTCCTAAGAAGATTCCGACGACGAAAGAGGTGCTTGGGTGGAAAGGATGAAGGATACCCGAGTGAAGCTTCGCTGCTTCTTGGGCTCTGACATGGAAGAATAGGCCAAAAACTAGGATGACAATTGATTGATTCATCGGGCGGTAAGCAAAAATGGTGCTGCTAAATTCTCCAATTGAAGGTTTTAATGTTTAGGCTGTTCTTTTTTTGTGCCCAATGGGTTCCAAATGGGGAGCTATTTTGCTTTTGTTGGTTTATGCTGTCCTGCTATCTCTTTTATCAGGTACCAAAATGCCAGTTTATTTAGGCTTCATTTTGGAGCGTGGTGGGTTACAGTTTCTTGGTTAGGTATGCAAACCAAATTTTATAGTTTCTTGCTGTAACTTTTAATTATTGTTACTTGGGAAAATCTCTCTTGTAATATAATTTATTGTTTGCCGAAAGAGATGACAATTCCTGGTATATTGGCCATATAAATGGTGTATTGTTGTACAATAACTCTTAACTAAAGAGAGATGCAGCTTCTCAAAATATTCTCTTATTGGTCTTTCTATTCTTTGTTAAAGTCATATTGCAGCTTAACTTACCAAAGGTTCTAATCTCTGCAGTCATAGATCAGGACTTGCTGCAAGCCCGCAATTTTTTAACTAGAATTAATAAATTTTTTTTTTTTTTTTGTGATGAGTACTCTATTAAGTACATTTCGGCATAATCTATAGAAAAGTCAAATATTGGAAAAGCCAGCTGATGGTCCAATGGGATTTTCTTTCTCTTGTTATATTTCATGATAAACTGTAATTGCACTTGAAAGAATTCTGATTGAGGGAAAAGAAGCTTAAATCATTCATTAGAAAATCTTAAAAGACTGTAACCCATATATTTTCTTTATGTTGAAAAACCAGGAAAATTAATTTGAATAGACTAGCACTCCAACAGTAACTATTTCTCACAATATTACAGTAATTACCAGTTTATGATTTCCATTTTCACATTCAGAGTGAAGGGAATTTACAAATGTACAATGAATAATGCATAGACTATTGACCATCTGGAAACTTTTCAAAAAGGTCTTGAATTGACGTAATTTGACAAGAAATTTACTAACATTTATAAAGCAAATCAGTATCTCATATATTTAATCTTCGTCTGTTATTCTCTAATCCCTCCAAGTGTCTTTCTTGTCCGGAAAACCACTGAACTGTTTTGTGAACTATTGGTAGCCAAACCCTCCTTGTTCTCTCCTCTTTTCCACTATTACCAACCTGTGAAATTTGTTTTTGCATACTGAATTGACTGAGCCTTGGGAAGATTGTTATCTCAGACATTGATCTCTTTTCCTTGCCGTTCATCTTTGATGAATTTGACTCATTATAGGTAGCGGAAAGAGAGCTTGAAATGGAATTCCCATCAATTATGCTAAACTTGGACTCTCTTACTTTCTAAATCCTCCTCAAGCTTTTCGCTCTGTGTAATCGTTGATAAACCAATTCGAAATCTTCTACTGTTTGATTCAAATGAAGAAAATCTTTTGCTTGATATAACACTGAGCATTTCGGAGTTCAAGGACAAGTCTGATGGACTGACATCACTCCGTCGATTATTTATTACAACATCACAAACAATTATCTTATGCAAAAATTTTCGATGATCATCTTCGCTACTACCTTCACCCTCTTGAATCAGTAATTCTTGATTCTTACCCGTCATTGCTGTGAAAGCTGCTTCCTATGTTAAAATTAGATGACCCTTGAACCTGATGGTCCTGCTTCCTTTCAACAAAGAGCTAATGATTTTGATCTTCAGTTAGATTTGAAGGCTTCTGAGATAATATCAGGCTGCTATTTGAATGAGTGAAACTCTTTAGGTCTCCAGAATCGAACTTATACCTGCAAAGAGGGCAGGTAGAGTGTATTTCTAGCCACTGGTCTATGCAGTTCATATTAAATGCATGCTTGCACTTAGGCAAAAGTCGAAGAACATCAGCACCAAGAAAAAACAAAGTCGAAGAACATCTGAATCCTCAAATTTCGATATGCAAACTGAACAATCTAGGCCTTCTTTTGATCCCTTAAGTGCAGAGAAATGGAAAAATGGAATTGATTCCATTATTGTTCTATCGACTCCAGAGAATAAGGGACTTGATTGAGGAGGGCCATGAAAGTTTTGATGACGTGTAGTATGGTCAAAATTATCAACCAGGTTTGCATTACAGAATTTCAGGTAGGCAAGTTAGGGAAATGTACACAACATTCCTAAGGAGATTCCCAGGACTAAACTTTTGCTTAGGTGGGAAGGACGAAGGTCATCCGAGTGAGGCTTAGCTGCTTCCTGCGCTCCGACATGGAAGCATAGGCAAAAAAGTAGGATGAGAGCAATTGATTGATTCATGGGCGATAAGCAAAATTCATGCTGCTAGTTGCTAAATTCTCCCATTCGAGGCTTTTATTCTTAGGCTGTTATTTTTTGTGCCCAGTAGGTCCGCAAAGGAGGAGCTGTTTTGATTTTGTGGGTTTATACAGTCAATAACTTTCCTTTTATCTCTTTTATCAGGGGAGCATATGACAGTTTATTAAAATAGGTATGTTTTCATAAAAAGGAAGGTTGACCCTTGACTTTGATCCTTATGTTTTGATCTGTCATTCCTATGTTTATTTCATGATCTGTAACAAAGAGAGGTCCAGGAAATTGCTTCCTGCTGAATACCAAATTCTCAAATATGTCTCTAGTTAGTCTTTCCATTGCAGGTTAGAAGTCATATTGCAGCAGTTACTGATCAGAGATTCAAACTGCAGTCTCAGAGAACCTTGCTACTACTTTTAACTAGAATGAATAAGCCAAATTCTTCTGGTGCATGAGTACCGTATTGAATTTCATGTGGACATAATCAACAGAAAAGTCAAATTGAAATTTTGCATAGATTGGCATATTAAATTATGCATAGCCAAGTTATGCATGTATGTAAAGAAACGTTCACATATATCATAATAGTGTGTGCAAAGACATGTATAGTTGGTCATTAAAGTTTTTCAATTTCCACAATGATTAAAATGTGTATATTTTCAATCCAACAATAATATAGTAATTACCGGTATATAATTACCATTTTCACATTCAAAACGAGCAGGTCAAATTATTCCTAGCTGTATACATGGATGTGCTTTCCTGCCCCATTAGATCCTTGTGGCCTTCCAGCAGAACCTACAGCCACTGCAGTAATTCATATTCTCAATGATCTAAATACTATTGATACATTTTATTTTTGGTACAAATGAGAATAATGAGACTTGAGCTTAAACACTCTACTCTACTCAAACTTCATCCCACTCTTGGCACTTGCGAATTGCAAATTTTGAATTTGTAACTAAGAATGGGATATACTTGTTAATATTTTGGGATTCAAAGAGGGAACTATCCTCGTAATCTCGTTTTGCAGTAGCATTGGCATAAAAGCTCCATGGAAACCGTATGGAACTCTGAATGGCAATGTGATTTTGGCTACGGGCTCGCCGGAGAATTTCTTTGCTTCAATGATAAGAGCCTGCACACAGTGAAAAACGATAACTCCTCTGTTCGATACAAACACTTGTCAAATGGATATAGCTAGCAACTTAAACTCAACTTACTTGAGATATATTTGCATCTTCATTGTGAACGAAAGTGATAACCCAACCATCATCTTCTTCAGCACTTCCTTCTTTAGGGACGAAGGCAGCTCCAGTGCCAAAAGTGTTCTCCTCGAACATATAATATTCTACCTTTATCAACCCTTCTACTTGCTTTTCTCTCTAGTTTCAGTATAGAAATTAGAATATTAGTTCACCAATTAATAAATGATGAAAAGGAAGACAAAAGAAGTCTTGAGGAACCTAATCAAATACCAAGGAAAGTTCAGTGTTCTGCTCTTCAAAGTACAGCTTGGCAAGACCTCCATATTTTGCCATGCCTGAAATATTAATCAGATCAAAGGATATCATATATAATATAACTGATATGGAAAATTCCATTTAAGGGGACTAATATTATGACTACCTGAGGCAGAACTTGCAATACAATCACGTACTTGGCAATAGCCATATTTGTTTTTAACACCTACACAAGCTTTATTAATTATAGGAAAATCCATGGGAAATTCAGACCCTGTCAGATTTCTCTCCTTTATATCGCCAGTTCGCATGTTCATTCGCCATTCATAAGGACGAGGAAATACTAATTGGTCTTCTGACACCGCTTCAGTACTTCCTTCATCAGTAGATGTAACGGACCTGAATTTTTTTGAAAACCAATCGAATTTATTGTCTCCCTGATCAGGCCCTGGTATTACTGAGTCAAGAGCTCTGCAGCCCCACATCACTACCTGTTCGAAATTAATGAGGTATATGACCATTTTCACTGTAGAGTACATTGAAAAAGTTAAAATATGCTATAATTCGAGCCATTAGTTACCTCATCATCGTCCTCGAAACAATTGAAGAGATGAAATGTGCAATTCCGTTTCACCTCAAACCACTGAATGGAATCTGCCTCACCATAGCGAGGCATTACACCGATCCTTGCATCTCCTTCTTTTTCGTATTTTACTAATCTACATGTCAAGATTCGCAAATTTTAAAAGAAAAACATTTTTAAATGAAGAAAAGGAAATTCCTATAATGAATAGGACAGGAGGACTCACTGGCCACCAAGAACAAGTCTGTTCAAGTCTATTGATAGAGAGTGGTCCATAAATACATTGTACCTGCAAAAGCAAAATCCATGCCAAGTTTAACAAGTATTCAGAAGGTAATTTCAAACTATGATGAAAACTACTAAGTTTACCTCTGTGTAACTCCAATCTCATGGCATAGGCTGCACCTATTGAATTTCAGATCCGCTCTGTGGAGCAATTTCTTTCCATCAGCTGAAGAGAAATGAACACAGATTAAGTAGAAGGTCGCCAGGCCTTATTAAAGCGTACTTTATCAAAAGAAGAATATACCTGAAATTACTCCCACTTCAACAAATGGCCTAGTTGCATTAATCCCCATGATAACTAGTTCCCCTGTGCCTGGAGCTTTCTGTTGCATAAGAAATGATCTTAGCAAAAATCATACAATCCACAGCAAAGTCAATATCCGGAATAGTTTCTGTAGGGAAAGTGAAGAACCGTGGGATGAGAGGAAAATGGCCTATTCCAAGCTCCATTGATATCCCAATCATGCAAAGTCTCTAGTGTGATGATGTTGACCTCTTGAGGTTTGTGATTTTCTGCAATTGAATAAATCTTCCCAGCATGCTCGAAAACATTGGTATTGCTGATTTGTTTGTTTACTTCACCAAATCTCAACTGAGGAAATGTTAATAAATCAAAGACTTATAAGCCAAATCTTGGAGAAATAGTAATGTTTTTATTAGCTATAAGGAACAGGAGATGCCGTTTTCAGAAAGATGTATCTTATCTGAACATAACCAAAGAAAAAGAAAAAATCTAGCTCTAGGAAAACAGCTAGTTTTTTCAAATTAAAATATACCATGGTTTCTAGTTAAATACTAAATATTCCCACTACGATTCAAAAGTGGGCTTATTTTAATTTAGGTCACCATATGGCTAACTGATTTGAAAGAACAAAGTTGGATAAGCCAAACCCACCATGTTAAGCAAATAAGCAGACAAAATAGCCGGCGAATCCCCTTCTATGGCAGGAAGGAAAGACGGCTTGTTCCTTTGTTTTTCTAGCTTGAATGTTTCTGTTTCAACGTGTCTGTTCTTATAAACAACAGTCCAGCTCCCATCTAGGCCTTTGCTGAAATATAAAGCATGAAGCATTCCTTCTCCTTCAATCCAAATGTGATTTGACATACCAAACATGGATCTCGTTGATTTTAACGCTCCAAAAAGGGGATTTGGTCCTGCAATAATTACAATAACAATTAACAAATTAAAGCTGGAAGTCTATTACTTATCCAAGTTTCATTTACTAACCCTTTCACGGAATTTATAACATCAGCTAATATTTGAGATATGTTCTAACTATAACACCCAAAACGTGCGCAAAAAATTAATAATATTAATAACAATAAGAAGAAAGTACTGGATCATCCATTAGCCCACATCATGGCATTTAAATTTTGGAGTGTAATGAGAAGCATAAACTGTGAAGAACAAAATAATATTCCCCCACTTCAGAATACATTGGCAAATGGCTAGTTCATAGGCAAAGTTCACTTGATTTTATAATTTCTTGTTGAATAGAATAATTATTCAAATTTCTCCGATAACACTCACAATTAAGTATGTAGAACCAACTTAGCCTTCAGTCAATGTTAATTTTAGTTGGTGTCCTTAGAGAAGTCTCGCTAGATATAAAATGCCACATAAAACATAGCTGGCTCTCCGATTTTTCATCTTAACGGGTACCTTGGCTTGAATCCTGTTTAGTATTAGTAATAATTAAAGATACTTAATCTTGCTTTACTTTGAATTTAAGGCTTAATTGCATAAAAAAAATTCTTCATATATTCAGACAATATTTTAATAATAAAGCGATTATATCAATAACAAACCATTTCTTATGTAGACACCCTCTGGAAAATCATCTGGAATTTCTCCTTGGATGCTGGTAACTTGAACAGCTTCTTTCAACTCTTGTACCGGAGCAAAATTACTCTGGAATGAAGCAGTTGGAAAATGTTTTAACTAATATTTTAGTTACATATTTAAGCATAGAAAAGCTTATATATATACCTGAGATGGAAGCAATGGCTGATCAACAAACTCAAATACAGAATCAACAAATGCATCCAGTAACTTGACAGAAGTGCTCTTGACGGCTTCGGAGACATGAACATCTATTCGCAAGGGAAGTTGCTGTATCTCTCTTAAAAATGGCTGTCCAAAAGATACATTCAATATATATAGTATCAACTTCTGTCCTCTATTGAGTTGTTTTTCAATATTCTAGGATAATTTTATGATCTTCAAAGAAGTTAGCCAAAAATGCAAATTAATTAACAATCACTTTCCCTGGAAAGAAAATCTATGAATCAATGAACAACATGGCTTTGTAGTAGGAGAAACTGACCTTGAAAGCAGAGGAGACTGTGGCCTTGAAATGATCAAAATTGGGCGATGAGATGGAAGGTTTTTGAGCAGAACAATGCACATGAACCGGCAAACGAAAAGATGCCATCTGATCTCTCTTCTCTTTTTCCTATTATCCGTTAATATATAAGATGTTTCATCCACATAAATTTCGAAGGAAACTTTTTAAGTATTTTTTTTCTTTGGTGCAATATGTCCCCATGGTATCGTTTGAGGTTCAATATATATCAAACCTTTGAAAGAACTAGATAATAATTAATTACACAAATTACAGTATCGATACTTACAATTAAAACTGTCCCCGGAACAGATATTTTTGTTTTAAAAAATGATTCAAGGAGTGATTTTGGATTGGGTAGTATGGTTCTTAAAGTTGGTTGCATAGATTTGTCTTTTCCTCGTTTTTGTCCATCTTTCTGCTCAACATTATCCATCTTTCTCTCTTTCTGCCTTAGCATTTATTGTTTTTTTAATCTTTTAGCGCGAAATTTAAGAACAGCCATGTAAAATGTAAGCACATCTCTACGATCGCATTCAATTTTTTTCTCCTTTATTTTTTGTATTTTGTCGAGTTGCCTGCCAAATTTTCTTTCATCTTCTTTCTGAATTAAATTTTTTTTATTGAGATGTTTTATTTTTGGTTGAAATTTGTTATTTTAGACTTGAGTTTTATATGATAACATTGAATTTATTTTGAATGTTTGATTGATGAATTTTTTGGGATAGGGTGTGCTGTAAAATGTGCTTTTGTTTAAAAATTCTAGTTTTTAATTCAAAAAAGGAGAATATGAAGAGAGTTGCCTTCAAAGAGGCATCTTTACGTTGTGAGATGCCTCCAGACAACTCTATTCGGCTGACTGTATTCAGGACATAGATGCAATTTGGAATATGCTTTGTTCTTTAATTTGAGCTTGAATTTGCTTCAAATTTCCCCTACGACACACCCCAAAAAAAAAGTACTACCACTTTTGAATATAATCACACCATAGTCCACGAATTTTTAAGTATCTATAATGAATTTATATTCAAAATTATAAGTATTTTTTATTAATAAATGTTAATTTCGAGTACATACGAATTCTTTCAAAGTACACTATAATATTATTATTAGTATTATTTTTATTACATATATATATATTTATATATGGTTTGATATCCCAAAAGTCGAATGACCATGATAATGAATGGCATGGGGCGTGAGATCACCCTTCTTAGCATTTCACAGAGGATTGGACATAGTACAACTGCCGGCATAACGGGATTGTGATTGAAAAAGAAATTTTATCCATTCCTTGCAAAACTAAGAGAGAACAGCAATCAATACTTTCTTGTTTATGTTGAACAAGTGAACAGAAAAATTCCAAATGTATTTGGAATCCAACAATGACAAATCCCAACCAAAACTTTTGATAATAATTGCACGTAGATGCTTTGATTTGTTGCTTTTTCTTTTGTCTCCTTCTCATATGCATCTGTTTTTATCCACTTTAATTTATCCGTATTGAGCTTCGTAGAGGGTTTCTCGTGTGATTATTTTTTAACTGATTCATATGTACTTGCTGAAAAACATAATGTTTTTCTGCCATTGTGATATTATAGTAACAAATCGGACTAATTGAAAAAGAAAATTCTTCGCATTGTGCTTTCCTGTTATTTCGATAAGTTAGCTCTGTTTCTTACATAACTAAGGCTCCGTTTGACTTTTATTGGATCTCCATTTAACATTTAAGTAACTTATAAGATATATTTGATATACAAAATTATAATAAAATATGATAAAATTATGTTATGAATAAAATTATATTAAATCATATCACATGTTTGATTAAAATAGTATAATTTATTTATTGATTAAAATTATTTTTTTTAAGTTTGTATAATTTAAATTATTAATATAATTTTTAAGGATATAATAAGATATGTAAGTTTAATATTATCTATTAAAAATAATTCTTTTCATTTTGAGAAAATTGAATTATCTTATACTAAAAATATGATTAATTTTTTTTTATAATTTTATCTCTTTTTTTGAATACAAACTAAATATAATATAAAATTATTAATATTGTATTTAATTTATTATCTTATACATCGAATTTTAACAACTATTACAAACGAAATAATCTTTTATTATTTTTTATATCCAAAAGATGAATAAAAACGAAAATGAAACAATAAAGAATAAAAATTAAATATTTTTTAATTCTTTGTTTCATATATAAAAAATTGATATGATATTTTTATTTATACTCCATACGCTATCCATTAAAAATACAAAGAAAATTTGTATTTAATTTATTGGTACCTTTTTATTTTATATCTTTATTCAAATTTATAAGATATATTTCTAAATTAGAATTTAACATAAAAATCATAAACTCAGTAAAGTACAATTTCTCGGTGGCCATCCAAAGCCATCTAAGGGGGCCGGCAACTTCCTTTACAAACCGGAGCTATTTGAAAATATATATTCTTTTATTAAAAATTTATTTCCTAATAATATGAAAGATAATCAAAATAGAGAAAATTATTTTAAAGTTGGAAAACACAAAATCATTAGCAATTTATAGATTTTTTTAGGTTAAATCATAAAATTAATTAAAAGATTTATTTTAAACTTTGTATTTATTTTAAAGACATTTTTTTAAGACTACCAACACACAAAAAAAAAAAGGAATTTCACAAAAATATCTTTATATTAAAAAAAATTTCACTCAAATCATGTAACTGAACTTCATCCTATTTCTAATATGACTGAATCAAGTTGACCAAAAATAATTTCTTCAAATGATTAAAATGATTTTTTTTTTTCAAATTTTGATTTTTTCAAAATTTTGCTATCATTGAGCCGATTTTGAGCCAATATATCTCCTAACTCCAATCGACATTAGTGATGAATCAAAACACAAATTTAAAGTATGCATGCAGTACTATAATGCAGAATTTTGTTTCTGCCAAAATGGTTTCCAGAATCAGGAGTTTTAGAAGCAAAAATATGGGAAATGATCACTACAAGCTCAGATTTTCTAGGTTTTCAGCTCGATGGAGCTGACTTTGGAGTCTTAGTTTTTCATCCTCATAGAATCCTTGAACGAACCATTTCTACCACACTAAGGAGCACACTTCCTACTTCAAATAGCACCCAAGTTTCGACCTAAAGAAGTGCCAGAAGGTGGGTTTGCAGTGACCCAAAGTCAGATCACCGACACTGTAAATACCCATTTGTTTTCTAACTTCAAAATTTTATTTTTCCTAAACTACTTAACCAAATAAGTTGTCACAACATGCATTTGAAAGGTCTTAAAGAGGCTTTCGAACGATACGAAATATGCCTCCGGAAAACCACCGAAAGGTCGTCGGAAAATTAAAAAAATTGAAACCCGTAGTTGGGTTATGAAGAAAACTAACAAAATACAAAAATCTCATGAAAAGAGAAGATTAATCTTAGCTTAAACATGACATGAAACTTTAGAAGCTCAAGATGGTAGCCTCAATCGGCTGGTGCTCTCCTCTTTTTGGGTTTTTTAACCGGTTAAGAAAGAATTTATAGTAAGGTTAAAATGTGGAAAATTACGTTATGACCCCTTAAAGTGTTTTATTTTTTAAAACAGTCCTTCCTACAAAAATCATCAAAATTAATTTATGAAATTCTGTCCCTTTCACCAATTCATCCAACAATATACCAAAATAAAAACACCCAGAGTAAAGCAAATAACATAATATTTTTTTATAATATAAAAACAATAATATTACAAGAAATTTGGAGGGGTGTTACAGCTAGGCACCGTGTATTAACACATTCTGGAATCAGAAGTGGAAACCATCGCAATGAGTTTTTCCTGCAACTGGATTGGGAAAAAAGCTCCATGAAAACCATATGGAACTCTGCATGGCAGTGTAATTTTGGCAACTGGCTCACTAGAGAAGTTCCTTGTGTCAATTATGTAAACCTGTTCGTATATATATATATAGAGGAAAATAAATTCAAAAACTTCACTGAAATAACAGAAATATGTACTACTGCTGCTGAACAAATGTGATAAATATAGTTATCAGGTACCAAATTGGCTTACTTGAGATGTATTAGTATCTTCATTGTGAACAAATGTAATGATCCAGCTGTCGTCTTCTTCAATCACTCCTTCTTTAGGGACAAAGGAAGCTCCAGTGCAAAATGTATGTTCCTTGAACATATGATATTCTTCCTTTATTAGCCCTTCTGCTTGCCCCTGTCTCTTATTTCCAAATCCAAGTCAGGAGCATCATGCAACAAGAACTAACCGAGAATTATAGATGAAAGTTATTAGAATTTAGAAGAAAATATTACCGAGCAAAGCATTGTGTTTGGTTCTTCAAAGGACAGTTTGGCAAGGCCCCCATACTTTGCCATGCCTGAATTAAATGTTCAAATTGAAGGATCATAACATATCAGAGCTTACCTCCAAAATGAAGGCTTCAGGATATATATATGATAATCACTCAAGAAAAAAAAAAGGCCAATTTTGATAATCTGCCAGATCAGAAAATTGCAATAAGGTACCTGAACTAGAACTTGCAATGCAATCTCGCACTTGGAAATAGTCGTATCTATTTTTAACACCTGTAAAAGCTCCATTGATGAAAGGAAAATCCGTAGGGAATTCAGTTCCTGCCAGATTTCTCTCCTGGACATGTCCAGTTCGCATGTTCAGCCGCCACTCATAAGGACGAGGAAACACTAATTCATCTTCCGACATTGCATCAACACTTCTTCATTTGATTCTATATGCCTAAATTTTTTGGAAAACCACTCAAATTTGTTCACACCCTTATCAGGTCCTGGAAGGACTGATTCAAGGGCTCTACACCCCCACACCACAACCTGTGTTATGAAAAAACATCAAACAGTTATAAGTTCATCTTCCATGTTTGAGACCAAATATCAAATTATGAGTACCTCATCACCATCCTCGAAAGAATTAATGATATGAAATGTGCAATTTGGTTTCACTTCAAACCACTTGATTGAATCTGCATCCCCATACCGGCCGTGCATTACGCCAATCTAGCATATCCTTCCTTTTGATATTTTATTAATCTACATATCAC